TGCTTTTCCTCATCTGCAGACAGGGAAGGGGAGCGTCTCCCTCCTAGGGAGGCAATGAGAATTAAATGAGATGCTGGCGAAGCTCCCGGCTTCACCAGACGCCTCAGTGGTTCATTCGTTTCCTTTCTTGGCAACTTGACCTTCTCTCTAGGGCCTCAACTTCAATGAGCTCTGCTCTGAAGGCCCCATTTCTGCCCCACATCTCGTGCACTAGGCACACAAAGGTGCCATTCCCACCCCGCACAAGTTTTCTCTGCTCCTCACTCCCACTCTGACCTCTGTGTCCCAGTCTCCATCCCCACCACGTCCCTATGGCCGACTGTGCGGTCGCACAGGTGTGGGGGGCATGGGTTTCCACAGACCCAGAAGGGTCAGGAGTTGGGGCTGGGACTGACTAGGCACATGGATCTTGAGCCATTTTGTCACCTCTCTGAGCCTCAGTCCCAGATCTGTGAAGAGAGGGATGAGGATCCTCCCCGTCGAGGCTGTGTGAGGCTCAGAGCAGCCACAGGTGAAGTAGCACAGGGCCCAGCACACAGCAGGGACTCAGGTCAGCCTCTTTCTCTCCTCTCTTCCCCCTGGACATCCACCGAGGTCAGTGTTTCTTACCCCTCCTGGGCAGGCACCCAGCTTTGCCTGCAGCCCCTGTACTGTCCCCTCACCGGCACAGATGAAACGCCAGGTGGCTGCCCTCCGTCTGCCAGCCCCCTACAGTCAATGGACTGAGCAGTCCAGCAGGGCGGGCACTGGCCCTTTCTCCTGCGGTTTCCAGGCCCTGCCATGGTGGTGTGTAAATATTTGTGGAAGGAAAGAAAGGAAAGACAAAGGGAAAGAGAGGGAGGAAGGGAGGCAAGAAGGAGGGAGGGAGCCCCTGAGCTCTCACCCAACTCCTCCCCCACAGCCATCTGCTGGGTTCTATCCCAGGTCCAAGGTGGATGGGAGAAGGGAGGGACCCCCGGGAGACAGCTAGACCCCCATGCTGAGGGAGTGTGTATGAGGTGAGGTAGAGGCTCACCCATGGGTGCCTCCACCCTGCCTCAGTCTCCCTCCATGCCCCCCAAGTCACTGCCTACCAGCTCCCTTGAGGATGGGGGAGCAGAGGTTGGCCCACAGAGACAAGGGCTCTGGGAGAGGGTCCCCTGCCATGGGCAGCCAGTGGCAGAGGGCAGGAAGGGCTTCTTGCATTCCAGGACTTGGCTCAAGCCTGAGGCAGGTATTCTTAGCTCCATTACTCCTTCAGGGAAACTGAGGCTTACACAAATAGTCATTGGCCTGGGCCCTGGGACAGGGATGAGTGGTAGCCCAAGCCTCAAGCCTGCTCCGCCTGCTCCTGGCAAGGAGAACAGCAGGAGCTGAGGAAGGAGGGCTGGAGAGCATGGCGAGCAGAGAGCAAGCGAGCAGGAGCAGACCTGGAGCAGACCCTCTGCAGCTTCCTGGAGGGGAAAGAGGGAGCTGGGGCTGAGGCCCCAGCCCCAACATACCGGTGCAGACCAGCCCAGCATCCTCGCTGTGGTCACAGTTGCTTCGGCCCCAGGGGCTCCGGGGGCAGTCTCGGAGGGCCTGCTCTCCTCCTCCACACCCCACGTCATCCATCCATACTGGCCCTGTGCCAGGCCCAAATCTGGCACCACCAGGGGCAGCCAGCGCCCCCCCACAGCCCAGCTCCCGGCAGGCCACGGTGGCGTCTCGCAGGTCCCAGCCGTCATCACATACGGTGCCCCAGCGCCCACCATGCCAGACTTCCAGGCGGCCGGCACACCTGTGGGGGCCAGAGACCAGGCGCAGCCGCTCTGTGGGGTGAACAGGGAGGGGACAGGTGGCTGGTGAGAAATGATTCAAACACCCCTCCGTTGGTCTTCACCTGGGAAAACAGGCCTGAGATCTGCCCGCCAGCAGCCGTTAAGGGGAGAGTCCACAACCTCAGTGGGCCAGGACACCTCCCGACAGGGCAGGAAGAGGGGACACCAGGCCTGGCTTTTAAATCCCAGGAGGGACGAGGTAAACACTGGGATCCTTCCAGGACCTCAGCTAAGGAGAGGGCACCCGCAGGTCCTCAGTTCGTCTGGGCCCCAGGCCTCACCGCATCCAGGTTTGGGGTCGGGGGAGCCTTCAGGGAGCTCACCTTGGCGGGGGGCTCCAGTTGTCAGCAGAGGGGCCCGGGTGGACTTGGCCTGCTTGGGCCGGGGGCTTTTCTTCCGGGAGGCGTTCTGGGGGTTCCCAGCTGGGCGAGGGGCTGGGAGGGGAGACAGCCAGGAGTCAGGAACTTCGCTCCTTATGCTTCCTCCCACGTGGGGGCTGGGCCTCCCTCTCTGAGGGTCTGAAGTGACAGAGGACTCCCTGGGCTATGAAGGAGACAGGAGTGGGGGGACAGTCTGTCCCCTGGGAGTTCTTAGTGCAGCCGTCCCTGTCCCTTCAGAGGACATAGGAGGGTGCACTGGGCGGGGGCAGCACGGCAGTCCTCTGGGCTCACCGTGTGTCACCGGGGTCTCCTCTGTGCTGGGGCCCAGCTCCACAGACAGCCCTGGCCAGGGAGCCCCATCGAGGGGAGATGCTGAATCGTCCCTGGAGTTAGCCACGCGCTGACCTGTGGGTGGGAGACAGAAGTGGTGAGGAGAGTAGGGTCAGAGGTCAGTTGGTCCCTGGCAGAGGGAGTGAGACACCTGGCTCTGGAGGGGATGGGAGGCTGGGTGTCTCTGGACTGCTGCACACTCAGACTCGCTGAGGCTCAGGACTTGGGGTCCCTGGGTCATCTCCAAAGGAACTGCCCCTGAAGGAGCAGCCAGGGTGCCCTCACCTGCGCAGACGACGCCCGCGTCCTCCTCGTGGGAGCAGATGTGGGCCTTCCAGCCCCGGTGGTGGCAGAGGCCCAGCTGCCCCTCGTAGCCCCGGCAAGCCAGCTCGCTGAGCCACACGGGCCCTGCCCCCTCCCCAAAGAAGGCGCCCCCAGGGGCGGCCAATGCCCCTCCGCAGCCCAGCTGCCGGCAGGCCACGGCGGCGTCACGCAGGTCCCAGCCGTCGTCGCACACGGTGCCCCAGCGCCCTCCATGCCAGACCTCCAGGCGGCCAGCGCACCCATGGGGGCCGTCGGCCAGGCGTAGCCGATCTGAGGGGTGGAGGAATGGCTGTGGAGAGGAGGGGCATCCCTGGGGCCCTAGGGTCAGGGGGACTGTAGGGGCGGGGCGTGTCCTGCAGGTACTGTCGGTAGCTAGCAGCCCTACTCACTGACCCCTGGGCCAGAACCCCTGGATGCTCAGAGAGATTCACTCAGACACCTGGGGGATCCCAACGGGAGGCAGTGGTGAAGGTCATAGTGGAATTCAGGTGGGGGTGAAGCCAGGCCTAGATGGGCAGAAGGGGGAGGCCTGGCACTGGGAGGGGGGGCAGGTGGGAGGATTCTGGGGCACTTACCAACAGCCTGGATCCCCACCAGTGCCGCTGTAAGGGAGGGTGGAGAGTGGGGCAAAGTGAGGGGCAGGCCGGGGATGTTCCTTTCTCTAGCACAGGCCCCTCATCTTGAATACCCCAACACACACACACACACACACACACTCTCTCTCTCTCTCTCTCTCTCTCTCTCTCTCTCTCTCTCTCTCTCTCTCTCTCTCTCTCTCTCCTGAACCAGGAACCCCATGGCTGGGAGGCAGGACTCTGGACAGAGGGCCTGGATGAGACTTGGGTCTCTCAGGCTGGTGGGTGGGGCTGCAGCTGCCTGGCCCCTGAATCAGGGCTAGGAACCATGGCTTTGGTGTTCCCACATGGTCTTAGCTAAAGGTCAGATGTCTGGGAGATCCCCTGCGGGGTCAGGGCTGGGGTAGGGCAGGGGGCAGATCCCTTGGGTTTCTGGGCTGGCAGAAGGCTGGACTGAGCAGGCAGGGAGCCTCAGAAGGGATGTCAGGGTACCCCAAGCACCAGGGACCAGTCCCGGAAGTTTGAGTCCTTAAACTGGATAAGCTAAGAGGTCAGAGCTGGGGGCCTAGGCCCTCTGAGTCCCCAAGGAGAAGGGATCACTCACCAAGGAGGCAGGCCAAGACCCTCATGTTTGCAGCCAGGACAGGGGATGGGGTGAAAGGGGAAGGAGAACGGGAGAGGAGAGGAGGAGGCAGCTGGGGAGAGGGGGAGGGAGGGAGCGCCTGCCGGAGGCGCCCAGGCCCGAGGAGGAGCAGGCAGGGCTGGACGCTTTGCCAGGAAGAAGAAAGAGGCTGCAGGGAGGCGGCAGGGGACAGGGCGGGCTAGAGGGGGCTGGCCGGCGGCTGAGGCATTGGGGGAGGGGGGTGGCGGGCGGGAGGGAGGGTGTCCAACTGCAGACACCCACACGGGAGAAGATGACGGCCAAGCAGGCTCCAGCCAGCGAAGCACTGCGCTGAGATGCTTAGGGGGTGGCCGGCTGCAGGAAGGCGAAGGGCAGGGATTGTGTGTCGGGGGCCAGTGTGAGCGGGAGAGGGCGCCCACCTGCTGCCTCCTCTCATCTGGTCAGGGAAATACGGTGAGACCACTGCTCGGGTTGGGGGCTGGGCAGACCTGGGACTCTTGGTGCTGCAGCAAGCTTTGCAGCCAGACACCAGGAGGGACTTCCCGGATGAGGAAGAGACTGAAAAACCCGACCCTCCAGTCCTGCCCCTCACTGGTGGATCTGAATGTGAAGCCCCCTGTCCCCAGCTGAGGGAGGAGAGGTTGAACTTCACTATCCCAGAGGGAGCTGGGGTAGGGAGATAAGCAGCCCAAGGTCAAGGCTTGTGAGGGGGAAGGGCTACACACACACACACACCCCACTCCCTTCACACCAGGCAGCTGTGAGGCGGAAAAAATTTGGTAATGGGGAGTGTGACTCAGAAGGGCTGGCAGGGCCCAGGGCTGCCCCTGAGCTCACAGTCTCCTGTTCTCCCAGTCCAGCACCGCCCCCCCAACAATTAATGTCAACTGGGGAAAGGAGGGGCCAGACCGAAGTGGGCGGGGATGTCCGGAGACAGTCTGGAAAAGGCATCAGAGATGAGACAGGCACACAGCGGTTTCAGGCTTTATTAGCAAATGGTGTAGAAAACCAGACGGGTCTGGAGGGAGAGCCAGAGCTGCCGTCTCAGCTCTACACCTTTCCAGAGAGGGGCCAGGCCTGGCAGCCCTGTGCACTTCCACCCCTAAGCAGTCCACCTGGTCCCCTCCAAGGACAGGCATCTAACCCACTCCGGGTCCAGGGAGGCGGAGTCACAAATCCTAACTCTGGGGCATATTCTGCTCGGCCTCCTCTCCCCCTCCCCAGATAGCTCTCCCAGGCCTGTGGCACAGACAGCACTGGCTTTGCAGACACATCGACCAAGGAGATTTCTCAGTGCAGACGGAGCTGAGGTAGGGGTTGGAGAGGCTGACCTCGAGACCAGGGAGGGAAAGGAGTCATTCCACTCTGAGAAGCTCAAACACTGCAGACTTCACACTGCCGGCTGGTGGGCGGAGGCCAGGCTCCTCCCCTCAGCAGGCCTCTGCTTCTGGGCCCTGGGTGGATGAGGACACACCGAGGGAGTGGATGTACAAGTACCTGCACACAGTAGGTGCTCATCAGGGGCTGGTGCCCCTCCCTCCTTCCCTGCCCTGGCTGGCGGTCTGTAGCTTCACAGGTCTTTGCTGAACTCCCTCACCAGTGTGTAGCCTAGGCAGCCCCAGCCGCCCTCAGCCTGGTAGCCACAGCCCTCCAGCATCCCCGCCACACCCCAGGTGGCCACAGCCACGGGGACCACGAGCCTAGCCCGGGTCTCCCCCATGCCCCCAGCCCAGGCCCTAGCCCGGGCCTCCGCAAAGGCCAGCAGCCTCCTGCCCACTCCCCGGCGGCGGTGCCAGCGAGAGACAGAGAGGCGGGTGACCCGGGCCCCGTCCCCTGCATTGGTGCCAGGGGCCAGGGCCAGGACCCCACATACATCGCCAGAGCCCCGCACTGCCACCCAGGGGCCCCCCAAGCCACCTGGGGGAGGCAGTGAGCCCCATCGGGCCCGCAGGCCCAGCTTCACAGCAGCCACAGCCAGGAACACCGGCAGGAGGAGGGCCAGGGCAAAGGAAGCCAGGACAAAGCGCAGGCCGCTGCTGGCTGCCGCCAGGAGGAGCAGGGCTGGTGGCCGTGTCAGGGCATGGAGGGCCACGCGGTTCTCAGTGTCCTTCACGCCGGCCTGTGGGCAGGAGGGGTGGCTCAGCCATCCGAAACACTAGGGCCTCCTGGACAGGAGAGGAGGGGTGGACCCTGCCCGGAGCGGGGTGGGGGCTCCCAAATGGGAGGGGAAGGCAGCATGGTGTGATGATCAGCAGTGTGGCACACTGGGTACGGAGTGAATGAATGAATGATGGATGGCAGAGTCAATTAGGACTGTGGGGGCACCCAATTCAGAGGTGGTGCCACAGTGAGGTGCCAGGGAAGTAAGGACAGGGAGCATTGCCCAGGCTGGAGTGGAGGCTGGAGGGGACTGCTGGGCTAGGCTGGGACGCTGGACTGTGCTTTCAAGAGCTGGGGTCGGAGGCACAGAAATGGCTCTTGCGCTGGTGTGCAGGGCTGACTGGAGGTGGGAGACCAGGGAGCGCGTCGGGGCTGGGGCCCCACTAGGGCCCAGGGGGTGAGCCCTCAGCTGCCACACCTGCTGTGGTTTTCAGCAGCACTTCCAGCTGGGAGCCGACTGAGGTTCAGGAGGAAAAGATCCCGCTCCGGGGTCCAGGCTGGCTCAGGTGGATGGAAGGGAGCGGCTGAACCCACTTGCAATGCCCGGCTGCAGCCACTCCCTGGGGCCCTGCCTCTCACCTTCAGCATCTCCAGCACCAGGGGCTTCTCATCTTCCCTCATCTCCCGCACTGACAGGTGGCTGGAGGCCATGGCAGCCCCCAGGCCCCCGCCCCCCAGAAGAGAGCTGGCTCGTGTACCTGGTGAGAACACAAGTAGGTCGGCGTCAGGGGGGCACCTCTGTCCCCAAAGCCCCCCGCGGGGTGGGGAGCAGCAGCAGCAGCCCTTCCCAGATGAGGACGCAGAACCCTCGGGGCCCAAAGCGAGGACCTCGGTAGGACAGGCGCCCCCCAACAATACTCAGCGACCTCGCTAGAGTCTCCCGGGATCTCCCCTCCCGCGAATTATTCAGCGATCTACCCCTAAACGCGCTGTGGACGCCAACACTGCAGCACGGGGCTCCTTCCTAGGCATACACAGGCCGGAGGACGGACCACGCTGGCTCCGCCCCGGCCCCCAGCGCTCCCTCCCCACAGTCGTCCCCGTCCCGCGCTACGAGAACAAGGACCCGCCAGCACCTGCGTGGGTCGCTTTGGTCCTTTGACCAGGCTCCCGGAGCGGATCGGGAAAGGGGTCGCCGGCGGAAGTGATGCCACCCGCGGGGGCGCGGCGCCTGCTCCCGGCCGTAGCAACCGTTGCTAAGCTCCCCGGAGCGCGGGCGTGGGGAGCCGAACGGTGACCCTGCGGAGGGCCGGGGAGGTGACTTCTCCTACCCTAGAGAAGGAGCAGCGGGAAAGGGGACCTGGGGAAACACGGGAGCGGGCGCCCGCAGGAGACGGGCGGCGGGCGGGCACCAGCGCGGGTGCCCGCCCCACGTGCCCTCGTTGCCGAGCAACCTGAGCGCAGGCGGCGATGCCAGCGGGTGGATTCTCCGCGGTGCCGGGGCCTTCGCGGGAGGAGCGGGCCGCGCTCAGCATCCTCCAGCCCAGCGGCGCCCGACCCCCCCATTCCACCCACGGGGCGCCCAGGCTCGCAGAGTCCTCCAGCCTAAGGATCCCCTTTTCCCAAATGAGGGGATGGCGGGGCTACTCACACTCAACAAGTGGCACTAGCTGGACTCTGACGTCACCACCTTCCCGCTGTGGTGACCCCTGCGTCCTTTTTGGTTTCAGAACAGGGAAACTGGGCCCCACATGGTGGCTGGCCGCAGGACGCAGAAGTTAAGACTACACGCTCCCAGGCGGGGGCTATGACCACGACTTTGCCCCGTTCCCTCCCCCCAGGAAAACAAAACACAGGCGGGGAGACTCGGGTCTTTATTAGCAAGCCCAGCCTGCAGCGCCCAGCCGCGCCCCGCCCCGCCCCGGCCCAGGCCTGCAGTGAGTCGGGGTCTCTGTGTAGGGCGGGAGAACCACTGGCTCTCCTCAAAACGTGTGCACTAGCTGGACTGCGGGCAGGGTCTGCACAATCTGGATGGAGGGCAGGCCCTGCGGGGTCATGACACCAGGCCCAGCTCCCGCGGGGACCACTTGTACCATCTGGGAGGCTGGAGCCGCGGGGAGGGCCGCGGGAGCCGAGGCGGGGCCGGACGGCGGTGGGGCCAAGAGCTGCAGCGTTGCGGCGCCTCCTGCGGTGCTGCTGCTGTCCAGTAGCTCAGTGGCCGGGGCGCTGCGGATGATGAGGAGTTTCTGCCCCGGTGGGCCGGTGGCTGGCGGCTCGGTCAGCCCAGGGGCAAGGGTTTCTACCTCCTGTACGCAGAGCCTGGTCTGCTCGCCATCCGCCCCGCTCAGCACCAGCACGCTCTGCAAGCCCTCGTCCGTCTGCAGGGTCTCAAAGAGGACATCCTGGACCACACCGGTGCTGGCCTCAGCATCCCCCGCCTCCCCGGGGCCCGGGCCCGTTAGCAACTCCTCAGCTGCCCCACTCTGAACCACCAGCAGGTTGGGCGCCTCAGCAGCCACAGCTCCTCCACTGGAATTGGGGAGCTGGCCGGCCACGGGCTGGAGCTGGACCGTGGTCACTTCCTGTGCCGGTTGGAGCTGGACGGTGGTCACTTCCTGTGCCGGCTGCAGCTGGACCGTGGTCACTTCCTGTGCCGGCTGGAGCTGGACCGTGGTCACTTCTGAGGCTGGCCGGAGGGGCTGGAGCTGCACCCCACTCATTTCCTGTGGCCCTGCCTCCCCACCCCCTACATTCTGCAGAACGATGAGGCTCTGCCCTCCCCCGCTGGCCCCAGTGCTGGCCGCTCCCTGCACCCCCAGACCCCCAGGGCCTGGCAGCCAGACAACTCCCGCCCCCTGACCTGCCTTCCCCACTGCCGGCGGCCCCTGCCTTGCACGGCCGCCCCCCGCCCCAGCACTGGAGGAGGGCAGCAGGACGAGCTTGGGCGGTGCGGGAGGGGGCGGAGGAGCAGGGGGCTGCACGCTGCTGGGGATCAGCTGGAGGCCCTGGGCAGTCTGCACCAGGAGAAACGTCTGAGAGTTGGGTGCCGCTGGGCCCAAGGTCGGGGCCTGGGCCGTGCCCCCCGCCACCTCGAGAGAGAGCGTGGCCTGGAGGTGAGGCAGGACGTGGACATCTTGGGTGGCTAGCGGGGCCGGGGCGGCGGCCAGCGGGGCAGGGGGCTGGGGACCGGCGGCGGGGGCTGTGGTGCTGGGAGCCGTGTTGGCCGGGGCGTGAGTCCTCAGGTGCCGCTGCAGATAGGCGGCCATAACGAATCCACGACCGCAGATGGGGCAGGTGAAGGGGCGCTCGGCCGAGTGCGTGCGCTGGTGCAGGAGCAGGTTGGAGGAGTGGGTGAAGGTCTTAGGGCAGAGCGGGCAGCGGAAGGGCCGCTCGCCGGTGTGCACACGCTGGTGCTGCCGCAAGTTGGAGGTCTGTGCGAAGCTCTTGCCGCAGACGCTGCAGGTGTGGGGCCTCTCCCCGGTGTGCACGTGGCGGTGGCGCCGCAGGCACGACGTGTTGCGGAAGGCCTTGCCGCATTCCCCGCAGGCGTAGGGCCGCTCGCCCGAGTGCAGCCGCAGGTGGTACTGGTAGTGGGACGACCATTTGAAGGTGAGGCCGCACTGGCCGCAGGTGAAGGCCCGCAGGCCGGTGTGCACACGCTGGTGGATGGCCAGCAGGGAGGAGCGCTTGAAGGCCTTGCCGCACTCGCCGCACTGGTAGGGCCGCTCGCCGGTGTGGTCCCGCAGGTGGTAGCGCAGCCCCGACGAGCCCTTGAAGGCCTTGCCGCACTCGGCACACTTGTAGGGCCGCTCTGCAGAAGCCGGGGCGGGTGCGGGTGGCAGCGGGGCTGAGGCGGCGGGCGCCAGCGGTTCCTGGGGGCAGGTGACCTCGGCAGCCTCAGCCTGCGGGGGCGGGCGCCCGGCCGCCGCCTCTTCCACGTGGCACTGCTGATGCGCCAGGAGGCTGGCCAGCTGCGGAAATGAGCCGTCGCAGCTGCCGCAGCGGAACGCCTGCCCGCCGGCAGCCCCATGGGTGTGCTGGTGGCGGGAGAGCCCCGCCACCGTCCGGAAGGACTTGCCGCAGGGCAGACAGGCAAAACCAGGGGCGGGGGCGGGGGCGGCAGGAGGGGGCTGCGACAGAGGGGACGGTAGCGGGTCGGCGTTGGGCGCCTCGGCGGGTGCGTCCTGGGGCTGGGGCACCGCCTCGGGCCCGGGACACGGCTGATGCTCCACGAGCAGCTCCTCGCTGCTGAATCCCTGCTCGCAGCCATCACAGCGGTACACCAGCTCCACCGTGGTCTCCGCCGCCGCCAAAAAGAGCTCGGGTACCACGGGTGGGGGCGGGGGCGGGGGCGGCGGGGCGGGAGGCGCGGTCGGGCTGTGCGGCTGGAGGTGCCGCTGCAGGTAGGCGTCGCACACGAAGACCTTGCTGCCGCTGGGCTCCTGGGGCTGGGGGGGCGGGGCCGCGGGGGCGGGGCCCGGGGCGGGAGTGGGGGCGGCGCTGGGGGCGGCGCCGTGGGTGCGCTGGTGCAGCAGCAGGTTGGAGGAGTGGGTGAAGGTCTTGGGGCACAGCGGGCAGCGGAAGGGCCGCTCGCCCGTGTGCACGCGCTGGTGCTGTCGCAGGTTGGTGCTCTGCGTGAAGCTCTTGCCGCAGACGCCGCAGGTGTAGGGCCGCTCGCCGGTGTGCACGTGGCGGTGGCGCCGCAGGCTGGACGAGTTCTTGAAGGCCTTGGGGCAGTCCGGGCACGGGTAGGGCCGCTCGCCTGTATGCTGTCTTAGGTGGTACTGGTAGTGGGACGACCACTTGAAGGCCAGGCCACACTGACCGCAGATGAAGGCCCGCAGGCCGGTGTGCACGCTGCGGTGGATCTGCAGCAGGGAGGAGCGCTTGAAGGCCTTGGGGCAGTCTGGGCACTGGTAGGGCCGCTCACCGGTGTGGCCTCGCTGGTGGTAGAGCAGGGCCGAGGAGCCCTTGAAGGCCTTGGGGCAGTCTGGGCACTTGTAGGGCCGCTCGCCTGTGTGCGTGCGCTGGTGGTGCAGGAGCCGGGAGGACCACCGGAATGACTTGCCGCACTCCCCGCACTCATACTGGGCCGCCGGGGCCGCAGAGCCTGGCTTCTCACCGGTCCCCTCCGCAGTAGAGGCCGGCGCCATGTCCGCGTGTGAACCGACCATCACACCTGGGGGAGGGATTCCGCGTCAGGGGCTTGCCCAGCACTGGATCATCTCAACACCAAACCCACACACTGGCTCTTTAAGGGACAGGGACTACCTCCCCAGGTCACCCACTTTGCAAGGGACTTTCCTTAGGATCAGGGTCCCCAATGGTCCAAGTTTGCTTGGGACTTGAGCAGGTGCCAGTGATACTGGACTGTCAGAGCTGAAATGGAAACGCCTCAGCAAACTGGGACAAGGTGATCACCCTCCTTAGGAAGCTGGCCAGGTCTAAGAAGGCTGGGCCCCACCTTCAAGAGAGCAAGCGCTGCCTTTAGGACTGCTCCCTCCCTCTAAACACAGGCAGGGTCCCTGAAGAAGACGCAGAGAGGTTCTCCTAGCTTCACTCCTTGCTGCTCTTTCTCTAGACCTCACCCCCCACCTGGCTCCAACACGCCTCCCACTGCCACACCCAAAGCCTCTTCATGCTAACTAAAGCCTCCTCGTGGCACCAGGCATGGGGGCTGACGCCTGAAATTCCAAAACTTTAAGAGGCCGAGGCAGGTGGATCACCTGAGGTCAGGAGTTTGAGACCAGCCTGTCCAACATGGTGAAACCCCATCTCTACTAAAACTACAAAAATTAGCTGAGCATGCTGGTAGGCGCCTGTAATCCCAGCTACTCTGGAGGCTGAGGCAGGAGAATCGCTTGAACACAGGAGGCGGAGGCTGCAGTGAGCTGAGCTCGAACCACTGCACTCCAGCCTGGGTGATAGAGCAAGACTGTCTCAAAAAAGCAAAAAAAAGTGTCCTCATGGTCTGAGCCTGGAATAACCTACTTCCCACCACCACAAAGCCCTCTAGGTCGCTCCTGCTCGGTGCTTCAATTCCCCAAATCCTTAGACTCCAGCCCATCTACCATCCACGCCACCCTGACTCCTTCAGCCAACCCACATCCTCACTCCCGCCTGACCCTGTACAGACGCTGCCAGCGGCCATGACAGGCACCCCTTGCCTGGCCTCAGTCTCCCTCTGCATTGATGCCCAGTGAGACTGCATGAGACTGCAGCCCCCTCACCATCACCCTCCCCAGCTCACACTACACCTCTCCGATCCGTGCACTCTCCAGGTGACTACTTGCCACGGAGCTTCCTCCTGAAACCTCCAGCCCCTCCTCTCCCCTCCTGTTCTTGGCAGGCAATCCTGTCCTTGATCATGCCTCTGTGAAAATAAAAGCAATCAGAAGCGAAGGTTCTCACATTCTGACCACGATACCAGTGGTTCTGAAATGGGACAAACTGTGCCTCCTACCCAGGGGACATCTGGCAACGCCTGGAGGCATTTGGGTTGTCTGTTACCGAGAGAGGCAAGTGCTCCTGGCATCTAGTGGGTGGAGGCCAGAGACGCTGGTCAACACCCTACAATTCATGGGACGACCCTACAGCCGAGAACGATCCCATCCACGAGGTCAGCAGTGTGAGGTTCAGAAAGCCTGTGCTATCCTTCCCCACACACCTGCCTTCCACCCACATCCTCCACTTTTCCTCCTCTCCTGGATGGTTCCCGTCAACAGAACCAACAATCTGCATCTCCCATCTTTAAAAACCACTTCCCATCCATCTGCGAACTCATTTCTCTATCCCTTCACAGCAGAGCAGCCTGTGTCAACTCACTCCTGCCCAGCTATACCCCTTCAGTCCCACACTGCTTCCCCAACTCCACCGCAGCTTCGGTGGCGTGTGGCCCACAATGGCTCACTTGTCACTGGGTCCGTGGCCTACCTCCCCCTGGCCTCTAGGATACCTCACTCCCTAGCTGTCTTCCCTCACCTGGCACCCCATCCCAGCCCCAGCCTGGTTCCTTCTCACCTCCCTGACCTCTCCACGTGGGAGCATCCAGGGATCCGGCCCTCCTTGGTCCTCTTCTGTCTGTCCTCTCTCCCTGGGAGCCCCTACCCACTCTCAGGACTCCACCGTCTATGAACAGTGACTCCAGGCCCCCAGCTCTATGAGACCTATCCTCTGAATGCCACGCCACCTGCTAGACTGTGCCATTTGACGCCTCACAGACCCTCAAACTTAACGTACCCCAAATCGAACAATGGTTTTTTTGCTCCTTGCCCCCAACTTCTACTCCACCCATAGCTTCTTCATCTCTGAACACGGAAACTCAGGCCAAATGCTCCTCACCTCCCCTCTATCATCCGTCAGCAGATTCTCCTTCCAGCCAGAACTATCCAGGGTCTGGCCACTTCCCCAGCCCTCCACCTTGACCTGCGGCACCACCGTCTCTCTCCCAGGTAACTGCAACAGCCTCCCCACGGATCTCCGCGTTTCCACCCGTGCCCTGCCCACCCATCTGTTCCCGACACAAGCTGAAGCGAACCCATCAACAGGGAGGGTAGGGCGTTGCATTCCTGTGCTCAGACACTGCCACAGCTCCGGTCTTGAAGGCTGCCCACTTCCCACAGCCTTCAGCCTGTCCCCTCCCTGACTTGTCCTCCTGCCGTCCTCACTGGCCACCTGCCCCCGGTCACTCTGGTCACCCAGGCTGGCCAGGCAGGCCTGCTCCCACATCAGGGCACCTGCCTAGAACCGCCCCTCCCTTTCCACCTGCACTGCTCTCTCGTTCACCTCCAAGTCTTCGCTGAAATCCCCTCTGCGAGAGCTTCCCTGACACCCCTATTTACATCTCCAATCCTTTCCAACTCCCTGTGCCCTTTTCCTGCCATCTTTTTTCCCCCACAGCGTTGATCACCTTTTAATGGACCAGTGATGCTCGGCCTCAGCAGTGCTGAGGTTTGGGGCCAGGCCTTTCTTTGTTGAGGGCGGTCCTGTGCACTGTAGGGTGGTGAGCAGCATCCCCGGCATCAAGCCACTGGCCTATGAAGCCCTCAGCTACACTGTCCACAAAGATCACTCCTGCACCTCCACGTCTTTGCCGCGATGTCACCCCAGGGGAGCGCCGAGAACCGCTACTATATAAGCAGTGTGCTTTCTGTCTCGCTCTGTCTCCCCATGCTGGGATGTCAGCGCCGTGACAACGGGGGTTTCCATCTGTTCCACTGTGGTATCCCGTCCCAGCGCCTACAATACTGTCTGCAGAGCGTGCGCTCAGTAAACACGTTTTGAATGAATGAAGGCTGGGCATCCCGTTTGGACAAGCTATAAGAACTTCCTTGTCTTTCTTCTTTTTTTTTTTTGGAGACAGGATCTCACTCTGTCTCCAGGCTGGAGGCAGCGGTGTGATCTCAGCTCACTGCAACCTCCACCTCCCGGGTTCAAGCGATTCTCCTGCCTCAGCCTCCTGAGTGGCTGGGATTACAGGTGCGCGCCACCACGCCCGGCTAATTTTTGTATTTTTACTAGAGACGGAGTTTCACCATGTTGCCCGGGCTGGTCTTGAACTACGGGCCTCAAGTGATCCTCCCGCCTCGGCCCCCCAAAGTGCTGGGGTTACAGGCGTGAGCCACCACGCCCGGCCAAGAACTTCCTTTTTAAAAGATGAGTGTACCCTGTAACATGTAAGCAAGTCCTTTTAAGAACCTACTGATCCTAAGAAGCTGCACGTGCCTTTAAGAAGGCCGAGCGTCGGCTTAAACAAGACATCGGCGCTCCGTAAGAGCGGGGTCCCATTTAGCAAGAGGGCACCCGCTTTAAAAGGCCGCGCCACGCCCTTTCCGCGGGCTGGACTTCCCCTTTAAGGGGATGCGGCCGCCGCAGACCCATCTCAACCTTTGTCGAGCTAAAAACGAGGGATCGGTTTGAAGCAACCAGGTCTCAGCAGTTTTTTCTTCATTGTCTGGGTAACTGTCACTGGCCTTTAATGAGTAACCAATTTTTAGGAAGAAAAACTTTTTGAACTCAGAAAGCTTTTGCAAAAATGCAAAGCCTGACCCACCCTCTCAATGCAACCCCTTGCCCTTTAAGAGGGCGGAGCCAGCCCAGGGGGCAACAGTCGGCGGTGAAATAGCGACCTCCCCTTTAAGGCACCCCTTCCGGTTCCACGCTCCCACCCGCCCAACGTCTCCGCCCTCCGGTCCCTCCCCCCACCCCCACCCCTCCGGTCTCTCACCTGCGGCCCCAATCGGGGGAACGAGGGTGGGAGCCCCAGGACCTTCCCGCGGGGGCCGACGGGAAGGTAGGGCCCCGGCAGCGGCGGTGCAGCTGTGGGGGCCGGGGAGGGGGGGCGGGGGCGTACTCCCTCCCCACGGCCCCCGGCGCGAGGCACCCAACCTTTATCGGCGGCCTCTCGCGCACACAAACCCCGACGTCGCCTCGGCGCGTCATGACGCACGTGAGCCGAGTTCCCGCCCCCGGATCCTCCCATTGGCTGCTTGAGGCGTCGCAGCGCTCTCGCGCAGGCAGCGTGCGGCATCCTGGGACTTGTAGTTCTCCCAGTTGTGGTCCCTGACTCCAACTGTCAGGTCCTGGGGCCGAGGCCCCGGTGAGCCCAAGACCGGGTACCGCCAACTCGAGACGCGGGGTCGCACGTTCCCTTTTATTAGTCCCGATTCCCGCTCATCTACAGAAAAATCCTTCCATGCAGCATGGTTGTACAAAAACCCCCTCCCATGAAGCTGTCCCGCCCCCAGGATGTAATCGCTACTGCGGGAAACCGAGGAATGGAGCGCTTCCCGCCCCTCGGCAGAGCCGCGTGCTCAGGCCTTTCGGACGTGTGCTTTGTGCACGCTCGTGCAGACCCTGCAGAAACCTGGTTCCGTTCAGGGCGCCTGGAATCCAGAAACTCCTTATGGGGCCTAGGGTTTTAGTGGGAGATGGAGCTGCTCCAGAGTCCCTTTCCATGCTCAACCCCCCGACCAACCCAGCATTTCACCCACACTGGCTTTTCTGAGGGTCATTCACTTCACGCACTTTCTCAACCAGAGCACTAGTGCCATTTGGGATGGATTCATTGCCGTGGGGACTGTCCTGCGCACTGTAGGGTGGTGAGCAGCATCCCTGTCCCCCACCCACTAGATACGGATAGCATCCCCAAGCCTCGCTCTACACAGCCCTTAAGAGAGGTCAGAATATCTCCAGGTGGCAGGGCACGGCGGCTCACGCTCACGCCTGTAATCCCAACACTTTGGGAGGCCGAGGTGGGCGATCACTTGAGGTCAAGAGTTCAAGACCAGCCTGGCCAACATGGTGAAAGCCCGTCTCTACTAAAAATAGAAAAATTAGCTGGGTGTGGTGGCGCGTGCCTGTAATCCCAGCTACTCGGGAGGCGGAGGCAGGAGAATCACTCAAGTCCAGGAGGTGGAGTTTGCAGTGAGCCAAGATCACGCCACTGCACTCCAGCCTGGGCAACAGAGCAATACTCCGTGTCAAAAAAACAAACAGAGAATATCTGCAGACATTACCAAATGTTCACTAGTCGAGAGCCACTGCTCAGAGACAGTCCCCTTGGGCTGAAGGCCATTCTGCACGCTGTTTCTCAGGCCAGAAGGCCCTTCTGCCCTTGACCCTTCCCTGCCCAGCAAGATCCCACTGGAAAACATCCTGTGCTAGGTAGAGTCCCTCTTACATGCTTTGCGACATCTATGTCTCATGACAGCTGGGACCTTCGTGTCTTTGCTGCCCTATTCCAAACAAGCATGGGCCCTGATCGAGAAGCAGACGGGACTTGTTTGTTGAATGAGTGGATTTTTCCAGCCTCCCCTGCAGTTTCCCCAAGTCTACAAGCAGGCTGGAACTCAGGGCCAATATGTGCTGATATGGACCCACCCCTGTCTTACAGGGTCTTGGCAGTGATGTCTCTGTGCATTCATGCATGTAAAACCCTCGGCACCCAGCTCAGCTGAAACATTCCTTTCATGTCAGCATTAACCACACAAAGCGGGTGCCATGCCAGGTGGGGACACCAATGTGCAATGCGCTGCCCAGCTGGCTGCCAAGAGGGGCACAGAGCCCACTGCCATCCCCCTTGCCTCAGGCCAGTTGGGTCTCTGTGATAGTGAAATGGGCCCTCAGCTCAGCCCCCTCATTTACCTGCCCACCTAGAGGCATTACAAAAGGGATTGGACAGCCACCCTGGGCAACATAGCAAGACCTCATCTCTACAAAAAATTAGCTTGGTGCATGCCTGTAGTCCCAGCTACTCAGTCAGCTGAGGTGAGAGGATCACTTGAGCCTGGGAGGTTGAGGCTGCAGTGAACTGACATTGTACCACTGAACTCCAGTCTAGGCAATAGAGCAATACCCTCTCAAAAAAGAGAGAGGCATGGCTAAGACTGGCTCTTCCTCTCCTTAGCATTCCCCACTTTGCAGCTGGAAGGTGAACAAAGTATTTGAAGTCAATGGCCTTGGGCAACCTGCTGTCCCTAAAAAGGTGATGTGGATTCAACAGGTTTGTTTTTAGAACAGCCTAGCCCCGCCTTGGAGCCAGTAATGGGAGGAGACCCAGGCCAGCCCTGTGTCCAGCACTTTCCAGGCCAAGGAGGAGTCTCATGGACCCAGGTGAGGAGGTGGCGTTGTGCCCCCAGCCCTGGATCGTCTGTGTAGCCCTTCAAGGGATGTCACTGGGTCCCTCGTGTGGACAAGTAAACAGAATCAAAGAGCCAGAGACATGGATAAGATTACAGAGAATCCTCCTCTGCAGCTGTTCCAGGCCCAGCAGCTCTGACCCACAGTCCCAGCCAGGGCTCCAGCCCAGGTGCTGCCCTGGGAGCTGGATCATAGCAATGTGAAGTGGGGAAAGCCAATGAAAAACTCACAGGCCCTGGCCCAGCACGGTGGCTCACGCCTGTAATCCCAACACTTTGGGAGGCCGAGGAGGGGAGACCACCTGAGGTTGGGAGTTCTAGACCAACCTAATCAATGTGGAGAAACCCCATCTCTACTAAAAATACAAAATTAGCCAGGCATGGTGGCACATGCCTGTAATCCCAGCTACTCTCTGCTGAGGTAGAAGAATTGCTTGAACCCGGGAGGCAGAGGGTTGCAGTGAGCTGAGATGGCACCATTGCACTCTTGCCTAGGCAACAAGAGCAAAACTCCATCTCAAAAAAAAAAAAATTAAAAAACATCTCACCATCCCAGTGAGCTCACAAAACTTCCCAGGGCATGCAGTGGTAATGAAGAAGACAGAGGCTGTGCCATGCTGTGGAGAAAAGCCAAGCAGAGGAGGTAGCTCCGGGGCAGGAGGAGGACCTCCAGAGCCTCAAATGCAGAACCAAGCAGATGCCCCAGTGCACACCCCTGCAGGCCCAAGACGTTTCTGTTTCTGGCCAGCAACACCCCACGGCAGGTGTTTGGGGGGCACAGTTCCTCCCCATCCCAACTAGATCAGGCTCCTTGTCTAGCCTCAGACCCTCTGAGCCAGGCAGGTAAACCATTCAGCCTCTATAGGTACCCACCCCTTCCTGGGGACTGGGCTGTCACTCCTGCCTAGAGACCCTGCACGCGTTTGGGGGATTCTTCTCCATCCACCCGATCCCAGGAGGATCAGCCAAAGGCTTAAGAAACGGCCTGCCACTCCCCTTCCCTCTGTCTCCAGAGAGTGGGGTCAGGGACTGGATTCCCAGGGCCAGAGACGAAAAATAAAACATCCTTTTTCAAAAAAGTTGAGGAGAGCCAAGATGCATGTTAAGCCAAAGACGGAGGGGACGGACAAAGGGAGTCACTGATTGTTGGCCGTGTCCAGGGACAGGGGACCCAGGGGGCAGGCCCATGCCTCCCACAGGCTTAGGATTCTCCCTTTTGTTTTCATTTTGTTTTGTTTTGAAACGGAGTCTCACTCTGTTGCCCAGGCTGGAGTGCAATGGCAGGATCTTGGCTCACGGCAACTTCCATCTCCTGGGTTCAAGCAATTCTCCCTCCTCAGCCTCCTGAGTAGCTGAGATTACAGGCATTTGCCACCACGCCTGCTAATTTTTGAGTCTTTAGTAGAGATAGGGTTTCACCATGTTGGTCAGGCTGGTCTTGAACTCCTGACCTCAAGTGATCCACCCACCTCGGCCTCCTAAGGTATTCACATTACAGGTGCGAGCCACTGCACCTGGCCAGGATGCTTCCTTCTAATGTCTCTTATGATCCCTGTGGCAGCCCCAGCCAGCCCCGTGCTAATGGACCTCTCCAGCCAGAAGGCGTGCGATCCCCATCTCTCAGCATGGTAAGGCCAGGCCCTCTGAAGTCTATGGCCAAGCCACAGAGCCAGGAGGAAGGTGGGATTGCAGCCCTGCCCCTAGGCTGCAGCTGCAGCATCAATCTTCCCCTGCCCTCGGGCCTCCTGGTCCTCCAGCCTTCAGACTCACACCAGAATCTACTCCATCAGCTCCTGGTTCTCGGGCTCTCTAGTCAGAGAGACCTGGCTTTTCTGGTTCTCCAGTCTGCAGAGAGCAAACATGGGGCTTCTTGGCCTCCGTAATCACGTGAACCAATACCTTCTAATCAGTCTCTCTAGAGAGATATATCTATATTGTTGTAGCTATTGATATCTATTGCTATCCACATAGATCAAACTATGGAGAAATGGATCTATAGGTTGATTGGTGGATGGATAGATAGATAGACATAGCCTATGGATTCAGTTTCTCTGGAGAACCCTGACTAATACCCTGGGTGGATCTGATCTAGTCAGTAAAGCTCTTTAAAGCTGGGGCTAGAGAACAAAGATGTGAAACACACAGATTCTCCTGCTGGCCCTGAGCACAGGCTCCATGCTTCTTCAGAGGCAAGGAAATGAATTCTGCTCTGTAAACTCGGGAGCAGACCCCAGCCTCACATGAGAGCATAGCCCTGGCACACTTGAGGATTGCAGTGACCCCGACCACAGGACCCAGATAAACCACGGTGCTGGACTCCTGGCCCACGGAACTGTGAGATAATGAGTGTGTGTTGTTTAATCCCAATGCATTAGTGGCTATTTCTTACATAGCATAGATAACGAATGCACTCATTATATTATAAGAGTCTGCTAGTGTAAGGTCTTTTAGGCTCACTGCACCATGGACTATGCCATGGTAACCTGTGTGACCTGCACGTACACTCCGGATGAGTTCCTGGAACTAGAAAGTCTGAGGTAAGTGGAAGACCACAAAAAGAAGAACCATCAACCCCTTCGGCACCTAATCAACTTTGAGACATTCTTCCATTGTTCTTTATTCCTGCCTCAACTGATAAGGCAACTGGACTTTGTAACGGACCTTGGTCAACCTCCTGATTCTAGACCCTACAACCCCCTCCCAGCTTGCAAAAGCCACCCTGAGCTGTAACTTCTGTAACTTTCCACTGCCTACCCCAAACCTATGAAACCAATTCCTATCCCACCGCCCTCCTCCGCTGACTCTCTTTTCAAACTCAGCCTGCCCTACCCGGGTGAATGAACAGCCATGTTGCTCACACAAAGCCTGTTGGGGGGGGGGTTTCTTCATTCAGAGCTTGGACCCCCATAACAAAGTTCCAAAGACTGAGTGGCCCCAACAGCAGAAACGTATTTTCTCCTGGTTCTGGATATGGATGTCCGCCGTCAAGGTGTCAGCAGGACGGCCATCCCCTGAGGCCTCTCTCCTGCTTGCCGACGGTTGTCCTCCTTGTGTGGCCTCCAGGATGCTCCCTCTGTGCATGTCTCTGTCCTCATCTCTTCTATAAGGACACCAGTCAGATCGAATGGGGCCCCCCGCAGTGACTTTAACTTAATTTCCTCTTTAAACACTTTCTCCTGATACCCTCCACTCCAGAGCTTGGGGGTTACAACTTTGGCATCTGAATCTGGGGGGACACATTCAGCCATGGCCCACCTTCTCTCAGAAGAGTTGTGAACCAAATGCCACAGGGTTAGCCCCTCTGCGTCTGGGTTGGGGATACCAGGGTGATACATTGTGACTCTGCCATCTGTATATTTTTATAAATTTTAAGGGGGCCAGGTGCAGTGGCTCATGCCTGTAATCTCAGCACTTTGGGAGGCCAAGGCAGGCAGATCACTCGAGGTCAGCAGTTCAAGACCAGCCTGGCCAACATAGTGAAACCCAGTTTATTTATTTTTTAATTTTTTTAGAAATAGAGACAGGGTTCACCATGTTGGCCAGGATGATCTCGATCTCTTGACCTCATGATCCACCCACCTCAGCCTCACAAAATGTTAGGATTATAGGCGTGAGCCACTTCGTCCAGCTTTTTTTTTTTTTTACGAAACAGGTCTAATTGTAGAAACCCAGTTTCTACTAAAAATATAAAAATTAGCCGGGCATGGTGGTGCATGCCTGTAATTCCAGCTACTTGGGAGGCTGAGGCAGGAGAATCTCTTGAACCCAGGAGGCAGAAGTTACAGTGAGCCGAGACCACGCCACTGCACTCCAGCCTTGGTGACAGGGCAAGACTGTCTCAAAAACATAAAAAAAAAAAAGGGGGGGGAAACAAGGTCCCACAATGACTGGACAAGAGGGAGCAGATGAGCAGCTGGGGACAGGGAGGGACAAACCCTGGGTTGTCCCTGGCTTCCTGGCCTGGCTGTGACACCCCAATCCAGATGGTAGGGGGGTTAAGGGGTGGGATCCCCACATTCCAGCTGTAGCAAGGCCTGCAAAGGAGGTTGGGGGCCGGATCTTGAGGCCCGGGCACTGCACCTGCCCCAAACCTTCTGTGACTCTCCATCATGCTTACCTTCAGAGCCCAACCCCTGCCTGGCTCTCAAGGCCCTGCGGGTCCGGCCCCTCTCCGCGTGTCTGACTTCACCTCCTCCAGCACTCAGTGATGCAAGATGCTCAATAAATGTTTGTTGAATGATTAAATCCACCCCCAACACACACAACATTTCAAGGGCTGGGATGGGGAGACTAGGCTGGCTTCCTTAGTACCTTCCAGCACCTGGAAGTGCAGCTCCTCAACAGACATCCATGAAGCCAGCTCTCAGCTGTGGTTGATTCTTCTCAGTGACAGGAGACGGGAGAGGGCCCCACCTTCTGGGACCGCATCCCTTGAGTCAGGCTGCCCAGCACAGGCTGTGGGGGCGCCCCCTGGTGGACAGTCCCGAGGCTGCAGCCTGCAGGCAGCCGCCCTGAGTGGGACAGAGCTGGCCAGCTGGTGCTGCTCTTGGCCCCTGGGCTGTGGAATGCCGATTTTGAAATAAGAGCTACCAGATGTGAGTGCACATGATACAGTGTGTATTGAGGTAGCAGAGGTCATATCCCAGCCACGTAGCGCGGCCCCTAACCAGCCCTCAGGGTCAGTCCTTCCCTCCCATCCTCCAGAAACCCAGGGGTCCACTCCCCTTGGCCTCTTACCAATGGACCCTGAACCGTTCCCTGTGTGCCTGAGACCTGGAGTAGAACAGGACAGGAAACCTTCAGGCCACCCCCAACACCATAGGCGTGAACCAGACTCACGGCCATCTTGAAGCAGAATAGCAGAGAAAGTCGGGGGAGGAGGGGACCCTTGGATGTGGTTAGCGTAAGCATAGCAGAAGCAAAGCGTGTCAGAGGCAGAAGCAGGGCGTGCGAAATAAGGAAGGAAGCAGTGAGTTGGAGCATGCGGGATAAGGAGAGTCAGAGGACGTGCAGGAGCAGTAAATGAGCGATTTGCTCAAAAGAGAAGTCAGATTAGGCCGGGGTGAGCATCTAACTTACAGGAGATAAAGTGAGCTTAAGCAAGTGTGAAAAACATAGAAAAGGCCGTGAAGTGTACGGCCAGGTGCGCTGGCTCACGCCCGTAATCCCAGCCTTTGGGAGGCCCAGATGTGCAGATCACCTGAGGCCAGGAGTTCCAGACCAGCCTGGCCAATATGGTGAACCCCGTCTCCACTAAAAGCACAAAAATTAGCCGGGCGTGGTGGCGTGTGCCTGTAATCCTAGCTACTAGGAGGTTGAGGCAGCAGAATCTCTTGAAACAGGAGACGGAGGTTGCAGTGAGTGGAGACTGTGTCACTGCACTCCAGCCTGGGTGGCAGAGCGAGACTGTCTCTAAAAATAGATAGATACATACACACGTATACATAGACAATATATAGATATAGATAGATAGATAGATAGATAGATATAGATAGATAGATAGATAGATAGATAGATAGATAGATAGATAGAGGACCGTAGAGAGAATTGTAGACAAACCAGGGATGGACAGAAAGCCAGGAGGAGCAAGGGCGGGGAGATGCAGAGACAGCAGTGGGGCCAGCGTGCGTCAGACAGTCGGCAGTCAGAGGGACCAAGGGGCCGAGTACGGAGCCCATCCAGGAGGCTGGAGACCCTTGGAGACACTCAAGAGAAACAGGGGAGGCCCATGATGTCCCTGACATAGAAACCTGCCACACCAGGGCCAGCAGCCCCCCATGCAGCGGTCCATCCAGCACAGTGGTCCAGTTGGGCGTGGGAGGGGTAGCAGTCAATGTGCCGTGGCTGGTGAGGGTGCTGGGTGTCTGGCTGTCCTATTGCAGCTGGTCTCACCGTGCTCTACTGACAGGTAACCGGACCTCTGGCAACCTCACGGCTGCACTCAGCCACAGCTCCCAATATGTCCCCACCTGCCTGCTGTCCCCCACCTTAGGCCCAGTAGGGGCTCAGCTGCTGACCTTGCCCATAGTACTGCTGGCCTGGCAAGCAAACTCACAATGTCAGGTTCAAATCCCTGCTTTGGGCTGGGTGCAGTGGCTCAGCCTGTAATCCCAGCATTTGGGGAAGCTGAGGTGAGACAATCACCTGAGGTCGAGAGTTCCAGACCAGCCTGACCAACATGGAGAACCCCCATCTCTAATACAAAATTAGCTGAACGTGGTGGCAGGTGCCTGTAATCCCAGCTACTCGGGAGGCTGAGGCAGGAGAATCGCTTGAACCTGGGAGGCGGAGGTTGCAGTGAGCCGAGACTGTGCCACTGCACTCCAGCCTGGGCAACAGAGCAAGACTCTGCCTCCAAAAAAAAAAAAATGAAGAAGAGGCGATTAAGACACAGGCTACGTTTAGGTTCCTGAGATGGGGAAACATCTGAGATTATCTGGAGGCCCCCATGTAATCTGTTTTGTTGGGGGCAGGGTCTTGCTGTGTCACCCAGGCTGGAGTGCAGTGAAGCCATTACGGCTCACGGCAGCCCCCACCCCTGGGGCTCAAGGGATCCTCCCATCTCAGTCTCCTGAGTAGCTGGGACTCCAGTCAAGCGCTACCACACCTGGCTATTTTTTCTACATTGCACACCAGCCTAGGCAACAGAGCAAGACCCTATCTCAACAAAATAAACAGGCCAGGCACAGTGGCTCATGCCTATAATCCCAGCACTTTGGGAAGCGGGTAGATAACTAGAGGTCAGGAGTTTGAGACCAGCCTGGCCAATATGGCAAAACCCTGTCTCTACCAAAATTACAAAACTTAGCGGGGCAGGGTGGTGCATGCCTGTACTCCCAGCTACTCAGGAGGCCAAGACAGGAGAACTGCTTGAACGCGGAAGCAGAGGGTGCAGTGAGCCAAGATCCTCCAGGACACTCCAGCCTGGGCGACAGAGCAAGACTCTGTCTCTAAATAAATAGACACAGTTGTACGCCTGCCTCCCAGGTCGGCAGGAGAATCCATGTGTGGTTCTAGGTACTAAGCCTTTGTTACACCAGCTTTGGGAAACATCCTGGCTTCCCAGCGCAGACCCCCAAGGGTGGGGATCCAAGCAGAGACTAAGGCTGCCCCCCACATGCTCCCCCACCCAACCTGAGACCCAGAGTCTGAACTCCAGCCAACACCCTCCCAAAAACAAGGGGACCCAGCCTGTCCTCTGCCTCCCACAGACACCCCAGTCCCTCAATAAAACGCCTTGGGGGAGACTGTGTCCTGTTCTCCCGTCCTGCCTCCCCCCTCCCCTCTCCCCCCTCCCTCTGCTGCCCAGGATTCTATGAGCCCCATGATTTCAGGGGCGACTTCCTGGGACCCAACTCCTCCTGCTGGCTAGAGACCACGGCTGGCACCAGCCTTTCTGGGAGCCTCGGTTTCCCCTCCTAAGGCACCGGGCTGAGCAGAGGGAGGGAGGGAGGCACAGGTGTGTCTAGAGGTGGGCGGGCAGGTGCAGCCCGGCTTCCCTCCCTTCCAGCTTCCGCCCCACGGCTCCAATTAAGGGTCCTCCATGCTCAATCGCTGTATTTGACTCACTGGCCGCCTCGTCTCCGGAGCGAGGCCTTTGTCCCCTTAATTGGCCATCTGCAGGCACGATTCTCTGCCTCCCGCCGACGCACGCCGGTCCCATATCCCAGGTCCAACTATGCGCTAATTGGGCACTTAGAGGGTCCCCAGAAAGCCCCCTCCCCTCCCTGCCTTCCTATATCAGCCCCCACCTGCCGGTCCCTCAGACCTCAGATTGGGCTCCAGGGAGGTCCGGACCGGGTTAGGGCGCCGCAGGGAGGCCTTGGCTCATTTCCCAGCGCTGCCTCCTCCCCAGCCCCGGGTGCCCTGCCTCCAGAGTCCCCTGCCCTCCCTGCTCACAGATTTGGGGGTGCTTTGGTCAGCAGTATTGTGGGGAGTTACTCCAGACAACCCAGGCCATGCACCCCGGGGCCCCCGAAGGCCCTGGGGTCTCCGAGCCCGGCCCCCGGGAGCTGTGTGCGTTCGTAAGTGGGGCGGCTGCCCACGTGCTTCGGGTCCTACAGCCCCGGCGCACCCGGCCCCCCAAGAGGCAGCCCAACCACAGAAGGTTTCTCCACAACCAGATCTGCAGGTGAGGGGGCCAAGGGGTGTGGGGAGGGGAAGCGGGGGGAGGCGGGCACGGGAGGGGGGAGAGGGGCAGGAGCAGCCGGCACCCTTGGTTGGGGGAGACCAGGCACAGACAGAATAGAGGAGCAGCCCCCAGGGCTGATGCCAACAACAGTCAATGTGCATTTATTGAGTGCCTGCTGTGTGCCAGCAAAGCACTGAAAGTTCCTTGCCTTCGTGGAGGTTGTGCTTTCATGGGGGTGGAGGGCGGACAGGAATCACCAAAATAAATAGCTGGAATGATGTGAAATGACCACGTAGGTGGCCGGACGCGGTGGCTCACGCCTGGAATTCCAGCACTTGGGAGGGCCGACGCAGGAGGTCGCTGGAGTTCAGGCGTTAGAGACTACCCTGCTCACACCTGTCTCTGCAGGCAGTTCAGCCAGATCGAGGCCGCCACCCAGCGCTTGGCCCTATCCATCCTGTCCCAGGAGGGACCTCCCCAGAGACCCTCGCTCCGAAAGCCGCCCCCGCCGCCTCCGTCCCCCTTCCTGGGGGTGGCCTGTGCTGTGGCCCCCGCTGAGGTTCCCCACACCAGCCCCAGCCTGAGTCTGGCCGCCCTGGACACCTCTACCCTCGACCTCTTTGACAACATTTCGCTCACCCCAGAGTGTGCCTCAGTGCCATGGGACCCCTCCTCTAGCCCTGATGCTCCCTTGCCAACCCTGGGTCTGGCCTATCACGACCTGGGCCAGCCGGGCCAGAGGCAGCTCCCACATTTCTGTGGCCTCCTGACCCCTCCCCAGCATGCCCTGGGGGAAGAAGCAGAGCAGGTGGCTCCCAACTGGGGTTGGGTGGACTGGTGGGAGGTGCCTCATGCCTGGGATTCTCAGGGGATCCCCGAGGGCTGGGGGACCAGCTCCCCATGAGGTCAGTCACAACCCAGCCCAGAATCCAGGACAGGCCAGAGGCCCCTCCATGATAGCTCTCCAGCTCTCTCCGGGCCCCCAACCTGTCTACTCCCTTCCTGGCAGCCCCTGGGAAAATAAACCAAGCCCAGACCCCCACCTCAGACAACTGCCTCAGGGGGCTCCGCCTGGGCTCAGAGGCCCCACCTCCACCTCTTATGGGGGCCCTGTTCTTGCTCCCCACCTTCTCCCTTCCTTCTTCCCAGCCCCATCTTGGCATCCAGCCCTCGCATTCACCCGGCTCACCTCTGCCTAATGTCTGCTCTCCGCTCATTTATTCCCAAAGATGTATCAAGCGCCTACTGTGGGCCAGGCCCAGATCCAGGACTTGAGGATTCAGCAGTGAACGAGGCAAGTGGGAACCCTGCCTCGGGGAGCTCCCTTTCCTGTACGCATATGTGTGTTTTGGAGGGGAACTGACAATAAAAGAGTATATCCATGCGTTTTTCAAAAAGCAACATTCATTTCCAATTCAGACTGGAGTTATTCAAGAAAATAAAAACAAGGCTGGGTGCGGCGGCTCACACCTATAATCCCAGCACTTTGGGAGGCCAAGGCAGGCGGATCACTAGAGCCCAGGAGCTCAAGACCAGCCTGGGCAACAGAGTGAGACCTCCGTCTTTACAAAAAATTTAAAAAAAATTAGTCAGGTGTCGTGGCGCATATTCGTGGTTTATTCCAAGACAGAAGGGAAGTTCTCTCTTTCTCTCAACCACCATTTCCAAGGGCAGAATCTAAATTATTCTGAACACCACTGGAACGGGCAAGTGCTGCACAAAAGGGGAAACTGAGGTAGCACAGAGAACAAAGGATGAGGGGGGCATCTAATTCCTCACTTAATCGCTTCCTTAGCAGCCCCTTCCTGGAAAGTGCTTGGGTATCTTCGTAAGCCTCCGTTTCTTGACAGAAGGGCCAGGGTTCGAACCGCAGACCTGCCTCTACTCTGTGTAGGGCCCCTCTCTCTCTCCCGGCCTCTGCCATCTGCTCCGTGCAATGAGACCGGCCGAGACGCCCTCTCTCCGGCCGGGATCTGAGCCCTCGGAGACCACCGCGCGACTCCGCCCCGTCGGCCGCCACTCACGCCCTCTACGGCTCTCCATTGGCCGGACGCGCTGCTTCCCCGCCCCCTCCGCGCTGTAGCGAGCTAATCATTTTCTTGGGACTGATAGCGTTGCCGGCGCGGCCCCTCCCCCGGGGCGGGAGCAAAGCAGAGGCATATGCGGATTGGTTGAGAGGCGGGGGGGGGCGGGGAGAGGCAGTGGCACATGCGGATTGGCCGGAGCGGGGGGTAGGAGGAGGAGGAGTAGGAGGAGGCGAGCATGATGAGTGTCGATTGGACGGCTCGGCCCTAAGTGGGCGGAACGCGGACGCTGCAGGGGGTGGGCCACGTGTCCAGCCCTAACGAAACGGTGACCCGCCCCAGGAAACCCGGGAGAGGCCTCAGAGTGGCTGTCCGAGCGCAGAGAGGTGAGGGTGCCCCCAGCCTCACGTGCGGAGGGGCCGTTCCAGGCCCGAACCCGGCACCTTCCGGGTAAGTCCTCTCGCTGCTGGCGCTTATTTGGAGACCGACCTTCACGCCTAGCAGATGGGGAAACTGAGGCTCTTCCCGGGCGTCCCCGGGCCAAGGTCACAGGACCAGAAAGAGGACTCCACCTGGCCCCGCCATAATTGGCTGGCCAGAGACTCAAACTGTCCCCCGGGTCGCTCTCGCCGCCTCTGTAACAGCCCTGCGGGGTGGGTAGGTTTAATCCCCATCTCTTCGACAGGGAAACTGAGGCTAAGACAGAGAGAAGCTTTCCCAGGGTCACAGAACCAGAAAGTCCGGGCTCCAAGGCTGGGTTTCCGAGACCTCGTGGGGAAGTAAACAGCCCTACCCCGCCCCCCTGTTACCGCCCACCTCCAGCCGTGCCTTGGGTACCCTCCACCCAGGCTGAATCTCTCCTCCTTCCCCAGGACACGCCCAACTCTCTCCAGCCCAGACCTCTCTCTCTCATAAACACCCACTCTCACCCCAATTTTTCACCTCCCCAAAACCAGTTTCCCTCTCCAGGATCCCCTATTAGTCTTCAGGTCATGCCCCTCGCCCAACCAGAAACTGGGGGCCTTCCTCCCCGACTTTCCCTGCAGCCCCACCTGTCCCTTCCTATCTCTCTCCCCTGTCCCACTGGACCCCAGCCCCAACCTCCTCCTCTCTGGCCTTTGTCTTCAGTCCAGCTGCGCCAGTGGGGCCATGAAGCCATCTTTGTATTTTGCAATTTGAAAACTTTTTATGGACTGATACCACATATACAGAAAATCATACGGTTTGCATATACACAGCTCAAATAAATGTTTACGAAGGGAGCACGCTGGTCTAAACAGTATCCAGGGCCGGGTGTAGTGGCTTACCCCTGTAATCCCAGCACTTTGGGAGGGTGAGGTGGGTGGACCACCTGAGATCAGGAGTTGGAGACCAGCCTTACCAACATCGAGAAATCCCATCTCTACTAAAAATACAAAATTAGCCGGGCATGGTGGTGGGTGCCTGTTCCCAACTACTCGGGAGGTTGAGGCAGGAGAATCGCTTGAACTTGGGAGGCGGAGGTTGCAAGTGAGCTGAGATCTCGCCATTGCATTCCAGCCTGGGCCACAAGAGTGAAACTTGGTCTCAAAAAAAAAAAAAAAGAAACAGTATTCAAAGAAAAAAGTCAAACACGCGCCGCATTCCAGGATCTCCCGCCATGGCCATTTCCATCACTGGTCCCTGGGCAACCACAGATCCGTTTTGCTGGGTTTGGGCTTCACATAAACCCTCGATTGTAGATAGCGTTGACTAGACAACCTGTTGCACATTGTGCAGAATTCAGAAGAGACAGAATAGGACCCAGTGAAAATCGAGGCTCCTGCACTCCGTTCCCCAGTGCCTGGTTCACCCACCTGTCTCCCGTTCCTTGTTTGCCAGAGATAGCAGATACAGATATATGCGACACAGACACATTTTCTCTCCCTTTTTTTTTCTGGCACAAAAAGGAGCATTCCATACACAGTGTTCTGCTTCTTTTTCACTTCTCTCAAACATGTTTTCATATGGTTACTTAAAGAGCTTCCTCGTAATTTTTCCTGGCTTGCAAGGAATACCAGAGTGTAGTTATGCCGTGACTTACATAACCGGTATCCGAATTGTGGACATGGATACTTCCTTCTGCACCTTTGCTCTGGGGAAGAGTCCTGTAATGACTAACCTTGTGTCGTTGCTAAATGCTTAGGAGCAACTTCTGCGTTCAGAGGCTTTGTGTATTCATCATTTTGAGAAATGTGTCTGCTCCGCTCTCCCTAGGAGTTGTTGCAACCCACACTCCTGCCAGGCCAGGGGGGAGCTCCTGGGTGCTACAGATGCCTGTCCTAGGCTTTTGGACATGCCGACCCCCAGATGGCCCCTCCATGGCTCCCCACTGCCCTCAGCAGAGAGGCTCCAGGGCCCTTGTGACCCACCTGTCAGATCTCCAGCTTCTGGTTCCCTCAGAACCATCCTTTGGGGTCTGGGTGTCCCAGGTCCTGCCTGCTGCTCAGGGGAGGAAGAATTAGCACATGAGTGGGCCTGAGAGGGTCACTCCAGGGGGAGGAAACGGCAAGGGCTGTTGTAGAGGCAGAGGCGGATGTGGCTGGGCTGTGTGGGGAGAAAGGGGGCATCTGCATCTTAGTCCTAAGGACAGAGAGAAGCCACAGGGAGTTTGAGACCGGGTAGTAATAGTCAGCTTTGTGTTTTCTAAAAAGATCTTTTTTTTCTTGAGACAGAGTCTCGATCTATCACCCAGGCTGGTGTGCAATGGCGTGATCTCAGCTCACTGCAACCTCCACCTCCCAGGTTCAAGCGATTCTCCTGCCTCAGCCTCCTGAGCAACTGGGATTACAGGCACCCACCACCATGACTGGCTAATTTTTTTGTATTTTTAGTAGAGACGGGGGTTTCACCATGTTGGCCAGGCTGGTCTCAAGCTCCTGACCTCGTGATCCACCCACCTTGGCCTCCCAATGCTGGGATTACCACCGCGGCTGACCTCGAAAAGATCATTTTTCTGTCTTCAATTCCTCTGGGAGAACATAGCAGCCCCTGCCAAGCTAGATCTGGCTCCCTGGAAATCTCAGCACTTATCACGGTTGTAATTATGTGATTAATTCACTGTGGCTTTGTTACAGAGGGAGTTTCCATTCCATTTTATTTAATGAGCTAAAATTTGCACAACATAAAATTCACCATTTTAGCCATTTGTTCGTTTTTAAATTTGAGATACAGTACACATAGAAAACATTTACTGTGGTAGATAGATTTTGTTCAAAGAATAATAGGCAAAGCGCGGTGGCTCGCGCTTGTAATCCCAGCACTTTGGGAGGCTGAGGTGGGAGGATCGCTTGAGCCCAGGAAGTTGAGGCCAGCCTGGGCAACATAGTAAGACCCTGTCTCTAAAAATTTAAAAATACAAAAATTAGCCAGGTGTGGTGGCATGCACCTGTAGCTCCTTGGGAGGCTGAGGTGGGATGATCACTGGAGCCCAGGAGTTGAAGGATGCAGGGAGCACTCCAACCTAGGTGACACCATGAGACCTTGTCTCAAAAAAAGAAAGAGAAAAATAATACAGCAGTTTGGGAGGCCAAGGCAGGAGCATTGCTTGAGGCCAGGAAGAGAGAGAAGGAAAGAGAATGAATACCAGTGTCCTCACTACCCAGCTTTGGAAAGCGCAGCTCCTTGTGAGCCCTGCCTCCCTCAGCTTCCCGGAACACCTCCTGTCTGGCTTCCAATGAGCCTATAGGGTCTCCCATTTCGCTGGCGAATTAATGAATAAATGAGTGAGTACCAACAAATCGTACACACAGACGGCGAGACAGCTACAGACAAAAGCCCAGCCCGAACGCGGGGACCCAGAAACACAAGCGTCCTAGGGACACAGGCCGAGGCATGCTGGCACAGGGCCCCTGCGGTGTAGGCGCGCTGACGGTGGAGATGCTCTGGCCAACTGGAAGTCAGGTGTGCCCTGCATGGCTGCAGGACCTAGGGCAGGTTAACGGGCCCTCCGGGTCGAGGTTTCCTCCCCTGCAAAAGAGTCACTGGCCAGGGGGCTCCAGCGGCCTGTCCTTTTTCTTTTTCTTTGTTTATTGTGGTAAAATGCACTTAACATAAAACATACCCTTTTAGTCATCTGGAAACGCACAGTGGAGTGGCATTCATAGGGTCATGATGTGCAGCTGTCACCACGGAGCGCCTGAGCCTTTTCACCATCCCAAACGGAAACGCTACGCCCCTCAGCAGTCACCCTGAACTCCTCCCTGCCACAGCCCCTGGCAGCCACCCATCTGCTTTCTCTTTTTTTTTTTTTTGAGACAGAGTCTCACTCTGGAGTGCAGTGGTGCGATCTCGGCTCACTGCAACCTCTGCATCCTGGGTTTTTAGCTGTTCTCCTGCCCCAGCCGCCCGAGTAGCTGGGATTACGGGCGTGCAGCACCACGCCTGGCTAATTTTTGTATTTTTAATAGAGATGGGGTTTCGCCATATTGGCCAGGTTGGTCTTGAACTCCTGAACTCAGGTGATCTGTCTGCCTCGGCCTCCCAAAGTGCTGGGGTTACAGGCCTGAGCCATGGCACTCTGCCTCATCTACCTTCTGTCTGCAGATTTGCCTGTTCTGGGCATCTCAGGTAAATGGGATGGCACACACTGTGGCTTTTGTGTCGAGGTCTGTCCATGCTGTGGCCTGTGCCAGGACTTCCTTTCCACAGCTGAAGAATATGGCCTCAGTTTCCTCTTGGGGCAGGGTGAGGATCAGAATGGACCCTTCGTTCAGGACTCCCTGGGGTGTGGGCTGGCGAGATGCAGGAGGACGCCCAGCAGAATCTCCCGTTTTGGGGATGATGGTAATCGGGATCACGAAGCACTCGACGAGCACAGTCCCCACCTAAGAGAAGGCAGGAGCGGGAGCGGAACACCCAGAGCCACGTGTGGACGTGGCCCAGAAGGCTTCCCAAGAAGTCACCTCCCTGCCGAACAGGACAGAAATAACAAAGCCCATCCCAGACCGGGGGAACAGCAGACGCAGAGCCCTGGAGGTGGGAAGAAGGTTGGCATGGGCCCTGCAAGGCTCTGAGTGCAAGGACCCTGGATGCCAACTGAAAATGCTGGGAGGAGCCCTCAGGCCTGACCCAGCACCCTCTGCCCACCCCCAGAAAATGGCGGCTGCCAGGCCCAGCCTAGGCCGAGTCTTCCCAGGATCCTCTATCCTGTTCCTGTGTGACATGCAGGAGAAATTTCGCCACAAAATCGCCTACTTCCCACAGATCGTCTCAGTGGCTGCCCGCATGCTCAGGGTATGACCTCAGGGACCCCACCCTCAGACCCAGCATCCAGTCTCCACCCTCCACCCTCAGACCCAGGATCCAGGCTCTGCCCTCCACCCTCAGACCCAGGATCCACGCTCAGTCCTCCACCTTCAGAATCCAGGCCCAACTTCTCCTCCTTCAGACCCAGGAGTCCAGGCCCAGCTCTTCCTCCCTCAGACCCAGGTGTAGTCCCCTCCTCCCTCAGACCCAGGAGTCCAGGCCCAGCTCCTCCTCCCTCAGACCCAGGAGTCCAGGCCCAGCTCCTCCTCCCTCAGACCCAGGAGTCCAGGCCCAGCTCCTCCTCCTTCAGACCCAGGAGTCCAGGCCCAGCTCCTCCTCCCTCAGACCCAGGAGTCCAGGCCCAGCTCCTCCTCCTTCAGACCCAGGAGTCCAGGCCCAGCTCTTCCTCCCTCAGACCCAGGAGTCCAGGCCCAGCTCTTCCTCCCTCAGACCCAGGTGTAGTCCCCTCCTCCCTCAGACCCAGGAGTCCAGGCCCAGCTCCTCCTCCCTCAGACCCAGGAGTCCAGGCCCAGCTCTTCCTCCCTCAGACCCAGGAGTCCAGGCCCAGCTCCTCCTCCTTCAGACCCAGAAGTCCAGGCCCAGGCCCTCCTCCCTCAGACCCTGACCTTTCTTCCCCATCACTGGCACAGGTGGCCCGGCTGCTGGAGGTACCAGTCATGCTGACGGAGCAGTACCCACAAGGCCTGGGCCCCACAGTGCCCGAGCTGGGGGCTGAGGGCCTGCAGCCACTGAGCAAGACCTGCTTCAGCATGGTGCCCGCCCTGCGGCAGGAGCTGGACAGCCGGCCCCAGCTGGAATCCGTGCTGCTCTGCGGCATTGAGGCGCAGGCCTGCATCTTGGTGAGATGCTGACTGACCCCAGCAGTCCCTCATTTTCACCTGGGACCCCCATCCTAAATAGAACCTCCTTCCCTGACCAGAAACCTCGACTTCCCTGCAGGACCCCCCTGACATGGCCCTCTGTCCTTACCTGTGGGCCCATCCCATCCTGGATCCCCTCCTGACCAGCTCTGATCCGGGCCTCCCTCCTCCCCATTCTGGGCCCCTAATTCTGACCCAGCATCCCCACTTCCTTACCCAGGACCCCTGTTCTTATCCGGGGTTGGCCCCCGCCTCTCTCTACCTACAGAACACAACCCTGGACCTCCTGGACCGGGGGCTGCAGGTGCACGTGGTGGTGGATGCCTGCTCCTCACGCAGGTGAGAGGGTTCCTCCCTGGGCGGGTGCACATGGGGGCCACAGGTGGCATTCCCGCCAGGGTGCCAGTGTGTCTGGGTGTCTGGGCTGCAGCATCCACACCGACCCTCCCTCCCTCTCTTCCACTCGCAGCCAGGTGGACCGGCTGGTGGCGCTGGCCCGCATGCGACAAAGTGGTGCCTTCCTCTCCACCAGCGAAGGTCTCATTCTGCAGCTTGTGGGTGATGCCGCCAACCCCAAGTTCAAAGAGGTAATACCCCCCGCAGCCGCCTCCACCTCCCCTGCATCTGGCAGAGGCCTTGTCTTTGGGCTCTCGGGATACATCCGGCACCAGCAGGGGGTGCCAGGTTCTTGGAGGGGAGGCTGCTGGTCACTGACACTGCCATAAATCCATGAAAGGAGCCGGCAGATGGAACCGCAGGAACCACAGAGAAAGATAAAACGGGTAGGCGGTCCCGAGGGTCGGGGCACAGAGGAGGGGGCTTGTAGTGGATGGTCCGGGGGGTGTCCTGGAGCAAGTAACTTTATCGTGAACTGAAGGAGGGAGGGACCGGGCGGACACTCGGGAAGAACAGGTCAGCAGAGACCTGGTGGGTCGAAGCCCCTTGGCCCACCCACACCCATCCCCAACTCCCCATCTCCTCTGCCTCTGCCCCATCAGGCCCGGGTGGCCCTCCTCTGGTTTCTCAGACTCCACACCCGCCGCCAGAGTGGCTGCCCTGCTACCGGGCTCAGCCAGGCACTGGGTCCCCTGCATGAAGCCCTTAGCCCTCAGGAAGAGTGGCTGCCCTGCTACCCGGCTCAGCCAGGCACTGGGTCCCCTGCATGAAGCCCTTAGCCCTCAGGAAGAGTGGCTGCCCTGCTACCGGGCTCAGCCTGGCACTGGGTCCCCTGCGTAAAGCCCTTGGCCCTCAGGATGCTGAAGCAGCCCCAGACTTGACATTCCCAGGCCTTCCCAGGTCTGCTCTCTGCCTTCCTTCTACTTCAGTTCTGTGGGAATTCACTGAGCCCCCACTCTGTGCCAGCCACTGTGGAGAGCCCTGGAGTCCGCATCAGTCCCTGTTCAGGGACACGTTGTGGCCTGCAGCTGGGCCAGGGGTTGCCGAGGGATGATTGAGAGTGGCAGGGGCCCTGAATTCCGGCCTGCAGGGGAAGGGGGCATCAGGCATTCACAGTGTTCTCAGGGGAGGTGGGACTGCACTTTCCTTGTCCAAGGAGCTGTAGCAGGCTGCAGTGAGCACTGGGAGGGAGGAGCCGGGCAGGAAGGAGCCAGCACCCTAAGGTTTGGGATTTCAGCCATAGGCAGCCATCAGGGTTTTGTGCAGGGGAGCTGGCCGTATCCGATCGGCAGTTTGTAAAGTTCTCTCTGGCACCGTGTGGCCAGTGGATTAGGGAGTGTGGTGTAGCGGGCAAGTGGTGAGGAGGGCTTGACCAGGGGGGAGGTAGTGAGGATGCAGGCTTTTTCGTTGTTTTCTTCTTCATTATTATTATTATTGAGACTGAGTCTCGCTCCATCACCAGGCTGCAGTGCAGTGGCACAATCTCAGCTCACCGCAACCTCCGCCTCCCAGGTTTAGGCACTTCTCCTGCCTCAGCCTCCCAAGTAGCTGGGATTACAGGCACGTGCCACCATGCCCAGCTAATTTTTGTATTTTTTAGTAGAAACGGGGTTTCACCATTTTGGTCAGGCTGGTCTCGAACTACTGACCTTGTGATTCACCCGCATCGGCCTTGCAAAGTGCTGGGATTACAGACGTGGGCCATCTTTATTATTATGTTTAATTTCTGGAGATAAACTTGCTGAGACTTGCTGTTGGGTGAATGCGGTTGGTTGCTCATGTCTATCAAAGAGGCGGTTGGATAGGTGAGTCTGGGGTTCAGGGGCAAAGTCCAGGTTGGATTTGGGGGTTGAGGGCCCAGAAGAGGGATGGGAGAGATGAGGTTACTTAAGAAGGTGTAGCCCAGAAGCCCCAGCCCAGAGCTGTGCACCCTTAGTGGCCCGAGCCAGCAGAGCAGACCAAGATGGCAGGCAGTCAGGACCTCAACCAGACGTGTGCCATGAAAGGGAGGCCCCAGGAGGCGTCTTGGGAAGAGGGAGTGTTGTCCTGGGCAGCTGCTGCCCAGAAGGTCCGGGAAAAGAGGACGGAGAGGTGTCCCTCACGCTTGTCATCCACGGAGATCAGGACCCTTCACTCGTCCTGACCCATCGCCCCCGCCCCTACAGATCCAGAAGCTCATCAAGGAGCCCGCCCCAGACAGCGGACTGCTGGGCCTTTTCCAAGGCCAGAACCCCCTCCTCCACTGAACTCCATCTCTGCCTTGAGGGAAGACCACCCTCCTGCCTCCCGGACCTCAGAGGAGGCGCTTTCCCCCATCCCCGGATCCCTAGAGTGGTGCGGTCCACCAGGAGTGCCGCCCCCTTGGGATGGGGGGGGCAGGGTGCTGGCTTCCTATTGGACAGCTGCTCCCGGAAATGCAAATGAGACTCCTGGGAGCTGGGCGGGAATTGGCTGAGCCGAGATGGAGGCGGGGCTCGGCCCCGGGCCACTTCACGGGGCGGGAAGGGGAGGGGAAGGAGAGTCTCAGGCTGTGGGACTCGGACTCGCAGAATAAACACTTATGTGGCTGTGGACCAAACCATTCTTGGGTTGGGGGGGATCCCGGGGGCGACTGGGGGCTGCAGGAGGGAGAAAGCGGGGTCCCCAGCAGGTGGGGAGGGGGAGGTGCCTCTTCTCGGCTCGAAGCCGGCGCGAGGCACAGGCGAGGGCTGGCGGCTGACACATCTGCACGGACGCGGCGCATCTGCTTGGAGGAGAACTGCGGCCGGGGTCGCCCCCCGTCGGCGCGCGCGCCCAGCCAGGCTGCCGGCAGACACGCGCTCCGCCGCCGCCCCCCCACGCCGCCGCCCCCGGCTCCCCAAGGGTCCTGCATCCGGAAACCGAGGTGAGCGAGACCGCACCCCAGTGCGGGGGGGAAACTGAGGCACGGGGACGGGGAGACGGGGAGGAAGGAAGAGACAAGCATGTGGATAGGAGGATGGATGGACGGATGGAAGGAAGGAAGGGCTGATGGCCCAGCCTTCTAGTCCCTGCTCCCCAGACGCAGGAGTTCTGGAACCCACATGGGGGCTCCCAGAATTCTGCAGATCTGGGAGTTGGAACTCTGCAGACCCCCCAGGGGGTGCCCCCCCTCCAGATTTGCAACCTTGCCTCTTCCCCAATCTTGGGGACCTGAGAGGCCAACCCTGAGTCCCCAGGGACACTGGCGTCAGAGCTGTCAGCCAGCCCGCCCCGCGTTGGGCAATCGGAGCCCCCACCGCCGACCCTGGGAGCCCAGACCCCTCCCAGGAGGTCCGATCCCGGGCTCCCAGCGTCGGAGTGCCCAGCACCCCTCTCCCCAGGGATGTAGGAGGGGCCCCTGGGACTGGGCGGCGGCGGCCCTGGCCCCCGCCTTCCGGATCCAGGTGTCCCCCCTCCTCACCCCCCAGCCCGAAGCCTCGCGTCTCGGAGGCCCCGCGCGCGTCGCCATGGCAACGGGAGTCTATTTTGCGCTGGGAACACACAGCTCCCGCCGCAGCGCCCCCCCACCCCACCACCCCAGGCCTCAATGGGAGTGGGGGACCCGGAAGGGGGCTCGGGGGTCCGGGTCGGGGGTGAGTGGAGACACCGACACTCAGAGATCCGACGACAGCAAGCCCGGGGCAGAGACAGAGCCATGGAGCCAGGGAGGAGAGACGAGCGGGATGTGGAGACCGAGGGGAGACGGAGACCGGGCGGGGGCAGGAGGGAAATGGAGGCGCACAGGGAACTGAGGCTCGGAGAGGGGGACAGCCCGAGGCAGAGGCGCCGGGACCGAGAGACGCGGAGAGGGACGCCGGGGTGCAGGAGACCCGCTGCGAGAGACTCGGACTGAGACCTCCGTAGAGACAGAGACGGGCGGGGGAGGCGGGGGTCCTGGAGGAGGCGTGGACCGGGCGCCCCGGGACGCGGAGATGCAGAGACCCAGACACAGGCGCGCGGGCCGGCGGCGCAGGGATCTGGGCGGGGGCGCCGGGACCGGCCGCCTCCTGGGCTGCGGGTCTGGAGAGGGTCCTCCTCTCTCACTCGGTCCCTGCCTTCCCCGCGGCCCGCGAGGCAAGGCGCCCCCGCGCAGCCCCCCAGGGTCTCCCCGCCCCGCCGCCTGGAACTGGGGTCCCTGCGCCCTCCAGCAGGAACTTGCCCCTTCTCTCTGGGCTTTCCCCATCCTCACGGGCCCGCCTCCTCTCGAACACATCCCTACCCCAAACCGACCTGTCAACCCCAAAGGATCCCCACCATTCCCACTTGGACCCCGCGCCCGTCCGGCCCAGCCCCCGCCTCTCTCCATCTCCACTCCGCCCTGCAGCCCCTGCCCACCCGCTGAGGACCCTGCTCCAGCCCAACTCCAAGATCCCAGAGGCGCCTACTCTCTCAGCTCTCTCTCTTCTCGGGGTCTCCGAACCCCACTTCTCTAGGACTCTGCGTCCCCTCTGAGCACTTGTCTCCCGCCCCTCCCCCACCCGTGTCTGTCCCTCTCTGGGTCTCTGTCCCCCTCTCTCTCTGAATCCCTGTCCTCCCCTCTCTCTGGGTCTCTGTCACCCCTCTCTCTGGGTCTGTCCCCCTCTCTCTCTGGGTCTATGTCCCCCTGTCTCTGGGTCTCTGTCCCCCTGTCTCTGGGTCTCTGTCCCCTCTCTCTTTGGGTCTCTGTCCCCCTCTCTGTCTGGGTCTCTGTCCCCCTCTCTCTCTGGGTCTCTGTCCCCCGTCTCTGGGTCTCTGTCCCCTCTCTCGATGGGTCTCTGTCCCCCTCTCTGTCTGAGTCCCTGTCCCCCCCCCCGGGTCTCTATCCTCCCCTCTCTCTGGGTCTCTGTCCCCCTCTCTCTCTGGGTCTCTGTCCCTTCTCTCCATCGATGGGTCTCTGTCCCCCTCTCGGGGTCTCTCTCCCCCTCTCTCTCTGAGTCTCTGTTCCCCCTCTCTCTCTGGGTCTCTGTCCCCCTGTCTCTGGGTCTCTGTCCCCCTCTCCTGGGTACTCTGTTTCCCCTTCAGTATCTGTGTCCCTTTCTCTGAGCTTCTGAGCACTCTGGCCCCCAGCCCCCAGCTGGGAGGGTTGGGAGGGAGCACAGCAGGTGGAGTGTGTAGCACAGTGCTGGGCAAGGGGCTGGTGGGGGTGGGAGAGAAGCTCCCAGAACCCAGGAACCCCTCCCAGTCCAGCTCTCTGACCTGTGTCCCCATATGTGTGTCTGTCAGGTCCTGAGCTAGGGTGCACGGGGTCTCGGCCCCTCCCCCTCAGCTGTGGAGGAGGAGAGTGCCTTTGTGTGCGTGAGATCCGAGGTGGGGGCGGGTATGGGGTGGCGGTGTCACATGGCTGCTTCCAGACGCTCCACCGCTGTGAGGGTGTGTTTGCACACGTGTGTGCACCCCCGAGGCTGCCTGGCCATGAGCTGCAATGTGTGTGGTCTCGGGCCCTCGTGGAGCCGAGTTGGACAGGTCCCTGGCCCTGTCTCAGAGCTGTCAGCGGTCCAGTGTGGAGCTGAAATGTGCAGTCCACATGGAGTGGAGCGTATGTGTGTCCGTGCGCTGGGAGGACGCTGCAGGTGTGCCTCCAGGTCCTTGCGTGTCGTGTCTGGGACTGTCCAGGTGCCCCGGGCTCTATGTCAGTGTGTTCTGAAGGGGGTGTCTGCACAGCTTTGTGTGAGGTCAGAAAAGAATTCGTCCCGTGTCTGGATGGAGCCACTGTCCGCAGGTGCAAGTCCTCTCTCCACCTACCTGTAGGTGCTGCCCTGACGGGGAGGGATAGAGAAGCTGTGGGGTGTGTGTGTGTGTGTGTGTGTGTGGTGTGTGCATGTGTGGTATGTGTGTGGGGTGTAGGGTGTGCGTGGAAAGTGTGTGGGGTGTAGGGTGCATGTGTGTGGTGTGTGCATTGTATGTGCCTTTGGTGTGTGCATGTTGTGTGTGTGTGTGTGTAGTATGTATGGTGTGTGTGTTTTGTGTGTGGGGCGTGGGGGGTATGTGTGTGGCATGTGTGTGTTGTGTGTGCAGGGTGTGGTCTGTGCGTGTGGTGTGTGTGGTGTGTGCTGTGTGTGGGTATGTGTGTGATCTGTGTGTGTTGTGTATGTTATCTGTGTGCAGTGTGTGTTGTATGGTGTGTGGTGTGTTTTGTGTGTGGTGTGTGAGAGGGTGTGTCTATGGTGTGGGGTATGTGTGTGGGTATGTGTGTGATCTGTGTGTGTTGTGTGTGTGACCTGTGTGGTGTGGTGTGTATGTTGCATGTGGTGTGTGGGGGGTGTGTATTGTGTGTGGGGTGTGTATGGTGTGTGGTGTGTGGTGTGTGTGGGGTGTGTGTGTCTGGTGTGGGGGTATGTGTGTGTTGTGTGTGCAGGGTGTGGTCTGTGCGTGTGGTGTGTGTGTGTGTTGTGTGTTGTGTGTGTGATCTGTGTGTGGTGTGTTGTGTGTTTGTGTGGTCTGTGTGTGTTGTGTGTGTGATGTGTGTGTTGTGTGTGATGTGTGGTGTCTATGGGGTGTGTGTATGTGTGTGGGGTGTGGGGTGTGTGTTACAGTCTATGTGGTGTGGGGTTTGTGTGTTGTGTGTCTATGGTCTGTGTGTGTATGTGTGGTCTGTGTATGTGGTGTGGGGTGTGTGTTGTGTGTTGTGTGTCTATGGTGTGTTGTGTGTGTGATCTGTGTGTGGTGTGTTGTGTGTTTGTGTTGTCTGTGTGGTCTGTGTGTGTTGTGTGTGTGATGTGTGTGGTGTGTGTTGTGTGTGATGTGTGGTGTCTATGGGGTGTGTGTATGTGTGTGGGGTGTGGGGGGTGTGTTACAGTCTGTGTATGTGGTGTGGGGTGTGTGTTGTGTGTTGTGTGTCTATGGTGTGTGTGTGTATGTGTGGTCTGTGTATGTGGTGTGGGGTGTGTATGTTGTGTGTTGTGTGTCTATGATGTGTGTGTGTGTGTATGTGTGGTCTGTATATGTGGTGTGGGGTGTGTGTATGTGTGTGGGGTGTGGGGGGTGTGTTACAGTCTGTGTATGTGGTGTGTGGTGTGTGTCTATGGTGTGTGTGTGTGTGTGTATGTGTGGTCTGTATATGTGGTGTGGGGTGTGTGTATGTGTGTGGGGTGTGGGTGGTGTGTTACAGTCTGTGTATGTGGTGTGTGGTGTGTGTCTATGGTGTGTGTGTGTGTATGTGTGGTCTGTGTATGTGGTGTGGGGTGTGTGTGTGTTGTGTGGTGTGTGTCTATGGTGTGTGTATGTGTGGTCTGTATACGTGGAATGTGTGTGGGGGTGTGGGGGGTGTCTGTGGTGTATGTATGTGTATGGTCTGTGTATGTGGAGTGTATGTGGTGTGTGTGGCATGTATGTGTGGTCTGTGTGTGGTGTATCTGGGGGTATCACTGAGTTTGAGGGGAGGTGCGTGCTGCTTCCGCTCTCCCTCCCTGTCCCCTTGGAGTTGTCAATGGCCTGGAGCTGCGTCTCCCTGGTGTGTGCACCACGTGCTTGCAGTTGGAGGAGCCAGTGGGATCCTAGCAGAGGCAGAGAGAGTGTCCACGGAGCCGGCGGAGGCACAGAATGGGGAGTGAGCAGAACCGCCAGCCCATACAGCAGCCTCTGTGCAGATGAGACAAAGGCACCCCCCACCTAGTCCAATCCGCTCTCCCAGGTCTGTGGTTTGGCAGGCAGATGGCACCCTCGTGTGCATTTGAAAAGGGCACTCCTTACCCCAGACAGATGCAACCCCACTGGCACACGCCTTGGGGAGGAGAGCCCAGCAGGATTTCAGCCTCTCAGTCAGACCCCCTTGTGCAGTGCACAACCTGCTCAACCCTACATGGCAGCCCTTAGTAAATGAAAGAATCCACAGAGCTGCATGCATGTGCAACTTCTGGAAGGGATGTCTCTCTTTGTGAGGAACAAAGGCATCCATGCACTACAGGTCACAGTGCTCAAAGACCTGAGTTCAAAGCCCAGCCCCAACTATTTGGCACCTTGGGACTCAGGCAAATGATGGGACCTCTTGGAACGTCAGTGTCCTCATCTGAAATGAGTGTGTCAATACACATATATGTGGCCAGCAGAGAATTGGGAGCATGTCTGGGGCTGCTGTTACCACTAGGCTGCTGAAATGACATGTGAGGGTCACCCTGAAGACAGGCCAGACCAGGATGGGTGGGAAGCAAGGGGCTCCCAGATGAAGGGAGCAGCAGGTGCACAGGCAGGAAGGCGGGAGCCTCTTGAGCATGAACTTGGAAGGTATGAAGGGAAAGGAAAGGATGAGAAGAGGAACTCCTGGCAGAACTGGAATTTTATTCCGGCTGTGACAGGAACCAGAGTGTCGATACGGAAGTGTTCGATACCATCCAACCTGTTTCCTTTTTTTTTTTTTTGAGATGGAGTCTCACTTTGCTGCCAGGCTGGAGTGCAGTGTCGCGATCTCGGCTCACAGCAACTTCCGCCTCCCAGATTCAAGAGATTCTCCTGCCTCAGCCTCCCAAGTAGCTGGAATTACAGGCGCCCGCCACCATGACCGGCTAATTTGGTATTTTTAGTAGAGATGGGGTTTCACCATGTTGGCCAGGCTGGTTGCAAACTACTGACCTCAAGTGATCCACCTGCCTCAGCCTCCCAAAGTGCTGCAATTACAGTTGTGCGCCACTACAGCCCCTGTGTCCTTTATAACTATTTCAGTGGCATTAGCACATTCATGAGGTTGTGCAGCCATCACACTATCTAGTTCCAGGGCATCTTCCTCACCAGAGAGGCCTGGCACCAATTAGCGGTCACTCCCCATGCCCCTGTCCCCAGCTCTGCACAATTATTAATCGGCTTTCTGTGTCTATGGATTTGACTATGGTGACATTTCATCTTAGTGAAATCATATGCTACATGAGCTTTGTGGCTGGCCTTTTCCACTGACTGTAATGTCTTCAAGGTTTGTGCATGTTGCGGCTTGTATCTCAGCCCTTCTCCCTTTTCATGGTTGAGTAATATTCCACTGTGAGGGTAGGCCGCAGTCGGTTTGTCCACTCCTCCTCTGCTGTGTGCTCACATTGTCCCCAGTGTCTGGCTGTCATGCAAGGCACTGCTATGAACATCCCAGGGTAAGTTTTGTGTGGACACATGTTGTGAACTCCTCGGGGTACGCTCTGTGGAGTGGAAGTGCATGGTAATGCTGGTTAGCTTTTTAAGGAACTGCCAAACTCTCTTCCACAGTGTAGGCCAAGCCACTTCTAAGACTCCCATTAAACACCCAAGTGGAAGTGTCCAGGGGGCAGTGGGGTATTCTAGCACAGTCAGGGGAGGGTCCAAGCTGGAGGTGAAAAGGAAAGTTGAGGCCCCACAAGGGAAGGAGATGGAGCTAACTGGGGCTCCGGGAGGCTCACCTTCCAACCCCTGCCCATCCCCACTGCCAGCAGTATTGTTGACAGTGGTGTGGTCTCTAGGCACACAGGCGATGGGAAGAGGCATAGAACAGAAAATGGCACCAACTGATATTTATTGACTCAGTCCCATCTACCCCCATCCCTTTATGCTGCTCTCATTTTTCACGGCTTCATTCATCATTCCTTCATATTTCCTCTAGGTCCCATTCATTTGCGTCCATCTGCTGACCGTGTCCCCTTACTGGCCCGTAAACCCCATAGAGGCAGGGACCTTGTGGGCTCATTCACTGCTGCATCCTCATGCCAGGGAGGCTGCTCAGGAGACATTGAATGAAGATTTGCAGAACGAATGCACATCTGCACGGCGTGCGGGGTCCTGGGAAGCTCCGTGGCAGCCTCCCGGCTGCCTCTCAGGGCAGGGCTGTTAGCATCAGGGTCTTGCAGAGGGGAAACGTGAGACCCTGTGGGCAGTCACCCCAAACCTGCAGGTGGAGCTCAGATCTCTCCTTCTCCTGGAACTGAGGCCAGCCATCTTCCCCACCCCCATTATCCCTCCAGGTTGGGTGGGGGGGGAAAGGGGGTGGTCTAGGACTTGGCTGGACTGTTGCCATAGAAACAGCTGGAAGACCAGCCCCACCTGGCCCCCCACTCCCACCTCTCTTCTCCATCACCTTTTCTCTCTTTTTTGAGACAAGGTCTCACTCTATCATCCAGGCTGGAGTGTGGTGGTGCAATCACAGCCCCCTGTAGCCTTGATCTCTGGGGCTCCAGTGATCCTCCCACCTCAGCCTCCTGAGTATGTGGGACTATTGGTGTGCACCATCACGCCTGGCTAGTGTGTGTGTGTGTGTGTGTGTGTGTGTGTAACGACAGGGTTTTGCTGTGTTCTCCAAGCTGGTCTCCTGCTTGAGCGATCTGCCCACCTTGGCCTCCCAAAGTGCTGGGATTTACAGGCGTGAACCACTGCACCTGGACGACCCTTTCTCATCCTGTATCTTCCCTCTGAAATAGCAGCAGCAGCGAACGCTTTCATATTTCACCTGCAATGTGCCCGGCACTGTTCTAAGCTCTGTCCGTATCTTCACTCAGTTCATCCTCCTGCCCACTCAGATAACCATCCTCATCCCCACTTTACAGCTGGGGGAACACAGGGCGCTTAGATAAGAGCCAGTCAATGTGAGGCAGCAGGCAGGAGGTCCAGCAGGGAGATAAACCGCCTTGCTGTGGTTCAACTGTGGACAGAGACACTTCAAACCCAACACCGTAAGCGTAGTGTGTGTATGTGTGTGAGAGAGAGAGGGAGAGAGAGAGAGAGGGAGAGAGAGAGGAGCAAGAACAGGAGAGAGAGACACAGACAAGAGATCCCTTGATTATCAAGACATAAATAAAGGAGAGAGACTGGCATTTGGGGGCACTGAGGACCTTACCGTGTAAGTCGGTGACTCTCCACCGGGGCAGCTGTGGCCTCCTCCCACCAGGGGCACATTTGGCAATGCCTGGAAGCATCTTACATTGTCACAGCTGGGGGGAATCCTGGCATCGAGAGGGCGCTGCTAAACATTCTGCAGTGAGACAGGCTCTCACCACAAAGCAGGATCAGTCCCCGAATGTCAGTTGAAAAGCCGTGCACTGCCTATTCCTACTTGCCGGGTCTATAAACTCAAATTCTCAACTTCTCTCTCTCTCCCTCTCCCCCCCCTTCTTTCCTCCCCCCTTCCCAGGCTCCCTGACTCCTCCTTTCCCACCCACCCCTCATCTGTCTCCCTTCCTTCCCTCCCCGGCCCCCACTCCCCTTCCCACCCTCTCCACCCTTCCCTCCCTCCCCTTCCCTCCCTGCGCTCCCTCGGCTGCCTCCCCTGCCCTCTCCTCGGGCCGCCCCCGTTTCTCTCCTCACCTCGCGCCTCGCCTCGCTTCCTGTCCTCTTGTCTGCACACCCTCTGGTGTCTGTCGACCCTCCCAATCTCTTCTCCCCATTCATCTCTCGCCCGATCCCGGTTCTCTCCGCCCCTGCTCGTTTCTCTCCCCCGGCCGTGCCCTAGCGCGTTTCCATTGCTCCCCAATCGCCGCCCACCGCGCGTGGGGCGGCCAACTTGGGCCCACGCAGCGCGGCTCCCTCCGCCCTTCCTGCCTCCCGGCGCCTGTTGCTCCGCACCCTCTGGCGCCCCCCGCCCACCCTCTGGCGCCCCCCGCCCACCCACCCACCTCCACGTTTCTCACCGTCTGACCGTCTCTCTCCCGCCCAGCGCTCCAACCTCTGCTCTCGTTCTCCCCGCAGCCTGGCGACCCTGTGCGACCCCCTGCACGCCCCATGCCGGCCCTCCTGCTCCTCGTACTCCTGGCCTCTAGCGCCGGCCAGGCCGGGGCGCGCCCGTCCAACGCCACGAGCGCCGAGCCCCCGGGCCCGCTGCCCGCCCTGCTGGCGCACCTGCGGCGCCTGACCGGGGCGCTGACGGGCGGCGGGGGCGCGGCGAGCCCGGGCGCCAACGGCACCAGGACCGGCTCCGCGGGCGGGGCGGGCGCGGCGGCCCGGGCGCCCCCTCCCGCGGAGCTCTGCCACGGCTACTACGATGTCATGGGCCAGTACGACGCCACGTTCAACTGCAGCACCGGCTCCTACCGCTTCTGCTGCGGCACCTGCCACTACCGCTTCTGCTGCGAGCACCGCCACATGCGCCTGGCGCAGGCCTCCTGCTCCAACTACGACACGCCGCGCTGGGCCACCACGCCGCCGCCGCTAGCCGGGGGCGCTGGGGGCGCTGGGGGTGCGGGCGGGGGACCAGGCCCCGGCCAGGCCGGGTGGCTGGAAGGGGGCCGGGCGGGGGGGGCCGGAGGCCGCGGGGGCGAGGGCCCCGGGGGCAGCACAGCCTACGTCGTGTGCGGGGTCATCAGCTTCGCCCTGGCCGTGGGCGTCGGCGCCAAAGTGGCCTTCAGCAAGGCGTCCCGGGCCCCGCGGGCGCACCGGGAGATCAACGTGCCCAGGTGCGTGTGCTTTCCGCGGAGGGATGGGGAGTCTGGGGCGGGGCCCGGCGAGGAAGGTGGGGCCCTCCGGGGAGGCGGGGCTGCAGGGATGGGGCGCGGTCAGAGACCCAAGTGGCGGCCGTCGGCGGAGCTGGAGGTGGACAGGGGCTGAGAAAGTCGCGCCAGAGCCGATCTGGCTATTCCCGAGTGGTGCAGGGAGGGGGAGAAGCTCAGGCTCTCATTCATTCCACACATATTTCTTGAGCATCTTTTGTGGGCCAGGAGCTGGGGATACAGCAGTGAACAAAAGAAGGTCTCTGCCGTGGTAGAGAAGGCTGACTTCCCAAATCCAAGTTCAGGGCCTCCAGGCTGCGTGACTGTGGGCAGGTTGCTTAACCTCTCTGTGCCTCAGTTTCCTGTCCGCGCAATGAGACTAATCATCGTCCCCACCTATTCGAATTGTGATTAGCTGAGTTGATTCATGTAGAGTCCTGGCAAACCGTAAGTGCTCCTTAAATGTCAGTGGCCGAGTCCGTAAGAAGGCGAGTCCGTAAGTCAGTGGAAAGTGTTGGGGGAGAGGGCGCTGGTCACAGGAAGTGACCCGAAAAGGCCTCGGAGCAGAGACCCGAAGGAAGGGAGCCAGCCACGCAGAGATCTGTGGGCGACAGGTTTTGGGCAGGGGAAACCGCATGCAAAAGCCCTCGGTGGCCTGCAGGGCAGGGCAGCGCCCGGGCAGCAGGAGGCGAGGAGAAGCAGGCAGGCCTGGGGTGACTCTAAGTGTGCTGGGGCCACCGTAGGGTCTGAGCTCGGGCTGTGCGTGAGACGGGATTGTGCGGGGTGAGGGTGGACGCGGGGAGACCCGGAAGGAGGCTGTTGCCGTGATCCAGGTGAGAGATTGCGGAGCCGGTGAGTAGTGGTGGTCCGACTGGGTATACGTTTTGGAGGTTCCATCCGTAGAATTGCTGGAAGGTAGGAAGGGAGGAAAAAAAGGGGTCAAAGTAATTTAAGGTTTGAGGTCCGTGTCTCTGGGTAAATGGAGCACCCGTTGTTGCCATGGAGAAGGCTGCAAAAGGAACTGGAATGGGGTCCCAGATTCAGGGTGGGGAGAGCCCACAGGGAAGTGAGAGGGACCACGGAAGGGGTGGGGTCCACGCGAGTTAAGGCAGCACACCTCGAGCAGGAAGTGTGGCCCGAGAAAGCAGGACATTGGAGGGGGCGTGGCCAATGAGAAAGGGGCGTGGCCAGTGGCTGAAAGCAGGCTGAGTGACAGATGCCCCAAGGGCAGGAGCAGGGAGTTGAGAGAAGCCTGGGCCCTCCTTGCGCCCCCTGCCAGCCCCAGACCCCAGGCCGCTGACCACCTCTCTGCCACCTTTAGAGCTCTGGTGGACATTCTGAGGCATCAGGCGGGGCCTGGGACCCGTCCGGACCGGGCCCGAAGCAGCTCCCTGACCCCTGGGATCGGTGGCCCCGACAGCATGCCCCCCAGGACGCCCAAGAACCTCTACAACACCGTGAAGACCCCCAACCTCGGTGAGTGGACGTGGGATACGGCGCAGACTCCGTCTTTGGCCACGGCCCCTCGTGCTGTAGCCCCCCCCCCCCGCATGGCAGCTCCACCCCCATCGCCCGGGCCCCACCCCCGCTCTTCTACGTCCGCCTTGCACGGTAGGGTCCTGCCCTGCGCCATGCTGAAGGGGCACAGTCCGTAGAGAGCCAGACCCCCTCCCTCCCCTCCTGTGAACCCCCCTGGGTGGGCTCCATGGACACCTTGGTGATGTAGGTTTAGACATTCTCAAGCCCCTGCGCTCGGTGTCAGACCACCCAACAGCCAACTACACACAAGGACACAACCAGCAAATGTGTCAGGACCCAGACCGACTGGGTTGGAATTCTGCTTCTGCCACTGTGTGACCTGGAGCAAGCGACCTCACCTCTCTGGGCTTCAGTTTCTCCGCCCGTAAAGAGAGAAACGTAACAGTACTCCCTTCATGGGGTTACAGTGAAGGGCAAGTGAGCTGATGAAGCAGGTGCTTAGAAAAACGTGCAACACGGAAGAAAATGCTAAGTGTGAGCTATTGCTATTGTTTAATATAGTTATATACTTAAAATACGACATGTATCATATTTAATATATACCATTTAAGTGTGATATCGATCATTATATTATAGTTTGTGATGAGTGCATCAGTGGAGAAGGCCAGGGAGCTGTCAGGGGGACTGAGAAGATCTGGTCTGGTTTAGGGGCAGGAGGGCTTCTCTGAGGGAGAGGTGTTTGAGCAAAGGCCTGGAGAAGTGGAATTACTGGGGCTGGGAAGCTCTGGGTGGCAGAGCTTGTGAGGTGGCCAGACTTGAGGCCAGGGAGAGGGTGGCTGGTGACCTCAAAGAGGGCCCTTGAGTGCCAGGCTGGGCTGAGGAGCTCTGCCTCTGTCCTGATGGCGATGGAGAGCCGCTGAGGAGCTGGAGCAGGGGAGCAACACAGTCAGTAGTGGGTGGAAGAACCCATCCTCTGGAACCCATCTGAAGGGGAGAGATGAGAGGAAAGAGGCCCCAGAGGAGGCTGGGATGATGGTCCAGGCAGCAAGAGGACGGGGACGGAGCTGGGGTTGGGGATGGAGAGGAGAAGAGACATTGGAGCTGGATCTGAGGCAGACAGGAAGAAGGGCTTCAAGGCAGTGAGAACAGCACGGTGGTGTGTGCAAAAGGCCTGTGGCAGGACCACACCGAGCTCACTGGAGACAGCAGCGCGGCTTGAGGGAAGGGCTGAGAGATGGGGCTGCAGGCATCCGACGGGTCCAGGTTTTGAAGCCTCAAACACCGTTCCTGGGTTCGACTTTGTCCCGTGACAATGATCCATGGGAAGGCTGTTGAGCAGTGGAGGGGCAGTTACTTCAGTGAGGCTGATCATGGAGATGGATGGGCGGGATGGCCAGAGGCTGCTTTAGTGATCGAGGAGGGAGAGGACACATCAGGGCAGAGATTCAGGTGTCAGGAGGAACCAAGTGGACATGAGTGGGAGGTGGAAAGAAGTAGCAAGGAGAACCCCCAGATTCTAGCCTGGGCACGGGGGGGGGAGGGAACGGAGGAATTTGGGACAGACCACTTACCCAGCCCTGAGCCTGTGCCCACACTTTCCACCTTCAAGTCCCCCAGCCTCAGTTTCCCCCATGTGGCCAATGGCATGGGTTGATCTGTGAAGCTCTAACAAGGACCTGCATGTGGGGCCGACCTTGAGGCCAGAGTCCTTCCCAGAGATCAGGGCCGCGGTGCCAGCTGGGAGTCAGCGATGGCAGTGACATCACCTCCCTTCTCGGTCCCCCCAGATAACCTGCACCACAACTACCTGCACCTCAACGTCAACAGCCCCAAGCACCACGACGCCACACTGGGTATGGAAGAGGGCCTGGCTGCGGGGAGGAGCAGGGCTCCTTCCCTTCCCCTTCTGTGTTGGGCCAGCCATGCCAGGCGCCCGGTATAGAGCAGGAGCAAGGCCCCTGTGAGCCCAGTCCTCATGGCGCTCATGGTCTGGCCAGGTCACCAAGTGAGCCTCAGTTTCCTTGTGTGGACGCTGAAAGTGGTCATCTCTCTCCCACATGGTTGAGGGGAAGGTGCACGGAGCCTGGGGCCAGGCACCCAGTGGGTGCTGACGAATGCCCGGTGCCCCCCTCTTGGGGTCCTCTTCCCCAGCATCAAGCCTGTCTCCTGGAGTGGAGGGGGTGGGGTGAAAAAAGGGAGCCGAAACTGCTGGAATTCTGATGGGCTACAATCTCAGATTTCTAACTCCCCAAAGAACTACTGGGTCTGAGGGAGGAGGGGCTGAGGGCTTGGACTCCTGGGTCTGAGAGGGGAGGGCTGAGCCTGGATCTTGGGTCTGAGGGTGGAGGGGCTGGGAGCCTGGACTTCTGGGTCTGAGGGAGGAGGGGCTGGGGTCTGGACTCCTGGGTCTGAGGGAGGAGGGGCTGGGGTCCTGGACTCCTGGGTCTGAGGGAGGAGGGGCTGGGGTCTGGACTCCTGGGTCTGAGGGAGGAGGGGCTGGGGTCTGGACTCCTGGGTCTGAAGGAGGAGGGGCTGGGGTCTGGACTCCTGGGTCTGAGGGAGGAGGGGCTGGGGCCTGGACTCCTGGGTCTGAGGGAGGAGGGGCTGGGGGTCTGGACTCCTGGGTCTGAGGGAGGAGGGGCTGGGGCCTGGACTCCTGGGTCTGAGGGAGGAGGGGCTGGGGGTCTGGACTCCTAGGTCTGAGGGAGGAGGGGCTGGGGGTCTGGACTCCTGGGTCTGAGGGAGGAGGGGCTGGGGGTCTGGACTCCTGGGTCTGAGGGAGGAGGGGCTGGGGTTCTGGACTCCTGGGTCTGAGGGAGGAGGGGCTGGGGGTCTGGACTCCTGGGTATGAGGGAGGAGGGGCTGGGGGGTCTGGACTCCTGGGTCTGAGGGAGGAGGGGCTGGGGGTCTGGACTCCTGGGTCTGAGGGAGGAGTCTGACTGACCCTGGTCCTGCCCCCTCTAACCAGACTGGCGAGCCTTGCCGCCGCCCAGCCCCTCCTTGCACTACTCCACGCTGTCCTGCTCTCGGTCCTTCCACAACCTCTCGCATCTGCCCCCGTCCTACGAGGCTGCCGTGAAGTCCGAGCTGAATCGCTACTCCTCCCTCAAGAGGCTGGGTGAGTCCTAGCAGGGGCAGGGGGGGCGCTGAAGGGATGCGGGCGGGGCCAGAGCCTGGGTTCAGCACCATGGACAGTAGCCCGAGCGCCTTCCCGCGGTTTAGACCCAGTTTGTTGCAGTTCCCTGAGGCACCTTTGTAACAGAATCATTTCTGGTTTGCTTTTTTAAAATGCAGCCTTCGGGTCTCCCCTCCCAGGACGTATTGTTGTATTCATCAGAACTTGGACTTGCGATTGGTAGAAATACAACTTAGGCTAAAGGGAAAATATTCATTGACTTGATCACGGAAAGTTTGCAGGTCACCAAATTGGGATGTGGCTGTTTCGGGGGCTGAAGAGCTCTCTCCGCTCTTTAGGCGGCCGGCGGGCCTCATTTTCAGACAGTCTCCCCTCGTGGAGGCAACGATCACCCTGCAGATGTTCAGGCTGCCGTTCTACCAGCTCAGGGGCCCTGGCAGGGAAGAGTCTCTCCCAACAATTCCAGCAAAAATCCCGGGCCTGGATGCCATTTGGGTCACATGGGCACTCCTGAACCAACTCTGATTGGACGTTTTCCAGCCTGTGGCCCACCTCTGGTAGTGGAGCAGACTTCAAACGTCTTTTTCTTCTTTATTATTATTACTTTTTCAAGACAGGGTCTCACTCTGTCACTCAGGCTGGGATGCAGTGGCACTATCATAGCTCACTGCAGCCTCTACCTCCCCAGGTTCAAGCGTGATCCTCCCACGTCAGTGTCCTGAGTAGCTGGGACTAAGAGCTTGTGCTGCCATGCCTGGCTAATTTTTGTATTTTTTGTAGAGACAGGGTTTCACTGTGTTGCCCAGGCTGGTCTCGAACTCCTGGGCTCAAGCAAGCCACCCACCTCATCCTCTCAAAGTGCTGAGATTATAGGCATGAGTCACCATACCCAGCCAGAAATGATTTCCCTCCTCCTTCTCCTCCTCCTCCTCTTCCTCTCTCCTCCTCTCTCCCTCCTCCCCCTCCTTCTCCTCCTCTTCCTCTCCTCCTCCTCTTCCTCTCCTCCTCCTCTTCCTCCTCCTCCCCCTCCTCCTCTTCCTCCTCCTCCCCCTCCTCCTCTTCCTCCTCCTCCCCCTCCTCTTCCTCTCTCCTCCTCTCTCCCTCCTCCCCTCCTTCTCCTCCTCTTCCTCTCCTCCTCTTCCCCCTCCTCCTCTTCCTCTTCCTCCTCCTCCCCCTCCTCTTCCTCTCTCCTCCTCTCCCCCTCCACCTTCTCCTCCTTCTTCTCTTCCTCCTCCTTCTCCTCCTCCTCCTCCTCCTCCTCCTCCTCCTCCTCCTCCTTCTCCTTCTTCCTTTTTTGAGATAGAGTTTCACGCTGTTGCCCAAGCTGGAGTGCAAACACCATTTCGGCTCAGTGCAACCTCCGCCTCCTGGATTCAAGTGATTCTTTTGCCTCAGTCTCCGGAGCAGCTGGTATTGCAGGGACTCAATCCCGTGCCCAGCTAATTTTTGTATTTTTAGTAGAGATGGGGTTTCACCATGTTGGTCAGGCTGGTCTTGAAGTCCTGACCTCAGATGATCCACCCACCTTGGCCTCCCAAAATGCTGGGATTACAGGTGTGAGCCACCACACCCAGCCCAGCAATGATTTTCATATTGTGACCCATGAGACACACACACACATATATACATACACACATGTATTTTTAATTAAAGGAAAGCGTTGAAACTTTTTATTATGATCATTTGCAAACGTGCAAGTAGAGGAAGCTATAAAATCGGTGCCACGTTCCCATTCACTCGTTCTTAATAATTAGCCACACTCTGTTCATCTATCCTCCCTCCACCCCACCTTTTGGTGGATTTTTTTTTTTTTTTTAGAGACAAGGTCGGCTGGGCACGGTGGCTCACACCTGTAATCCCAGCACTTTGGGAGCCGAGGTGGGTGGGTCACTTGAGGTCAGGAGTTCAAGACCAGCCTGACACATAGTAAAACCCCATCTCTACTAAAAATACAAAATTAGCCAGGTACGATGGTGCATGCCTGCTAATCCCAGCTATTTAGGAAGCTGAGGCATAAGAATTGCTCGAACCCAGGAGGCGGAGGTTGCAGTGAGCCAAGATTGTGCCACTCCACTCCAGGCTAAGACAACAAGAGTGAAACTCAGTCTAAAAAAAAAAAGAAAGAAAGAAAGAAAAAGAGACAAGGTCTTACTCCATCACCCAGGCTGGAGTGCAGTGGTGGAGTCATGGCTCACTGCAGGCTCAACTTCCCGGACTCAAGCAATCCTCTCACAACAGCCTCCTGAGTAACTGGGACTACAGGCATGCACCACCATGCTTGGCTAATTTTTAAGTTTTTTGTAGAAATGGGGTCTCACTATATTGCCCAGATTGGTCTTGAACTCCTGGGCTCAAGCGACCCTCCTGTTCAATCTCCCAAAGTGCTGGGATTACAGGAGCCAGCCACCTTGCCCGGCCTTGGTGGATTCTTTTAAACTAAATCTCACTCATGATTTGATTGAAAAATCACACACACACACACACACACACACACACACACATCTGAAGTAAGAATTATGAACCAGCACTTACCCCGATTCCCTTAGTACATAAACATTTTCTGATAGTTTTCTCTTCTATTTTATTTCATTTCTCTAAACGCTGCTCACTACCTACAAAATCAACATCACAATGCAACAGGTCACAACTCCAAGTGTGAATAACCTTGCTACAGGATGAAAGGGAGGGGGTCAGTGGTTCCCTAAAAGCAATAGTTGGGTTCCACTCCAAAAAGAAGGTTCAGACAGACGCAGGGGAAAAAAATATGACCCAGCATTGTGGGCTGGGCCTGGGAATCTGCATTTTGGCCACACAGCTAGCCTGATGCCCAGGGTCCCTGTGGGGGCGACAGACCTGCATGGGAGCGGGATGTGGGGAGGCAGGAGAGGAGGGCTCTGGATGCGCGGGGACCCACCGCTGTGGCTCTTCCCCCTCTACCCGCAGCCGAGAAGGATCTGGACGAGGCCTACCTCAAGCGCCGGCCCCTGGAGTTGCCCCGCGGCACGCTGCCCTTGCACGCACTGCGGCGGCCGGGCACGGGGGGCGGCTACCGCATGGATGCCTGGGGCGGCCCCGAGGAGCTGGGCCTGGCGCCGGCGCCCAACCCACGGCGGGTCATGTCCCAGGAGCACCTGCTGGGAGACGCCGGCCGCTCGCGCTACGAGTTCACGCTGCCGCGCGCGCGCCTCGTGTCGCAGGAGCACCTGCTGCTGTCTTCGCCCGAGGCCCTGCGCCAGAGCCGCGAGCACCTGCTGTCGCCCCCGCGCAGCCCCGCGCTGCCCCCAGACCCCACCGCGCGGGCCAGCCTGGCCGCCTCTCACTCCAACCTGCTGCTGGGGCCTGGAGGACCCCCAACGCCGCTGCGTGGGCTGCCGCCACCGTCCAGCCTGCACGCCCACCACCACCACGCCCTGCACGGCTCTCCGCAGCCCGCCTGGATGTCCGACGCCGGCGGGGGCGGGGGCACGCTGGCCCGCAGGCCGCCCTTCCAGCGCCAGGGCACGCTGGAGCAGCTGCAGTTCATCCCGGGCCACCACCTGCCGCAGCACCTGCGCACCGCCAGCAAGAACGAGGTGACTGTCTGAGGCCAGGGCCGGGGCTGGGGGGCTTCCCGGGCCCCCGTCCCAGCCTGGATCCCCCGACACAGGCGCGCACACGCCGGGAGCCTGGGGCCTGGAAAGGCCCTTGGACAGGAGTCAAAGCCTCCTTCCCGGACGTCCTGGCAGACAAGATTCCTCCTCCTATTACGTCACTGCTTGAGCCAAGGCCTCGTTCCCATGATGTCATCCCAGAGGAAGAGGCCGGCCCATGAGGTCATCGCTGGAGGCCATGTCCATGTTCTACGATGTCCTCAGAGGCTTCCTTCTTGTGGTGTAGTAACAGAGAAGACGCCTTGTCCCATGACATTCGTTCCTGTGACGTCACTGCAGAGACAATCTCACCTGGATGACGCCATCTCTAACTCCAAGGCCTCTTTTGACATCATCGCCATGGGGAAGATATTTTCTCCCTGTGTCTTTGCAGCAGAGAAGGTGCCTCTGTCCTGTGACGTCATCATTACAGACAAAGCCATCTTCCTGGGACACACCGCAGGGGAAAATGCCTCACTAATTGTGTACTCACTAGACATAAGGCCTGCTTTTCACAACATCGTCACAGGGACCCTGCCTCCTTCCTGTGATGCCATCACCAGAGAAGGTGCCTTGCCCTATGACGTCATCAGAGGGACCGTGCCTCTTCCTGTGATGTCATCACCAGAGATGACAACTCACTCTGGGACCTCTCCAGGAGGAGATCACTTCTGCGATGCTACGTGCTCTGAGACAGGACGAGGAGATGCCACCGTGTTGTAGAAGGCAGGGCAGGCCCAGAGTCCAGGACCACCCCAGGGCCGATGTCAGAGAGCAGAGAGGGACCCTGTCCACGGACGTTGTCTGAGGGAAGCACTACTGTGGAGCCGCCCATGTGGAGGGCATCCTCCAGAGATGATGGTCTGTGTAGGCTGTTGGCAGTGATCTCCCTGCCCCCAGGGCTGTGATGGCATCACCAGAGCTCCCTCCTTAGAGGCACTGCCCACTCTGGAAGGCCGTCGGTATTGATGGAGCCACCAGAGTTACTGCCTTGTCCCACCATGACTTAGCTTGGTCGTTCCCTCCCCAGACCCCAGGGACATACCCAGCAGGATCTCTGCCAGACCCGCTGAGGGCAAATGGGGCTTGGATCCCATGCCTGTGCAGTGACTCCTGGGAGACAGAACCTGCGGGTGGCCTTCTGCTCCCAGGAGACCACTCTGGATCACCAGGATCCTGGAGTCCTGGCACTCATAGGTATCCCTTAGCCTGGCCTCACTCTTCTTTCTGCCATATCTATAGACAATCACTCTGGCAACAAAGTCCTAGCCTTCTCCTGGGGGAGGTGTTTGCGGTGCACCTATTCTTGTCCTCACTGACATTGTCAGCACCACACAACACCCGCTGCTCATGATGGCACTGCACCCAGGGTCAAGTGTTACCCATGTCTGAGGATGGAATCCTTCCCCAGGATTCCCTACAACCCACAACTACAGTATCATCCCCTTCCAGAATTTACCATGACTAATGGTATCGCCATCTCCCAAGACTCCCCATAGCCAATGGTGTCGCCATCCTCCATGATTCCCACAACCATGGTGTCATCAACTTTCAGGATCCACCACAGCTGGTGGTGCCATCGTCTCCTAGATCCCACCATGACCAATGATGACATTACCTTCCAGAATCCACTATGCCTGACAGAGACATTCTCTACTGAAATCCACTAGGACTGATGATGCTACCATTTCCCATAATCCCTCATGTTGTGATGTCATCACCTCCCATGATGGAACCATGGTATCATCTCCTCCCGGGATCCACTCACCCATGTTGTCAGCACATCCCAGAATTCATAACACCTAATAGTGTCACGATTATCTACAAAGACTCATGAAAGCCATGTGTCATCACCTGCCAGATCTGCTTTAACCTTGTATCTTCATGTCCCAGGAGTTACCGTAGCTATTGTTATCAATTCTCAGGATCCACTCCAATCATGATGTCATCACCTCCCAAGACCCACGATGCCCCATAGTGTCATCATCATTTGCAAGGATCCATGGGAGCCATGGTGTCATCATCTCCGGGAATCCACTTCAACCATGTGCCACCACCTCCCATGATTTCATTCAACCATGTGCCACCACCTCACAGGATCCATGAGAGTCAATGGTGTCATCTCCTAGGATCCCCATAACCCTGGTGTCTTCATCTCCTGTGATCCATGAGATCCAATGCTGTCACCGTCCACTAGGATCCCCATAACCCTGGTGTCCTCATCTCCTGTGATCCATGAGGTCCAATGCTGTCACCACCCACTAGGATTCCCATAACCCTGGTGTCTTCATCTTCTGTGATCCATGAGGTCCAATGCTATCACCATCCACTAGGATTCCCATAACCCTGGTGTCTTCATCTTCTGTGATCCATGAGGTCCAATGCTATCACCATCCACTAGGATTCCCATAACCCTGGTGTCCTCATCTCCTGTGATCCATGAGGTCCAATGCTGTCACCACCCACTAGGATTCCCCATAACCCTGGTGTCTTCATCTCCTGTGATCCATGAGATCCAATGCTGTCACCGTCCACTAGGATCCCCCATAACCCTGGTGTCTTCATCTTCTGTGATCCATGAGGTCCAATGCTGTCACCATCCACTAGGATCCCCCATAACCCTGGTGTCTTCATCTCCTGTGATCCATGAGGTCCAATGCTGTCACCGTCCACTAGGATCCCCATAACCCTGGTGTCCTCATCTTCTGTGATCCATGAGGTCCAATGCTGTCACCATCCACTAGGATTCCCATAACCCTGGTGTCTTCATCTCCTGTGATCCATGAGATCCAATGCTGTCACCATCCACTAGGATCCCCCATAACCCTGGTGTCATCCCAGAATCCACTGCAACCATGTGCCATCATCCCCCAAGCGCCATCATCTTAGGAGCCAAGTACCATGACAAGCTGTATTTCAGTTTTCCTCTGGAGCCACATGGTACTTACAGTTGTTCACTTAAGGGGAACCAGCACAAAGGCCCTATTCCCATTTCTACAAAGTGGACAGGGGTGGGGCCACATGCCTCCCTCTGGTGACTTCACCCCCACTCTGGCCCTCCTTATGTCTCTGCCTCACTCCTGACCAAGGATGATGCCTGAATCAACCCCACCACAGATGTGGCCTCAGCCAGCCTCACCTCGGCCCCCAGGCCCCTCCTGACAGCATCTCTGTTCCTCACCCAGCCAACTGATTGGTGACAGGGTCCACCCAGCAACCTCTCATCAGCAGAGGGGGAGCATTCCAACCCTCGGGTGACACCACTACCCCCTGCCAATCCCTGTCACCTGGGCCCCTACTAGGATCAGCACTTCCCTGGCTCCTGCCAAATTCTCCTCAGAGACCCCTGATCCCCACGGGACGGGCCAAAGCTGGCGACCGACCTGGGCCCTTCCATGCTGTTCTGCTGGCCTGATCCTGCAGCAGGACACTGCAGAGCAACAGTCCCTGCCAGCACATCTGCCAGGGCCAGGGTGCTCCTTCACCTCCCTCCCTAACGCCCTGACACCCCCAGAGCCTCCAGGGGCGGCAGGAAGTCCCCAGCACCCAATGCACAATCTGCCCTGGATTCTCTTTGTACATAGCCATGTTGCGGGGGCGGCCATTTCCCCATTCTTAAAGGGCTACAAGCCCCTCCCCCAGCCCCCAGGGCGAGGTGGGGGGGGCCTCTTCTTCCTCCCCTGGGCCGTCCCCCTCCCTCCTATGTCTCCCCTCAAACACTGGCACCTCACGCTCCTTCTGGTCAGGAGCTTGGGGCAGAAAGGTGGCCCTTGGCTCCCACCACACTGAGGAAATGGTGGGGGTTACCCAAATCTACCTAGGCCCCAGTGCCAGTTTTTCAGCCCCACCGCTTCTAGCTGCTCTGAGGGGCTCCTCCCATCCCTTCCGGGGCCTAAAGGAGCCAGCTGGAGCACCCGCCCCTCCCAGTCCCTCCCCTCTGCTCAACACCTCCACAGAACACTCAGCTTTCTCCAGCCCCCAGGATTTGGGGATTTGGGCCTTTCAGCTTTTGTATGCCCCCCTTCACTAGCTCGAGCCCAGCCTGGTTCCAGGAATCCTGCCCCCAGCCCTGTCCCCATTCAGTCAGCACAGGCTGCCTGACGCTGGGGCCTTGATTTGCTCTCGAATAAGCCATAGAGGGGAGAGGTCTCGAGGGGTGGGAGCAGCTGTGTACTGCCGATTCCCCTCCACACTTCCTTAGCTGGGGTCCCAACAGCTGAGTCTTCCCCATTCCCCAACAAATGCACACAAACCCATGCATACACGCATGCACACACGCACACACACACATACACACTCACACACACAGAGGCATCTCCCCTTCTGGTTGGCGGAGCTAGGGAGGGGCGGTTCCCCAGGAGAAGATAAACAGTTCCACACCCGAAGACCCTCCAACAGCTTCTTCCTCCCTCCTCATCCCTTCCTCTCTCCACTCCCCTCTCCAACACTGGCCCCTTCCCCTCCCCCTGGTGAGGACAGCCAGAGTTGCTGCGACTTGGTATTTTTTGGAATAAATAGACATTTTCCTGATCCAAGGTCTCAAGGTTCACTGTGTGGAAAGGATGGATTTCCACCCACATTTATGGGTCAGTGGGGAGGCCTCCCCACCTGGAATGTGAGGCTGGCTGTAGGAGGTGGGCCATTTGCCAAAGGATGGGCTTCTAAGCGTTTGTTCCCAGGCCAGGGCCCACCACCAAGCTGAGGAGTCGGGGTGGAGGTGGGGTGCACTGTGGGGTGCTTTTAAGTTCTGGGTTTTGTCCTCTGGGCACGTGAGCATTTGTTTGTGGATTCTAGAGTCACCTCCTTATATTCAAATTATTTGGCTGAGTAGCATTAAAGGGTGGGGCGGGGGCGGGGGTGTACTGGCTTCTCAGAACGTTAGGGCTCAAGGTTCTAGAGGCTGAAAGTCTGAGATCAAGGAGGTGGCAGGCCGGCCAAGCGCGGTGGTTCACGCCTGTAATACCAGCACTTTGGGAGACTGAGGCAGGTGGACCACCTGAGGTCAGGAGTTTGAGACTAGTCTGACCCATATGGAGAAACCCCATCTCTACTAAACCTACAAAATAATTAGCCAAGCATGATGTCAGGCACCTGTCATCCCAGCTACTCTGGAGACTGAAGCAGAAGAAACCCTTGAACCCAGGAGGCGGAGGTTGCGGTGAGCCGAGATCACAACATTGCACTCCAGCCTGGGCAACAAGAGTGAAACTCCATCTCAAAAATAATAATAATAATAAATAAAAATTAGCCAGGTGCTTGCCTGTGGTCCCAGATACTTTGGAGGCTGCGGGAGGCTCGCTTGAGCCTAGGAGTTGGAGGCTGCAGTGATCTACAATTGCACCACTGCACTCCAGCCTGGGCAACAGAGTGAGACCCTGTCTCAAAGGTAAAAAATAGCCAGATTCGGTGTCCCACGCCTGTAATCCTAGCACTTTGGGAGGCCGAGGTGGGCGGATTACTTTAGGTCCGGAGTTCGAGACCAGCCTGGCCAACATAATGAAACCCTGTCTCCACTAAAAACACAAACATTAGCCTGTTGTGGTAGCAGCTGTCTGTAATCTCAGCTACTTGGGAGTCTGAGGCAAGAGAATCGCTTGAGCTGGGGAGATGGAGGTTGCAGTGAGCCGAGATGGCGCCACCGCACTCCAGCCTGGGCAACAGAGCGAGACACTGTCTCAAAGATAAAAAATAAAAAAGGAAGCGCTCCCCCCATGTGCTTCCCTCTCCCACCGGGTGCGTTAAAATATTTGCGTGGTGCTGACTGCAGTTTCCTCCTTGCCTTTGCGCTTGGATGCACACTCCGGCCAGGAGAGGAGGTGCCTCTATGTACCAATTTTATGAACTTTAGGAACATTCTTTCTAGATGCAACTAAATGTCTGTCTCTAAGCTGCAGGCTTTCACCTCGCATCTGAGGTCTGTTTGCACACCACTCTGCAAAGAGAGTTGCAGAGACAGAGATAAAAGAGAGGTAGAAAAAGACCACGGGGCAGCAACTACCCATCTGTAGTGTGAGACTCCAAGGGGCATGGTTGAATTTTACTTTCTACTATGCTAGTTCACTGATTTAATGAACAAGATACAGCGAACGGCACAGACAAGGTCCTCGTGCTTCAGGAACAAGTGAACGCATGGAAGTCCCTGGGTTCTCCTGCAAACCTCTCTTGGCTTCTGTTCCTGGCAATCACATATACGCTGACAATGACGGTGATTGGTGTGTGTGTGTGTGTGTTTTAATCTTTCACTGCCAAGCTTTACACACAAATGACAGTGATTGTTATATGGGAAAATTTTTTAGAAAAGCCAGAGAAGCAAGGAGAGAACAAAATGGAGATCTGATTTCTCACTTCTCAGAGTCAAACGCTGTTTGCATTAGCTATGTTTTCTTACAGGCTTTTCTTCATAAAAACAATTTTTTTTTTTTTTTTTTACAAATCAGTCTTCCTATAGATAGACTTCTCTGTAACATCTTTTCTTTTCTTTCTTTTTTATTTAGATGGAGTCTCGCTGTCACCCAGGCTGGAGTGCGGTGGCGTGATCTCGGCTCACAGCAACCTCTGCCTCCCAGGTCCCAGTTCAAGCAATTCTCCTGCCTCAGCCTCCCAAGTAGCTCCCCAAGTAGCCTCCCAAGTTACAGGCACCTGCCACCATGCCCAGTTAATTTTTGTATTTTTAGTAGAGATGGTGTTTCATCCATTGGCAAATGGCCAGGCTGGTCTTGAGCTCCTGACCTCATGATCTGCCTGCCTTGTCCTCCCGGGTAGCTGGGATTACAGGCGTGAGCCACCACTCCTGGCTAATTTTTATATTTTTAGTAGAGATGGGATTTCACCATGTTGGCCACGCTGGTCTCAAACCCCTGACCTCAGGTGATTCTCCTGCCTCGGTCTCCCAAAGTGCTGGGATTACGGGTGTCAGTCAGTGCACCTGGCCCCTGCTTTTCTCATCTGATAACACAAGGATGTCATGTCATACATACAGTTAACTTATCTGCACCCAACTGTATAGATAGAAAGAGAAACAGGAATTCAATAGTGCAAGTAAGCTCTATAAAAGAAAATGAGGGCCAGGCGCAGTGGCTCAAGCCTGTAATCCCAGCACTTTGGGAGGCCGAGGCAGGTGGGTCACGAGGTCAAGAGATTGAGACCATCCTGGTCAACAAGGTGAAACCCCGTCTCTACTAAAAATACAAAAAATTAGCTGGGCCTGGTGGTGCGTGCCTGTAATCCCAGCTACTCGGGAGGCTGAGGCAGGAGAATTGCCTGAACCCAGGAGGCGGAGGTTGCGGTGAGCCGAGATCGCGCCATTGCACTCCAGCCTGGGTAACAAGAGCGAAACTCCGTCTCAAAAAAAAAAAGAAAGAAAGAAAATGAGGTTGCCTTTGATGTTGCCCACCTCACTCCGTGTGAAATAATCTCCCGGATTTATTGTTAAGAAAGCAAGATATAGAATAGTGTGCATTTGTGCTACCATTTGTGTAAAAGGAGGGAGGGACAGAGTCTGTATATAAATTTGCTGCACCAAATAGTTCCAGGGCACATGGTAGGATCCTGCTTCCCCGTCCCCCTGAAGTTGGCTGTGCCCATGTGACTTGCTTTGGCCTGTGAAGAGTGGGCAGAAGTACATTTCCAGGCAGAAGGTTCTGAGAGCCAGTATGTGGTTCTCCCATGCTCTGTCTTTTCCCTCTGCCATGGGCACTCACATATTTCAGGTCATAGCTGCTCTGCTGGCCGGAATCCCAGGCAGATCAGCGAGGACCCCAGAGTAAGGATGAAAACAAATAGGGGCTCAACCACCTGCAGATACCCACAGAGCATGAATGAGAAAGAAACCCTTGTTGCTTTAACAAGCACGGCTTCGGGTCTACTTGTTACCGCAGCCTAGCATAGACCATTCTGGCTGACAGGGCTGCATATGGAGAAGGGAACTGGATGGTTGGGACATTTTACTTCTAAAAGCCCTTCTGCGGCCGGGTGCGGTGGCTCACGCCTGTAATCCCAGCATGTTGGGAGGCCGAGGCGGGTGGATCACGAGGTCAAGAGATTGAGACCATCCTGGTCAACAAGGTGAAACACCGTCTCTACTATAAATACAAAACTTACCTGGGCATGGTGGTGCGTGCCTGTAGTCCCAGCTACTCGGGAGGCTGAGGCGGGAGAATTGCTTGAACCCAGAAGGCGGAGGTTGCGGTGAGCTGAGACCGTGCCATTGCACTCCAGCCTGGGTAACAACAGCGAAACTCAGTCTCAAAAAAAAAAAAAAAAAAAGCCCTTTTGCACTTCTGAATTTTTGTATCAGTAAGTGTATTGCCTACTGTTTTTTTGTTTTTTTTTTTTTAAGACAGGGTTTTACTCTATTGCCTGGGCTGGAATGCAATGGTGCAATCTTAGCTCATTGCAGCCTCGGCTCCCTAGGCTCAAGCTATCCTCAGCCTCCTGAGTAGTTGAAATTACAGGCGCCCACCACCACACCCCTGACTAATTTTTCTATTTTTAATAGAGACAGTGTTTCCCCACATTGGCCAGGCTGGTCTTGGACTCCTAACCTCAGGTGATCCATCCACCTCAGCCTCTCAAAGTTCTAGGATTACAGGCATGAGCCACCATGCCTGGCCCTACTCTTTTTTTTTTTTTTTTTTTTTTTTTAATAAAATTGTTAAATTAAATGCCAGGAGAATCGCTTGAACTCAGGAGGTGAAGGTTGCAGTGAGCCAAGATCTCCGAGATCATGCCATTGTACTCCAGCCTGGGCAGCAGAGTGAGACTTTGCCTCAAAAAAAAAAGAAAAAGAAAAAATAATTTTTAAAAATATAAATGTAGGCTGGACACAGTGGCTCATGCCTGTAATCCCAGCACTTTGGGAGGCTGAGGTGGTTGGATCATTTGAGGTCAGGAGTTCGAGACCAGCCTGACCAACATGGAGAAAGCTCATCTCTACTAAAAATACACAATTAGCTGGGCATGGTGGTGCATGCCTGATCCCAGCTAGTCAGGAGGCTGAGTCAGGAGAATCACTTGAACCTGGGAGATGGAGGTTGCAGTGAGCCGATATTGTGCCACTGCACTCCAGCCTGGGCAACAAGGGTGAAACTCCATCTCAAAAAAAATATATTTATTTATTTATATATTATATATTATATTATATATATATGTAAATGTAGATATGGGAATCTGGCTATGCTGACCAGGCTGGTCTTGAACTCCTAGCCTCGAGCAATTCCACCTCAGCCTCCCATATTGTAGATTTAAATGCGAATGGTGCAGACTTTTCCTGCCATTCCCCTCACTCAGCATATGCCAAGAAGCCAGAGGGAGATGGGCGATTTGAATCGCATTCCCCTCCCTCAGAGGGCGATTAGCTTCCCACTCTGAATCGGAACACCAGTGCTTCGGCGTATGTATTTTCGTTCCTCATGGACGCCACATGCCAGCCAACAGATCCATTTGTTCAACAAGAGCAGAGCAATCTGCTCCACACCCACTATATGTGGGGTGGGCAAGTCAAGGATAAGATCTGACATGAGCAATCTGCGTCGAACGTTTGCCTTTGTAGCCTCACACTTGCTCAACTGGCAACCCCACTGTGCCCATAAATGCAGCCTCTCTGCAGCTTGCCGGGTGGGCTTGGGAACTTCTGGTATCTATGCCAGATGTTGTGTGCATGCTTTTTACTTTCACTTTTTCTGACTTTATATTTTGAAATAATTCCAAACGTACAGAACAGTTACAAGAATAAGTCAGAGAACTTCTGTGTTGTTTTCACTAGCTCACCAGTTGTGACCATCATCTGACATCGCTGTACGGTTTTCCTCCCATATAAATATTCATCTCGGCTGGGCACAGCGGCCCATACCTGTAATCCCATCACTTTGGGAGGCCGAGGTGGGTGGATTGCTTAGGCTCGGAGTTCAAAGACCAGCCTGGGCAACATGGTGAAACCTCGTCTCTACAAAAAAAATACAAAAAATTAGCCAGGCATGGTGCTATGTGCCTGTAGTTTCAGCTACTCAGGAGGCTGAGGTGAGAGGATTGCTTGAGCCCAGGAGGTGGAGGCTGCAGTCAGCCAAGATCATACCACTGCACTCCAGCCTGGGCAGCCTGGGCCACAAAGCCAGGACCTGCCTCAAAAAAAGTAATTTATGGTTTTTTTCTTTGGAAACATTTGGAAGTAAGTTCCATCCATCACATCCCTTTACCTCCAGAGGATATTCTGAAGAACAAGACCACTCTCTTACATGTCCACAGCATAATTATCATGGTCAAGAATTTAGCATTGACCAAGTCCACGTGTGAGTTTCATCGAGCATCCTGCTAGTGTCCTTTAGAGCCACTTTCAGTTTGTGACACCTCAGGATTCAGTGGTGCAACCAGCTATCATGCTTCTTGAGGTGCCTTCAACCTTAAACAGTTACTCAGTCTTACCCGGGCATGCTGGCTCAGCCCTGTAATCCCAGTACTTTGGGAGGCAGAGAGGAGTGGATCAAGAGGTCAGGAGATCGAGACCACCCTGGCCAACATAGTGAAACCCCGTCTCTACTAAAAATACAGAAAAAGTAGCCAGGTGCGGTGGCACATGCCTGTAGTCCCAACTACTCAGGAGGCTGAAGCAGGAGAATTGCTTGAACCCAGGAGGCAGAGGTTGCAGTGAGGAGAGGTTGTGCCACTGCACTCCAGCCTGGGCAATAGAGGGAGACTCCATCTCAAAACAAACAAACCAAAAAAACCAACAGTTACACAGTCTTTGTCTTTCTTTTTTATTTTTATTTTCTATTCTTGTACACCATTCACGCAGAGATTAGGGAGACTTTTTTATTTTAAGAGACGGGGTCTTGCTATGTTGCCCAGGCTGGAATTCCTCCTCAAGCAATCCTCCTGCCTCAGCCTCCCAAAGTGCTGGGATTACAGGTGGCAGCCAGCAGGACCAGCCCAGACGTTGTCTTTCTCAATGCTGATTTGTAAAGAACCCAGGTAGGCCATTTCATGGAACGTCTCTCTTGCAGTTAGGTGCATTTCACGTTTCCTCGTGATTAGAGCTGGGTTCCCTGTGTGAGACAGGAAAACCACAGGGGCGATGCCAGTCTCAGCACTTTAGCTGAAGGAACCCATGCTCTTATGCTTCCTGAAGTTCGGGAAGCTCATATGTTCAGAGCTCATATGCTGAGTTCATTCCACCAAGGCTGCAGTGCAGTGGAACGAACAAGGCTCACTGCAGCCTCAACCTTCTGGGCGCAAGCGATCCTCCCACCTCAGCCTCCTGAATAGCTGGGACTACAGGTGCATGCCACCATTCCTGGCTAAGTTTTAAGTTTCTTTTTTTTAAATAGAGATGGGGGTCTCACTGTGTTGTCCAGGCTGGTCTTAAACTCCTGGGCTCAAGCCGTCCTCCTGCCTCAGCAGTGCTGAGATTATAGGTGTGAGCCACTGCATCCAGCCAACAGAACTCTGTTTCTTCACAGTTCTGGAGCCTGGAAGTCCCAGGTGAAGGTGTCAGCTACCCACAGTGCTGGGATTACAGGTGTGAGCCACCACACGTAGGCTGATGCTGTGTAGTTATCTTTTTTCTCCTCAAATTTTCACCTGCTGTTTGGCCTCCACTGATGATTCTCTTGGTTGAATCAATTATTATTATTTTCTGAGATGGAGTCTTGCTCTGTTGCTCAGGCTGCAGTGCAGTGGCATGATCTCGGCTCACTGCAACCTCCGCCTCCCGGGTTCAAATGATTCTCCTGCCTCAGCCTCCCAAGTAGCTGGGATTACAGGAACATGCCACCATGCCCAGCTAATTTTTGTATTTTTAGTAGAGACAGGGTTTCACTATGTTGGTCAGGCTGGTCTCAAACTCCTGACCTCATGATCTGCCTGCCTCGGCCTCCCAAAGTGCTGGGATTACAGGTGTGAGGTGTGAACCACCGCACCCAGCCGTGGCTGAATCCATTATTACAACGATGTTTGAATATTGGCAATCTTCAAAACATCTGAATATCAGTCTCCAAAAGTTGAACGGCGATCTTCAGATGATAATTTTCTAACCTCATTATTCTTTTCACGCTTATTAGTGAGCATTTGTAGATGTTTTTTTTTTTTTTTCAGGGAAATGGATCCTATACTTTCATCAGATTCTTCGAGACACCAGGGATTAAAACAACAACAAATCCTCCCTCATTTTCAATGGCTATTCCATATTCTGTCCTATGGATGCAGCAGAGTTTTTTCCCAGCCCCGACTGTTAGAGGATCTTCGGGGTATCAAGTTTCTTCCCCCTGGAAACCTCTGCTGCGTTCTTGTCTTGAGTCCAGGAAGAATGCAGTACGCAGACAAGTGAAGGGCGAAGAAGACAAGGATGAGCTAGATTTAGCGTCACAACAGCTCAGAGGAGGCCCACAGTGGTGAGGTCCTCTCTGTAGGCAGGTCATCCGTTGAGTGTTCAGTTCTCAGCAGACAGGAGGTTCTGGAGAGAGTAGCTCCTCTCTGCAACTGGTCATCCTAATGCCTACAATTCTCAGCAGAGAGGAGGCCCTGGTGGGGATGGCTCCTCTCTGCAGCAGGTCATCTCTGCAGCTCTCATGAGAGAAAGTAGCTCCTCTCTGCAGCAGGTCATCTCGGCAGCTCTCATGAGAGAAAGCAGCTCCTCTCTGCAGCAGGTCATCTCGGCAGCTCTCATGAGAGAAAGCAGCTCCTCTCTGCAGCAGGTCATCTCGGCAGCTCTCATGAGAGAAAGCAGCTCCTCTCTGCAGCAGGTCATCTCTGCAGCTCTCATGAGAGAAAGCAGCTCCTCTCTGCAGCTGGTCATCTCTGCAGCTTTCATGAGAGAAAGCAGCTCCTCTCTGCAGCTGGTTGTCCTGTTGGCTCCACTGTCTTTGTTCTCTGGCAGACCTCTGCCCTGCTCTGGCGGAGCCCAGGGCTTTTATGGACCTCAGAGGGGAGAAAGTGCATGCTGACTGGTCCATGGGCAGTCATGGGCCTAGAAGAGGCACCACATATCCCCACAGTGGTCCTCAGAACTGGCAGCCTGCCCCCCAGCCTTCAGGCCCTCCCTGGCCTGAAGGTGGGGCCTTACTGAGGACCACCCCCATCTCTGCAAGTCTCCCACTGCCATTCATGGTCCCCGGGCTCTGCCGTAACCACTGATCCAAGATTGGAAGAGGAGCCAGGAGTGGTGAGAAGCCAGGTAGTGGGAACAGGCACCCCTGAGACTGAAGGGATGGGGGGAGGGTCTTCCCTGGGGCCCCCAAGGGTGCAGGCTGCAGAGACTCTTGGGTCCTGTGCCTGGGAGGACAGTTGCCAGTGCACCCAGGAACTCCCGCCCCACCAACTCGGGAGGGGCAGGGCTCTCGCTTGTCCCTGCTCCCACCTGCTACGTGAAGCTAGAGACCCAGATCTGCAGCCCTGGGTCTGGTGGCTGCAGCTGCACCCAGGAGGGCAGATCCTGCCTGTTCCCAGCACCCCTTCACCGCCAAGAGCACAGGGAGGCTCAGATCCACAGCCACAGTTTGGGCGACTGCAGCAACACCCCGGGAGCTCCCACCTCAACTCAGAAGGGGAGGGGCTCCCACGGGCTCCATAAAATGTGCATTCCCAGCTGCGCCTCCCTGCTGCAGCCGGCCTGTGCCAGCACTATCAATAGATGTTTAGGTTTTCCCTAGTTTGGACTAGTCCGAACAATACTGTGAGAAACATCTTTTTACACACCACTTGGTACATTGGCTTAATTTTCTTTAGGATGAGCCGTCAGGAGGTGAGTGGCAGGTGCATTTTGAAGACTTTTGTAAGACGATGCCAACGACAACTCAGAGGGCCTGTGCCAAGTCTGTTTGTGAGAATGCCCGTGTGTTCCCACCCTCCCCAGCACTGGACATCTTTCCGGTTAAGCTTGGTGTGCATCACAGGTGTGGTTGTAAGTCATTACAGGAGATTCCTAGTGCGTTCAAGAGTCTCCGCCTTGCGCTCCGGGATTTGCGGAGCGGGAGTCGGCTGGGCAATGCATTTCATTACTGGCATGTCTGTCACTAGAGGGAGCACCCGATCCACTTAAGGGCCTATTTTTGCGTTGGTGAAGGCCTCTCCCACCCGGGAGAGCTCGACCTTCAGCTCCAGAGGCACAGAGGAAAGTAGTTGTCGTCAATTACCTACCCCAGTGTGTAAAGACACCTCAAGCTGGGAAGGTCACGAGTGTCTGCTCAGAAGTATTCGGGCACTAAGGAGCGAAGAACCTGCTACCAACCGCAGACTAGCAGACTCAGAAACTCGGGAAAGGACGTTCAGCCTCACTAGGAAGGAAGAAGACACAAATAAAAGACGGGACACTTTGACTTGCCCACGATGCTAAACCTTTTGAAGGCTGCTAATCCTCGGGCTCACTCCTGTGACAGGACTTTGACCCTGGCTATTTCCTCTGCCTGAAATGTTCTTTCTCTGTATTCCCACAAAACTTGCTCTCTTACTTCCTTTAAATCCTTTTTTTTTTTTCTTTCCTTTTTGGAGACGAAGTCTTGCTCTCTCACCCAGGCTAATGTGCAGTGGCATGATCTCTGCTCACTACAGCCTCCACCTCCGCCTCCCGAGTTCAAGTGATTCTTCTCCTGCCTCAGCCTCCCAAGTAGCTGGGAACTACAGGCACGAATCACCACGCCCTGCTGACTTTTGTATTTTTAGTAGAGATGAGGTTTCACCATGTTGGCCAGGCTGGTCTCAAACTCCTGACTTCAAGTGATTCCCCCCACCTCAGCCCCAAAGTGCTGGGATCTGAAATTATAGGCATGAGCCACTGCACCTGGCCATTTCCTTTAAGTCTTTATTCAGATGTCACCTTCTCAATGAGTTCCACCCTATTTAAAACTGGCTCTCCTCCCGAATTCCCGAACCTCCTTAGCCTACACTAATATTCACAGCAATTAATATATATATGTTTTGAGATGGAGTCTCGCTCTGTCACCCAGGCTGGAGTGCAGTGGTGTGATCTCGGCTCACTGGGATTGCAGCTGTGAACCACTGCACCTGGTCAACAATTATTATCTTTATTTTGTTTTTCAGACAGGATCTCACTCTATCACCCAGGCTGCAGTGCCATGGTATGATCATGGGTCACTGCAGCCTCAACCTCCGGGGCTCAAGCAATGCTGTGTGCCACCATGCCCAGCTAAATTTTGTATTTTTAGTAGAAATGGGGTTTCACCTTGTTGGCCAGGCTGGTCTTGAACTCATGACCTCAGGTGATCTGCCACCTCGGCCTCCCAAAGTGCTGGGATTAAGGTGTGAGCCATTGCACCCAACCCCGAACAAAAGTAAGGTCATGGGTTACTAGTACTTAGCAAAGAAAGGGCCCCTTCCCCACCACATCTTCTGACAATTCCTGTCTCCCAAAGGACTTGGAAGGCTGTCCATCACTAGGCCAACTCCTGACCAGTTCTCAAATCTGCTCCCTTCTCTCCACCCTTTCCCCAGATGGCTGCCACTCTCACCAAGCCACGGTCCACTTGCTGATGGGTTTTCTGCTTCCACCCAGGACCATCCAGACCAGTCTTTACCAGCAGCCCTGGGCTACAGTCCCAAATCCAGTCACTCCTCTGCCCAAAACTCCTCAATAGCTCCCTGGATCTCACCCATACTCTTCACGGTTGCCTGCTGGAGTCTGCAGAGCCTAGCCCTTCCTGGCTACCTCTCCCAGCTTGCAACACACGTCTCTCTTTTTCTCTCATCCCTATGACCTTCTTTGAGTTTCCTCCACCATAATAATTTTTTAAATTCTTACCAAAAAAAATGCTTAGGCCAGGTGCAGTGGCTTACAGCTGTAATCCCAGCATTTTGGGAGGCTGAGGCAGGTGGATTGCTTGAGGCCCGGAGTGAGACAAGCCTAGGCAATATGGCAAAAACCGATCTCTACAAAAAGCACAAAAATTAGCCGGGTGTGGTGGTGAACCCCTGTAGTTCCAGCTACTCAGAAGGCCGAGGTGGGACGATTGCTTGAGCCTGGGAGGCAGAGGCTGCAGTGAGATGAGATCATGCCATGGCATTACAGCCTGGGTGACAGAGCAAGACCTTGTCTCAAAAAAAAAAAGTTTGAGATGCAATTCACATATCATAGAATCCACCCATTTAAACTACATAATTAAATGGTTTTTAATATAGCCACAGTTGTGCAAGCATCACGTTAATTTTTTCATTCCAATAGTTTTTGGGGAACAGATGGTGTCTGGTTACTTGTGTGAGTTATTTGGTGGTGACTTCTGAGCTGCTGGCGCATCCGTCACTGAGCAATGTATACCACACCCAGTGTGTAGTCTTTTACCCACCCCCTCCCACCCTTACCCTTGAGTCCCCAAAGTCCACTGTATTTTTTTTTTTTTTTTTGAGACGGAGTTTCACTCCTGTTGCCCAGGCTGGAGTGCAGTGGTGCGATCTCAGCTCACCGCAACCTCTGCCTCCAGGTTCAAGTGATTCTCCGGCCTCAAACTCCTGAGTAGCTGGGATTACAGGTACACGCCACCACACGCTGATAATTTTGTGTTTTTAATAGAGATGGGGTTTCTCCGTGTTGGTCAGGCTGGTCTCTAACTCCCGACATGTGATCAAGCCTACCTCAACCTCCCAAAGTGTTGGGATTACAAGCGTGAGCCACCATGCCCGGCCTTTTTTTTTTTTTTTTTTGAGATGGAAGTGCTCTGTGGCTCATGCTGGAGAGCAATGGTGCAATCTCAGCTCACTGCAACCTCCAGCTCTCGAGTTCAGGTGATTCTCCTGCCTCAGCCTCCTGAGTAGCTGGGACTACAGGCGTCCACCACCACGTACAGCTCATTTTTGTACTTTTAGTAGAGACGAGGTTTCAACCACGTTGGCCAGGCTGGTCTCAAACTCCTGACCACAAGTGATCCGCCCGCCTCGGCCTCTCAAAGTTCTGGGATTATAGGTGTGAGCCACCATGCCCAGCCCTGTGGTGTCATTCTTATGTCTGTCCGTCCTCACAGCCCAGCTGTCACTTCTAAGTGAGGACACAGGTGTTTGGTTTCCTATTCCTGAGTTACTTCACTTACAGTCATGGCCTCCAGCTCCAGCCACGTTGCTGCAAATGCCATGATTCCATTCTGTTTCATGGGTGAATAGTATTCCATGGTGTATATACCACATCTTTAGCCACTCGTTGGGTGATGATGGGCATTTAGGTTGGTTCCACATTTTTGCAACTGTGAACTGTGCTTCTAGTAACATGCATGTGTACACGTCTTTGGCATGTAATGACTTTTTTCCTCTGGGTAGATACCCAGTAGTGGGACTGCCCGATCGAATGGTGGTTCTACTTTTAGCTCTTCAAGCAATCTCCGTGCTGTTTTCCACAGTGGTTGTACTAGCTTCCATTCCCACCAGCAGTGTAAAAGTGTCCCTTTTTTACTAAATCCATCCCAACATCGACTTTATTTTTTTAATTATGGCCATTCTTGAAGGAGCAAGGTATTATCTCATTGTGGTTGTAATTTGCGTTTCCCTGATACTGAGTGATGCTAAGCATTTTTCATGTTTGTCGGCTGTTTGCAATATCTTTCTTTTCTTTGAGATGGAGTCTCACTATATCACCCAGGCTGGAGTGCTGTGGCCTATCTCGGCTCACTGTAACCTCCGCCTGCTGGGTTTAAGCAATTCTCCTGCCTCAGCCTTTGGAGTAGCTGGGATTACAGGCACACGCTGCCACGCCTGGCTAATTTTTGTATTTTTAGTAGAGATAGGGGTTTCACCATGTTGGCCAGCCCGGTCTCAAACTCCTGACCTCAAGTGATGCGCCTGCCTCGGCCTCCCAAAGTGCTGGGATTACGAACGTGAGCCACCGCGACCAGCCTACTTGTAATATCTTCTTTGAAAGAATTGTCTATTCATGTCCTTTGCCTACTTTTTCATTAGATGATTTTATTTTCTTGCTGATTTGTTAGAGCTCCTTGTAAATTCTGGATATTAGTCCTTTGTCAGATGCATAGCTTGCCAATATTAAAGTAATGGCAAAGACCTCGATTTCTTTTGCACCAACCTTAATATAAGGTGAGCGAGGATCCAGTTTCATCCTGTACCTGTGGCTTGCCATGTTTCCCAGCACCATTTATTGAATAGGGTATCCTTTCCCCATTTTATGTTTTCGTATGCTGTGTTGAAGATTGTCGTGGCATGAGGGCAGAGGAGAAATATGGTTACCAGAGAGCTTTCCCTACCTGCCATAACATGTCGTCCCTTCCAAAATACCGTGTTTCCCCTATTTGTTATGTTTCATTTTTGGTTCTATCTTCCCCAGCTACAGTAAGCCTTAAAAGGGCAAAGATCTCTGTCTGTCTGTTCTCCAATGCGTCCCAAGCACCTGGATTGGTGCCTGGCACATAGTAGGTATTCAATAAATATCGGATGAATGTATAACACCTTCAGCCTATCAGGTGCTCTGCTAGGGACCGAGGACAAAATCCCTGCTCTGCTGCGGTGATTTTCTAGTTGGTAAGAGTCAAACATGCAAGCAGGCAAATAACTGCAAATCCTGAAGTTCCAAGAGGATGAAGCCGGGAGAGCACGGGAGGGGAGGACAGAGGAGAGAAGCGGCTCCACAGGGCGTGACGAGTTAGGGTTATCCTCGAGGTGAGAAGAATGGGAGGGTGAAAAGCACAACAGGCACAGGGAACCGTATGCCCAACTGTCCTCAGGGGAAAGAGCTGGGCTTATTCCAGGAACAAACACACAAGGCAAGGGAGCCTCATGGAGGTGGTGCAAGGGCTTATGGGTTTTCGGCGAGTTTGGGATTTATGCAAAATGTAGTGGGGGGGCGGGCTCTTGAGCTTTAAGCTGGGGCGGGGCATGTGGGATTTATGTAAAGCAGTGAGCAAATTACAGCTCAAGGGCCTACCTTGGCCACTGCCTGTTTCTGGAAACACACCCATTCGTTTTCTTAGGAGCTACAAAGGCAGAGTTTAACCAACCACGAGGTCGGAAAACCTTTTAGGAAAAGGTGTGCCAGCCCGATTTTAAGGTAATCATTCAGGGTACAGGTGATCCCTCCCGATCCCTCACCCCAGGTGCAATCTATACCAGTTCCTGTTGATGCCATCTACTGAATCTCATCACTTCCCCCAATTTCCCATGCCACTAATCCTGCTTGGAGCCGCTATAATCCCACCTGAACAAATTGAATCACCTCCTCATTGGCCTCCCTGTTTCTGTTCATAAGCCTGATGGAGTCATTCTCTACTCAAAGCCACTAATGCCTCTCCATCGTTCAAAAAACAGACATACTCTTCGCCATGGCCTAGGAGGCCCGCCAGCACCCCCTCCTCTCTCCCACCTCAGATCCCTCTACTTGCTCTGCCTCACTCCAACCCCAGCCTCACTAGCCTCCTAATTCTCCCTAAAATCACCAAGCCCAATCCCCTTTGCACCTGCTGTTCCCTTTGCTGAAAATGCTTTTCCCACAGACCTTCTCACAGCCCAAATGACCTTTCCTCAGACAGATTTCCCTGCCCAGCCAAGGTAAGACAGTGGCCCATCCCTCCCTCTCTGGCGTCCTTCTCCCACTGTTTGCTCCTGTCTTTATCACTAGCTGACATGACTTACTTGCTATCTGGCTCCTGCACCAGCATGTAAGATCCAGGAAGGCCGAGGTTTTGTCCCTTTTATTCTCTGCTGTATCCCATAGCATCCTGCCAGCTACGGTGTAGATGCTGATAGAGAAGAACAAATGTACTGAATGGATGCAAGTATCCAGAGAGGGATATGATAATTAAAAATATCTACCCATCATCGTTGTGACAAGGAGTAAATGACATCAAGCATGTAAAGAAACTAGAACGGGGTCTGGCACACAGCAAATAATAAATAATAACCATTAGTATTACCATTATTATTGTTATGACTTTTGGGTGGATTTTTTTTTTTTTTTTTTTGAGACGGAGTCTCGCTCTGTCACCCAGGCTGAGGTGCAATGGCACAATCTCGGCTCACTGCAACCTCCGCCCCTCAGATTCAAGCAATTCTCTGCTTCCGCCTCCCGAGTAGCTGGGATTACAAGCGCCTACCATCATGCCCAGCTAATTTTTTTGTATTTTTAGTAGAGATGGGGCTTAACCGTGTTGGTCAGGCTGATCTTGAACTCCTGATCTCAGGTGTTCCACCCGCCTCAGCCTCCCAAAGTGCTGGGATTACAGGCGTGAGCCACCACGTCCTGGATTTTTGAGATCAAGACAAAGTTAATCACCAGCTTTGCCTGGTCCCAGCTGAGGAACCCTGAGCAAGACACTCTACCCTCCTGTTCCTTCAGTTTCCTTGTCTATTAATTGGGCTGGGCCCCTCCACGCCCAGCAGGCTAAAATGGAAGATCTGCAACATGCTGATCTTCGAAATGGAATGAAGGATTGGTGGCACCAATCTAAGCAGGATTGGTGGCACTGAGGATGGGGGCAAGTGATGAGATTCAGTAGATGAGGTCAACAGGAACTGGTATAGACTGGACCTGGAGTGAGGGTGGGCACGAAGGGATCACCTGCAGCCATTTCTCCACAAACTGGTTATGATGATGACTTTTTATGCTGTGGCTGTTTTTTCTGCTGCTTTCAGTTTTCTGGGTTTTCTTGGTACAGATGGTGGGAGAGGTCTCTCACTATGTTGCCCAGTCTAATCTCGAACTCCTGGGCTCAAGCGATCTACCTTGGTCTCCCAAAGTGCTGGGATTACGGGTGTGAGCTACTGTACCCAGTCACGTAGGGTTTTTTGTTGTTGTTGTTTTTGAGACGGAGTTTCGCTCTCGTTACCCAGGCTGGAGTGCAATGGCGCGATCTCGGCTCACCATAACCTCCGCCTCCTGGGTTCAGGCAATTCTCCTGCCTCAGCCTCCCGAGTAGCTGGGACTACAGGTGTGGGCCACCATGCCCAGCTGATTTTTGTATTTTTAGTAGAGACGGGGTTTCACCATGTTGACCAGGATGGTCTCGATCTCTTGACCTCGTGATCCGCCTGCCTCGGCCTCCCAAAGTGGGGTGACTTTTTTTACTGACACCTACTGCTGGAGATGGTCACCTACTTCCCAGAGAGGGAAACTGAATCCCAGAGAAGGCAGGTGTGGGTGGAGGCCGTGGGTCAGTCACAGGCAGAACCGCGCCCTGAATAAAGGAACGAGGCAAAGTGGGTCTCCCTGACTTCCTTCCCTGGCATCACAAGGAATTCCAGAGCCCATGTGCCACATAAGGAAACTGAGGCCGGGCGTCTTCCATGAAGCCTGGCAGGGGTCGGGGTCACACACGGAAGGCAAGGCTGTCCGAGCCTTCATGGTCATTCTGACTCATCTTTGAGCCTTCGCAATACTACACGTGGACCCAAGACCATTTCCAGCACAAAATGGCGCCTCGTAGAAAAACGTAGCGGGACTTCCAGCGCCCACTTCCCCACGGCTGAGAGGAGGGGGAGCGCGCGGCAGCGCACGACTCATTTGCATATATAAAAATAAACGGATTTCGTTGGCTGGGAGCGGTTTGATATGCAAGAAACTGGGTCTGTATTGGTCGCTATCCATTCCTGCCCGCCCTCTGACCGGCCTCTGTCAGCCATTGGCCCGCGCGAGTCTCGTGACCCTCTAGTCACTAAGACGCATCTCTATTGGCCCCAGCGCCTTCCATCACGCGTTTAAAACCCCGAGTCCCGCCTCTCCTCGCCACGCTCCAGCCCCGAGGACGACCGTTAGTCGCGTGCGCGACTTCCTCAGCGTCAGGGCGCGCACGCGCGCGCGTATGCCGGGCCGTGGCGGCGTCTCATTCAAACGGCCCAATCAGCGGCCGCGTCGCCTTCCGCGTCCCCTTCCTTTCTACTTCCCTTTTTCAGCCCCTCCGTTCTTTGAGACCACTCCCCAGCACTCGCGGACCTCCATTGGCCGGCCCGCCGCCCAGCCCTCTCCGCCACTTCCCTCGCTTCTGACCACAGTTTGCGGGGAAGGGAGCGAGCCCGTCGAACACCAAGGAACGTGCGCGCTGACGTCACGGTTGAGGCTCGGGGCTGAGGGGCCGCGGGGGGGGCGTGGCCTGCGGGCGGCTATAAAGAGGCTGTGGTGCGCGCGCGGCTGGCTCAGTGCGGCCGGGCACCGGGGTGGTGGGTCGTTGGACGCTGTGAGCGGCAGGTGTCGGAGGCAGCGAGGAGCTGAGCGGGGCCACCGGGGTCTCGCCAGGGCCGTAGCAGCAACAGTTGGGCCCCCCCGCCCCGGCCGGAGGGCCGAAGAACGCAGGAAGGGGGCCGGGGGGACCCGCCCCCGGCCGGCCGCAGCGATGGTGAGCACGGGCGGCGAGGCCCGAGAGGGTGGTCGGGGGTGCACCTCAGGAGGAGGCGGAGTCTCAGGGGCCTGCGACCGGCGGCCTTGTGGGGTTTGAGGGCCAGCCTGGGGGGTCCCTGACCCGGAATGGGCCCTCGGGCCTTCCTGCAGGCGGAGCAGGAGCTTGGGCGGCCCGCAGTCTCCCTGGCGGCGAGGGCTCCGGGCGCTTTGCGGCCCGCCCATGGGTGTTCCCGGGAGCAAGGACGCCCCGCCGCCATCTCCAGACCTGAGCCTGGGTTTCAAGGATGCGCTAACCAAAAATAAGTGGAGACGGAGGGGAGGGTGGATCTCTGGCCTGTGTGGAAGCACTGGGGCCCGTGCAGGATTAGGAGCGGGCTTTGGGGGTTTCTGGGGCAGGTGGACTTACCTGGAAGCCTCCTCGGGAGCCCGCCCCCATTTCTCTTGGGAGTTGTGCCTGGGCAGGTGGCCTAAAGCAGCGTGGGTGGGGGTCTGGGAGTTGAAGGATGATTGACAGCCTTGGACCACTGGGTCAAGACTCGGGCAGTCTCAGCATCTGTAGGCCCTCCGGGAAGCCCAGCTCTGAACATCCTCTCACCCTGCTCTCCCACCGTGCCCAGAACTCCAACGTGGAGAACCTGCCCCCGCACATCATCCGCCTGGTGTACAAGGAGGTGACGACACTGACCACAGACCCACCCGATGGCATCAAGGTCTTTCCCAACGAGGAGGACCTCACCGACCTCCAGGTCACCATCGAGGGCCCTGGTGAGTTTGGAAGGAGAGATGGAGGGGGTTGCTGCTTAGATCCTGCTCTAGAACAGACCATTACGGGCCGGCCTTGTGTCGGGTGCTGGGGGTGCGGTGGTGGACAGGGCAGGATGCCACAAATGACAGTTATGTATCCTTTTCTCAAGAGTTGACACATACCTGGTCATTGAGACAGTTTATCATAGGGCGGTGCCGTAGATTTGAAGCAAGGCTCTCAGACATGGCTTCCCTGGACTTGAGAATGGACAGAAATGAATAGAAGGGGGATGAAGTTGCCGGTGGGAATGGTGTCAGGAAAGGCCTGGGAGGGCGAGCCACATGATCTCAAACTCCATCCTGCTGTGAGTGTCAGGGATGAGGAAACAAGCCAGATGCAGTATCATGGAGAGACGGGTCATAAGTAGCCACGTGATTTTGCAGAGCTATTTAGAATATGGTTTCATGCAAGCTACATTTATATTATCACCAGAATTCCTACAAAGCCAGTCAGGATTTGAGAAGCACATGTGAAGGAATGGTCTATTCCACTGTGGTGGTGATGGTAGGTGGTCAGGGAAGTCCCGGCTGTGGTGACAGTTGAGGTCATTCATGCCTTGCTGCATGGGGTGATCTCGGGGCACGGGATCATGAAGATGGGAAGGCTCCCAGAAAGCCCCTGAGGCGGGTGGAGCTGCGTGCTTGGTAAAAACACACGAAGTATCTGGTTTTGGCTGGGCACAGTGGCTCAAGCCTGTAATCCCACAGTACTTAGGGAGGCTGAGGTGGGCGGATCACCTGAGGTCAGGACTTTGAGACCAGCCTGGCCAACGTGGAGAAACCCCATCTCTTTAAATTAATAAATAAATAAAAATGTTAAAAAAAGAAAAACACACGAAGTAAGTTGATGGTCAAGCTGCTGAGGGCAGATCTTTAGGGCTTCTAGGCCTCTCTGTAAGTAGTTTGTAGGGGAATCTGGTGGAAGGTTTAAAGCAGGGGTACGGCAGATCCCTCCAAAGTTCCTGTTAACTGGAGTGAGTGGGCCTGGCAGGAGGGAGAAACAGGCCAGTCAGGAAGCTAGCCGCAGAGGTGGGATGAGATTCATGAGAGAACCCAGTGGGCAGTGGTCAAGCAGCTGATGGGCTAGAGGAGGGACAAGCAAGTGGGTGAGGAGGTGGGAGCCATGGAGTCGAGAGTTGACAGACTGTTGGATCCTTTATCTGAAAGTCATGTAAGTAGGCATCCTAAAGGGAGATAAGTACGTACTTGGGTCCCTGGCACCTGGGAAGGGCCTGTGACTAGGGTGGTCACTTGGGCCATGAGAAGGGATATGCAGCAAAGGGATGTCTCTTTTATGGAGACTAGAGCTTGATGGTGACAAAGCTGGGAGCTGCGCGATGGGCATCATCTCTGAGTTCTGGGGGAGGTCCTGTGGTTCTTCCTCTTAAGAATTCTCCAGCCTGACTGGGCGTGGTGGTCTATGCCTGTAATCCTAGCACTTAGGGAGGCTGAGGCGAACAAATTGCTTGAGCCCAAGAGTGCAAGACCAGTTTGGGCAACATAGTGAGACCCTGTCTCTCCGAAAAAAGTAGCCAGGCATAGTGGCAAGCCTGTAGTCCCAGCTATTTGGGAGGCTGAGATGGGAGGATCACCTGAGCCCTTGAGTTGGCAGGCTGTAATGAGCTGAGATTGTGCCACTGCACTCCAGCCTGGGTGACACAGAAGACCCTATTTAAAAAAAAAAAAAAAAAAAAAAAATCTTCCAGCCTGATGGGAGAGCTGGCAGGACATCCACCTGTGTCACAGCCAGACCACAGAGACTGGGCTTTGGGGCATTGAGGTGCCTTGGGAGTCCTGAGTGCCCTGACCCTGTCCCCCTCTCTCCACTCCAGAGGGGACCCCATATGCTGGAGGTGTGTTCCGCATGAAACTCCTGCTGGGGAAGGACTTCCCTGCCTCCCCACCCAAGGGCTACTTCCTAACCAAGATCTTCCACCCGAACGTGGGCGCCAATGGCGAGATCTGCGTCAACGTGCTCAAGAGGGACTGGACAGCTGAGCTGGGCATCCGACACGTGCTGCTGGTAAGTTCTGGGCTAGGGCTGGGCCTCCTGCTTCCGGCCTCTGGAGGTCCGCTGGTGTCTGAGCCATAGTGCTTTGTTTAGTTTTTCTGAGTCAGCTCTAAAGTAGTTGAAGGTTTCCACGTAAAAATCCAGGTTGCTAGCTTTCCTGGAAAGTTGAACAGTGCCAGACCCAGGTTACCAAGTACTGTTGAGAAGGGCCCAAGGGCACCTTGCCGTGCAGCAAGTGATGGGTTCCTATTGTAGGATGGTTTTCTCTTCTTAAAAAAAAAAAAAAAAAAATGGGTAGGCTGGGCGCCGTGGCTCACACCTATAATCCCACACTTTGGGAGGCTGAGGTGGGCAGATTACTTGAGGTCAGGAGTTGGAGACCAGATTCTCTACTAAAAATGCAAAAATTAGGAAGGCCGAGGTGGGTAGATCATGAGGTCAGGAATTTGAGACCAGCCTGGCCAACATGGCGAAACCCCGTCTTACTAGAAATATAAAAATGAGCTGGGCATGGTGGTGGGCACCTGTAATCCCAACTACTTGGGAGGGTAAGACAGGAGACTCACTTGAGCCTGGAAGGTGGAGGTTGCAGTGAGCCGAGATCACGCCACTGCACTCCAGCCTGGGTGGAATTTTTATTTAATTAAAAAATTAAAACAGGGATGGAGTCTCATTTGTTGCCCAGGCTGGTCTCAAACTCCTAAACTCAAGTGAGCCTCTCACGTCAGTCTCCCAAATTGGTGGGCTTACAGAAGTGAGCCACTGCACCTAGCCGGTAGGACAGTTTTCTGACAGGTGGAAGTCAAGAGTCTGGTTAGAAGCTTTTCTTTCTCTTTTTTTTAAAAGATACAGGCTCTTTGTTTCCCAGGCTGGAGTGCAGTGGCACAGTCATAGCTCACTGTAGCCTTGAACTCTGGGCTCAGGTGATCTTCCTGCCTCAGCTTCCTGAATGGCTGATACACAGACATGCACCATCATACCCAGCTAATTTTTACATTTTTATGGTTTGCAGAGATGGGGTCCCATTAGAGGCTTTTTTGCTAAAGCTGAATTTACATACCATAAAACTCACTGTTCCAGTATACAGTTCAGTGGTTTTTAACAGTGATAGGGTTCATACATCAGGGTTTCTCAGCCAGAGGAGATTTTGCCCCCCAAGGGGTATTTTGCATTGTCAAGAGACCAAAAATGTTGTCACAAGTAGGGGTGCCACTAGCATCTGCTGGGTGGAGGCCAAGGGTGCTGCTCACATCCTGCAGTGCACGGGGCGGCCCCATGATGAAGAATGACTTGGCCAAGATGGAGGCGTCCTGGTCTAGGCCAGTGCTCCAAGTTCTCCACAGGCTGTTCACAGCCTGCTGCCTCCCCCATCCTCCCTACAGGCTGAAAAAAATTTTTTTGACTTAATTTCTAATGAGCCCCTGGGGCACATGGCAGAGAGGGTGGGGAATTGGGGTTTCCTCCTGTGCTCAGGGAGAGGACTGAGCTCCAAGGTAAACAGACCCCAAACCTTTCCCTCCCACATGCACCGACTCCCTCCTGCTGGAGGTCATTGGAGGCTACTGGGGACGTGGGCACTGAGCTCCAGGCCTGCTTGCTGCTGGGTCTGCATCTGGACCTGTTGGGGACTCAAAGCAAGAGAGCCTCGAGAAGGACAGCGAGGCATGCAGTTTGCATGCAGTGGTGACATTAGGGTGGGGACCTGCGTCCTGGTCACCATCAGTGATGTCTGCTGAGCCAGGTGCTGTGTGTGTGTATCCTAGTGGCCCCAGGGAGCAAACAGCCTTGGCCAGTTTGCCCAGCCCACTTAAGAGGTTGCCCCAGGGGCTGCTGGAGGCCTGGCTGCACATCACGCCTCTGCACTCCAATTTATTCCTCAGGACAGGCTGATGAGGGGGCGTTGAGAGGAATTCCCCCTCTCCTAAGGGCCACCCTCGAGGTGCACCTCAGGCCACCAGTCCTGGTGTCTTGCCCTCTTGAGTAGGGTCCAACCCAGCTATAGTTGTGGGCCATGAACTTCGGATTTCCTGTAAAAGACAGTGACAGGTCAGGATTTCTGCTGTATCTGGAAAGATGGGAGGTTTTTTTTTTTTTTTTTTGAGACAGAGTTTCACTCTTGTTACCCAGGCTGGAGTGCAATGGCGCAATCTTGGGTCACCGCAACCTCGGCCTCCTGGGTTCAGGCAATTCTCCTGCCTCAGCCTCCTGAGTAGCTGGGACTACAGGTGCGCGCCACCATGCCCAGCTAATTTTTGTATTTTTAGTAGAGACAGGGTTTCACCATGTTGACCAGTGATCTGGTCGATCGAGGGTTTCCGCTCGATCTCTTGACCTTGTGATCCACCCTCCTCGGCCTCCCAGAGTGCTGAGATTACAGGCTTGAGCCACCACACCCAGCAAGGTTGGAGCTTTAGAGTCCACCAGGCAGGTGTGAGGTCCTCACATCCTCAGTGGCCCTGGGGCAAGCCTCTTTCCTTTGTCCAGGCTCTGGGCCTCATTGAACCAGAGGGCCTCTGAGGTCATGATGAACAAACAGCACAGAGGCAAATTCAAGTAATGGACTCCTCACAGGGGGCCTTGGCTTCCCCCAATCACCCAGCAAGTTCCACTGAAAACCAGGGACATTTTAAACCATTGGCCCCGTGGTGTCGTGTCCTTTTGGGAACATCTGTGAGTCGGGTAACAGGAACGTGGCTTCTGAGGGAGACAGTGAGCAAAGATGAGGGAGCGTACGGCATCGGTGGGTCCTCAATCTGATCTCCCAGGCAGCTGAGCTGGGAGCAGAAGGAACAGGCAGAGCAAAAGCACCCTCTTGTGCAGGTCCAGGGTTCCTGTAGGTTGCCCAACCCTCCCTGATCCTGGGCCTCTTCCTACAGACCATCAAGTGCCTGCTGATCCACCCTAACCCCGAGTCTGCACTCAACGAGGAGGCGGGCCGCCTTCTCCTCGAGAACTATGAGGAGTATGCGGCTCGGGCCCGTCTGCTCACAGAGATCCACGGGGGCGCTGGTGGGCCCAGTGGCAGGGCCGAAGCTGGTCGTGCCCTTGCCAGTGGCACTGCAGCCTCCTCCACCGATCCAGGGGCCCCAGGGGGCCCAGGAGGAGCTGAGGGTCCCATGGCCAAGAAGCATGCTGGCGAGCGTGACAAGAAGCTGGCGGCCAAGAAAAAGACGGACAAGAAGCGGGCACTGCGGCGGCTGTAGTGGGCTCTCCTCCTCCTTCCACCGCAACCCCAACCTCTCCTGTCCCCTCCCTCCAACTCTGTCTCTATAAGTTATTTAAGTTATGGCTGGGGTCTGGGAGGGTACAGGGGGCACTGGGACCTGGATTTGTTTTTCTAAATAAAGTTGGAAAAGCAGCTTCTGTGTCTCACAGATGCCCAGGACCGCTGCTTCTGCCACGTGGCTCCAGGAGGTTGGCTCCCCTGCACGGGCCCTGGGTCCTGTTAAAAACCTCATAGCCTGCAGCAGTGGGTCCACCTAGCTCACCAGGCCTCCTGTTTGAGGACTGCATCCACCTCTTTGTTCTGTGGGAGGAGAGCTGTCACAACCCCTCTTTGGAGTCAGATTTCCAATCTAAAATGGGGTGGGGACCTGGCTCTAGAGTAATGGACATGTTGGTGTGGCAGTGGCCTTCCTGCTCAGGACAGCCAGGTGTGAGCATTCTGTTGTGAGGCTTAACCTCATCTGGTTCTGGACTGGGTCAGGGTTCCTTCCCATTGCGTCATCTGATCCCAGCTCTGCACTGAAGATTGGTTTCCCCCTTGGCAACAAAGCCTGTCCCCATGTGTATTTCTGCATAACAGATCACAACGCACTGGCTTAAAGCCACACCCACTTGAGACTTCCTGTTGGAAGTCTGGACACGGCAGTGAGCGCTTTGCAGGCTGAAATTGAGGTACTGGTTTGTGTTCCTTAGTCTGTGTCCTCTTCCAAGCTTCTGGTTGTTGGTTGATTTCAGTTCTTGAAGATCTGGGGTCTCAGCTCAGAGAAGCTGCCCTCCTTGGGCCCTGGCAGGCCTGGTTTAAGGGTCCGTTCCCTTTGAAGTGCTCACCCACTCAGGTCAGGCCCATCCAGATACTGAAGTGATAATAACCAAATCACAGGGTAGGGTCCTAGCATAGTCTTAGTTTCTGCCCTTGAGGAAAGGGATTATTCTGGGTATGCACACCAGGGGATGAGTAAACTTCCCATTAATGTCTCATTAATTAAAAAAAAAATAGGCCAGGCACAGTGGCTCACACCTGTAATCCCAACTTTAGGAAGTCAAAGGATCACTGGAGGTCAGGAGTTAAGACCAGCTTTGAAACAGTGAGATCCTATCTCTACAAAAAGTAAAAATGTGGCTGGGAGCAGTGGCTCAGGCCTGTAATCCCAGCACTTTGGGAGGCCGAGGCAGGCAGATTGCCTGAGGTGGGGAATTTGAGACCAGCCTGACCAACATAGAGAAACCTTGCCTCTACTGAAAATACAAAATTAGCGGGGCATGGTGGCACATGCCTGTAATCCCAGCAGGAGGCTGAGGCAGGAGAATCACTTGAACCCCAGAGGTGGAGGTTGCGGTGAGCCAAGATAGGGCCATTGCACTCCAGCTTGGGCAACAAGCAAAACTCTGTCTCAAAAAAAGTCAAACTACATTTACAATAAAAAATCTAAAAGTTCTGACCCATAGAAGAGTGGAAAACTCAAAGGTAGCTTTTGACCCGAAGGAATTTGCCTATTCTAATAAAACAGCTGAGGTTGAAACCCAGGGCCAACCTCTAAAAGGAAGGGTCTGATCCCTCCTTGAGCCCTTGCCCCCAGTGATGATCCGCCAAGCTAAGGGAGAAAAGGAACCAAAATCTGTACTCCTCCCTACCTGTAGCAGTGCGGGGAGCAAAGAAAGACAAGGGGAAAAAACCCTACAGATTTTCAGACCAAATTCACATCACTGGCCTTCCAAGAAATCTCAAGCCCTGCGTTTATCATCAGGCATTTCTGCATAAGATAAGCAGACAGTCCTTGTTGAAGGAAGGTGCATGCCTGCTGGGCCTTGGGGAACCCACTGAAATAATTTAACCAATTATATAGTAAAAATACAGCTCTGGTCTTAGACCCTGACAGAATTCCTACATCCCTTGGAATCTCCCGGGTAATAGGAGCAGTCTTTGTTCAAATGAAGTCATCTTTGATGGACCCCTAGGTGGCTTCAGGAAAGGGGTTGGTCACTGGAAATACCAAAGCAGAATTAGAGAGTTGGGGATTTCAGCCCCACCCACTCCTACCAACCTTTGGGAAGAGGGGCTGAAGGTTGAGGTCAATGATTTGTTTAATATGCCATCTCGTGAAACCTCCATTAAAACCCTAAACGAGGCGGGGCACGGTGGCTTACGCTTGTAATCCCAGCACTTTGGAAGGCCGAGGCGGGCAGATCACCTGAGGTCAGGAGTTTGAGACCAGCCTGGCCAACGTGGTGAAATCCTGTCTCTATCGAAAATACAAAAGTTAGCTGGACATGGTGGTGGCTGGCTGTAATCCTAGCTACTTGGGAGGTTGAGGCAAGGATAATCACTTGAACCTGGGGGGCAGAGGTTGCAGTGAGCCGAGTTCGCATCACTGCACTCCAGCCTGGGTGACAGAGCAAGACTTCGTCTCAACAAAAATTAGCCAGGCATGGTGGCGTGGGCCTGTAGTCTCAGCTCTTCAGGAGGTGAAAGAACGAGGGTCGCTTGAGCCAGGTACGTTGAGGCTGCAGTGAGCTGACAGTGCCACTGCACTCCAGCCTGGGTGTCAGATGCTTCCTCAAAACAAACCGGGCACCATGGTTCACCTATAATCCCAGCACTTTGGGAGGCCGAGGTTGGTGGATCACTTCAGTTTGAGTTCAAGAGCAGCCTGGCCGATGGGGCGAAACTCCATCTCAAGTAAAAATTTAAAAATTAGCCATGCATTGTGGTGCATGCCCATAGCCTCAGCTATTCAGAAGGCTTGAACTGGCGAGGCAGAGGTTGCAATGAGCTGAGACTGTGCCACTGCCCTCCAGTCTGGGCAATAGAGCAAGACTGTCTCAACCCCCCAACCCTGCACCTCCCCACATACACAACAAAATGTGTAAAGAGTTCCTACAAATCAATATGAAAAAAAAAATACAAAATAAAAATTGGCAAAAACACGAACAAGCACTTCACAAAACAGGAAATACAAATGGCTGTTAACACATGTAAAGGTACTCAGCATCATTAGTAACTGGAAAAATGCAAATGTAGACCAAGACTGATGCCATTATATTCCTTGGGGATTAACAACGATTAAATCTTAGAATACCAAGTGTGGGCAAAGGGGCAGAGCACTAGGAATTCCTATAGACTCCAGTTGGAAGAGTGAGATTTTGGTAAAGCCCACTTTGAAACTTTGTAGTAAAGTCAAAAGAACTCAACTTCCTACCCAACCAGCTTTTTTGTTTTGGTTTGGTTTTCATTTACATTAAGGTTCCCTTTATTTGTATTTCTTTACAACCATCCATGCTGGGGTAACTCCCTCCTGTGGCTCAAGCCCAAATCCCACTCTAGAAATTCTCATTCCCATTTCTTTGTTTTTTTTTGAGATAGAGTTTCGCTCTGTCACCTAGCTTGGGGTGCAGTGGTGCAATCTCAGCTCATTGCAGCCTACGCCTCAGGAATTTCAAGTGATTTCATGCCTCAGCCTCCCCAGTAGTTGGAATTACAGGCGTGCGCCACCAAGCTGGGCTAATTTTTGTATTTTTAGTAGAGACGGGATTTCACCACGTTGGCCAGGCTGGTCCCGTACTCCTGGTCTCAAGTGATCCCCCTGCCTCTCGGCCTCCCAAAGTGCTGGGATTACAGGCGTGAGCCACCAAACCTGGACTCACGTTCCCATTTCTGACTACAGGACACAGGTTGTTGTCTTTAAAAAGATGGGTTATCACTATGCTGTACAAGTTGGCCTCAAACTCCCAGGCTCAACTGATCCTCCCATCTCCCACCTCAGCCTCCGTAGTAGCTGGGACTATAGGCAGGTACCACCATGCCCAGCTCTCACGTACTTGCACGTACACAACAAGTTTAAAACATTTGTCCCAAACAGTGTAAACATGCTTGTATATTCAAGGAACAATATTTCACAGCACAACGTAATCAAAACTAAGCAAGTCACAAAATATACTACAGCTTGAATGCCTCATACACAATTCAAAAATAAGCAAAAATAAATTCTCATACATATGTTGGTGGTAAACTATAAAAGAAAATGAGGAGGCCGGGTGTCATGGCTCACGCCTGTAATCCTAGTATTTTGAGAGGCCAAGGAAGGCAGATGGCTTGAGCTCACAAGTTCAAGACCAGCCTGGGCAACATGGCAAAACCCTCTCTCTACAAAAAAATACAAAAATCAGCTGGGTGTCGTGGTGTATGCCTGTAGTCTCAGCTACTCAGGAGGCTGAGGTGGGAGGATGGCTTGAGCATGGCAGGCAGAGGCTGCAGTGAGCCGACATCATGCCACTGCCCTTTAGCCTGAGTGACAAAGCCAGACCTGGCCTCAAAAAGGAAAAGAAAACAAGTAACTTCCATAAGAGTCAGAATACTGTTCACCTCCAGCCAAGGCTGAGTCCACGGGTGGTTTTGAGGGTCTGGTAGTCTTCAATTTCTTGACCTGGGTATTGGTTACATAGGTGTTTGCTTTACGACTTTTTTTTTGAGACGGAGTCTCGCTCTTTGGCCATGCTGGAGTTCATCTCACATAGTGAGACCCTGTCTCTACAAAAATATTTAAAAATTAGGGACAGGCACAGTCGCTCACGCCTATAATCCCAGCACTTTGGGAGGCCAAGGCGGGCAGATCACCTGTGGTCAGGAGTTTGAGACCAGCCTGGCCAACATGATGAAACCCCATCTCTAAAAATAAATGAAAATTAGCTGGGTGTGGTGGTGCGCACCTGTGGGGTCAGCTACTTGGGAGACTGAGGTGGAAGGATTGTTTGAGCCCAGGAGTTCAAGACCAGCCTGACCAATATGGTGAAACCCTGTCTCTACTGAAAATACAAAAATTAGCCGGGCATGGTGGCAGGCACTTGTAGTCCCAGCTACTCAGGAGGCTGAGGCAGGAGAATCACTTGAACCCCAGAGGTGGAGGTTGCAGTGAGCCAAGGTCACACCATTGCACTCAAGCCTGGGCAACAGAGCAATACTCTGTCTCAATTAAAAAAAAAAAAAAAAAAAAAAAAATCCAAAGGATTGGTAATTGCCAGGGGCCAGAGGGAACATTCGTGGGAGTGGCTGCTTCATGGATACTGGGTGTCCATCCGGGATGATGAAATGTTCTGGAATAAGATAGGGGTTGTGGTTACAGCGCTTTGTGAAGACTAAGTCACTGAATTAGCACTTTAGCATGGACTTTATGTTATGCGAATTGTTTTTTGGCGACAGGGTCTTAACTCTGAGCCTAGGGGCCAGCTAGGAGCTTCAAAGCGGAGAGAGGCCGGAGACTGCAGCCTGAGGCTGGGGAGACGACAGGGCCAAGACGAGGACTTGCTGGCCCTAAATAAGGGTTTAGGCTTTTATTCCTCATGGGAGGTGGGCACAGGTCTGATTTATCATTGGTAAAGATCAATTTGCTACTGTGTAAAGAACAGCCTGGAGGGACAGCAAGGGAGCGGGCAGGTGTGGGAGCAGGGACCACTGGAGGTGTGATTCAGACATGCCATGGGTGGCCTCAGACAGGGAGCAATGGCTTCCTAATCAGGTCCCACAGGATGGAAGGAACCAGGGGTGCCCTGGATGTTGGATCCTTGGTCCCTGGCAATGGTTGAGAAGGTACCCAGGAAAAATGTCGGGATCAACAGTGTGACTCTCCCCAACCACGCCTTTCTCAAGTGTCATGGTGTCTTCCAGGCTGGAGTGCAGTGGTGGGATCATGGGCTCGCTGTACCCTCACGCTCCTGCCTCAGGTGCTCCAGCCACATCAGCCTCTACCTGACCTGCGCAGCTGGGACCACAGGTGGCGCATCACCACACCCAGCTAGGTTTATTTTTGGGACAGTGTCTCACTGTCTTGCCTAGGATGGTCTCAAACCCCTGGCCTCACAAGCTGTAATAAACACTGGGAAGAAAACAGTACAAAGGAAACAGGAGGGCTGGGCAATGAGAAGCTACTTTACAAAGGGTGGCCCAGGAGCCACCACTGAGCTGAGACCTGAGTGAGAAGAGCCAGCTCAGAGACTAGGGAGGGATGGGGACAGCTGGAGGGCTGGGAGTGGGGTACAATGCTCAGGCTGCTCAATGCCTGCTGCTGCACTGCACCTTGGGGCTGCCACCTCCCTTACAGGTATGAACCACCACTCACCAAGTTGCCCATCTCAAAGATGGTGCCACATCAAGCAAAGCCCATCCCCTCCTAGGGTGGCTGTGCCCACTCCCTGGATGTGAAAGTGGTCTTCCCCATGTTACGCCTGTTGTCCCCCAGGTCTTGGGAACACCGTAAGGCCTTAAACCCTGTTGCAGCACCAGGGCCCGCAACAGGGCTGTGGGCAGCTCAGGGTCCACGCCTCAGTCCACACCCTTCTGGGCTAGAAAAGGCCTTTTTCTTCTGAATGGAAGCCACAACCCCAGCCGGGCTTCTTCAGACCACCTCAATGGGACAGTAGGTCTAGATCATAGGTCAGCAAGCTTTTTCTGTGAAACCGTGACTCTAGCCCCCATCAGAGCAAAGGCAGCTACCCCACCCCTCCTGCATGGCCAGCCATCACATCACCCCCACATGGACAAGCTGACATGCAGTGTTTTGATGACATGGCTTGAATGACAACACACAAGGCCAGAGCTCCCCAGAGCTCTTCAAAGAGGGAGGCACAGTCGAGGCAGGTGAGAAGGCCAGCTGACTCTTTATTGCTTTGGGAGCAGGGGGCTCAGGAGCTCTTGGTGGGGCGGGTCCGCTTCCTCTTCACCATCACAGGCTTCTGGCTGCGCAGGATGGCACTGGCCCTGCGGATAGCTGCCTAGGGGGCGGGGAGGGCAGAGTAAGGCTCAGATCACACACCACAAGCCACCCCCAGGCCCATGCTGCGGGTGGGGGGAATAGGCTGAAAGCAAGAATCCATCCCTTCCCAGCCCATATGCAACCAGAAGTGGGAGGCCGTTCCCCACAGCACTGGCCAGCCTCCCCCAGCCTGACCCCCACCCTCGGCTCACCATGCGCAGGTCGGGCCGGTACTTGTTCTTGCGTATCATGTGTCTGATGCTGCTGAGCGTGGCGCGAGCATTCTTGTTGATGGTGGTCCGCACGTAGGAGGTGGCAGGCTTCCGCTGGCCTGGTTGAGGATGAGGGAGGTCCTGGGGTCAGTCAACCTAAGCTGCACCTTTAGGGCACCTCACAGGTGTGCTCAGTCTCACACTGAGAAGACAAGCACCCTGGGCCCATGGTGGATGCCTGGCTAGGCCGGCAGGTAGCTGTCTCCCCACCTGTCCGTTTAACATTAGTTCGTCCATCATCAGAGTACTGAGGAAACAGCTTCTGTCACACTCATAGCCCAATTCTGTCCACCACGAAAACACCCCTTACCCAAGCCAGGAAGCTGCCGCTTCAGTCAGGATCTGAACCAGGTCCAGCCAGAGCCTGAGCTCCTGGTTATGGGTATGAGCAGCTTCCCAGAAAGCCGACGCCCATCATTGGTAAAACATCACTCATCGGCTGAGAGGGGCTTGACCCCAGAGCACGGTTTAGCCCTCACTCCATCCAGCCCCTTACTCTAGGAAGGGCCACCCATTATTTGCCAATTCAAGTGCTGTGAGGATGCCCCAGAACGGGGTCCCCAGGCGCAAGAAACTGGCTGCGCCCTGGACTTCGAATCCCTGAAAGGGAGGACCACTAGCCAGCAGGCTGCGTTTGCTGCTCCGATTGAATGAAAGGGCCTTTGGCTCTGAAGCAGTTCCAATCAGGGACCTGGGAAAAACTGACTAAAAAAACATAACACAGCCCTCGCCAAGAACACATGTGAAGCTGGGATTCTCCATCAGAACGCCCCACACGAACTCAGGGAATCCCCAAAAAGGCCTGTGCCTGACAGCACAGTGCATGGGGCGGGGTCCTCCAGACCTCCTCTCCAACCTGCACCGGCAGAGAGTCAAACAGCTGCGACCAAGCCAGCCCGCTGAGTGTGGCAGCGAGGGCCGCTCCCCTGCTGTGATGCAGCCTTCCGTCCCCACCCCGACTTGCTCTGGGGGTTTCCTCTGCAAAGGGCTCTCAACCACCACCGGGGAAGCTGAGGTCCGTTTTCGAGTGAGGACACCGGCTAGACGCGCGCTCCCGGAGCTGGCCAGCCGGCCGAGGGGGAAGAGTTCCCAGCCGACATGCTGGCGCCGGGGATGCCCGCCGCGATGGCAGTGTCCCTGTTCCCGCCCGAGTAAGCGATCACCGCCCCGTGCCCCAGGAAGGACTCCGCTGTCGCCCGAGCCAGTCAGCACGCACCGGATCTCCGCTTCATGACCACCACCACGCCTTTGCCGTCGGCCGCCGGCTCCACGCCCACGGTCTTGCGGTGAATCAGCCCGTTGTAGCGGAAGGAGTTGCGGGCCTTCAGGTTATTGGGCTCCTGGGAAGGAGGCGGCACAGGGCCCCGTGAAGAGCCGGAGACGCGCGAGGGCCCGGCCTCCGACCCAGAGGCAGGACCCGGGCCCCTCCCCCGACCCAGAGGCAGGACCAGGGCCCCTCCCCGCAGGAGCCCGCACCCGGGCCCCTCCCCCGACCCAGAGGCAGGACCCGGGCCCCTCCCCGCAGGAGCCCCGCACCCGGGCCCCTCCCCCGACCCAGAGGCAGGACCCGGGCCCCTCCCCGCAGGAGCCCCGCACCCGGGCCCCTCTCCCGACCCAGAGGCAGGACCCGGGCCCCTCCCCGCAGGAGCCCCGCACCCGGGCCCCTCCCCCGACCCAGAGGCAGGACCAGGGCCCCTCCCCGCAGGAGCCCGCACCCGGGCCCCTCCCCCGACCCAGAGGCAGGACCAGGGCCCCTCCCCGCAGGAGCCCCGCACCCGGGCCCCTCCCCCGACCCAGAGGCAGGACCCGGGCCCCTCCCCGCAGGAGCCCCGCACCCGGGCCCCTCCCCCGACCCAGAGGCAGGACCCGGGCCCCTCCCCGCAGGAGCCCGCACCCGGGCCCCTCCCCCGACCCAGAGGCAGGACCCGGGCCCCTCCCCGCAGGCGCCCGCACCCGGGCCCCTCCCCCGACCCAGAGGCAGGACCAGGGCCCCTCCCCGCAGGAGCCCCGCACCCGGGCCCCTCCCCCGACCCAGAGGCAGGACCCGGGCCCCTCCCCGCAGGAGCCCCGCACCCGGGCCCCTCCCCCGTCCCAGAGGCAGGACCCGGGCCCCTCCCCGCAGGAGCCCCGCACCCGGGCCCCTCCCCCGACCCAGAGGCAGGACCAGGGCCCCTCCCCCGACCCAGAGGCAGGACCCGGGCCCCTCCCCCGACCCAGAGGCAGGACCCGGGCCCCTCCCCGCAGGAGCCCCGCCCCCGGGCCCCACTCACGGTGCTGTAGGTCTGCTTGTTCCTCTTGATGAGGAAACTGGAGCAGTTCCGCACGACCATCCACTGCAGATGCGCAGACATGGCGGCGGCTGCGGGGAAACAGGCACGTGGAGGGCGTCAGGCACCGAGAGCGGACGGGGCTGGGCCGCGGGCCCACAGGAAGGGCCACGGGGAGCCTGGGTGAATGGGAGACGCGCCCTAGAACGCTGACAGGCGGGGCTGAGTGACCTAAGGCGGCGGGACCAACTGCGGGCAGCGAAGGTGAGGGCAAAATAACCTGAGAATCCACAACGACTTCAGGAAGCGGGGATGGGGACCCGCCAAGGACTCCTGAGACGCAAGGGGAGAAAGCAGGCAGGGGGCTGAGAGTGGGCGGCGGGCGCGAGATGGCGGCCACGCGGGGCAGGGGAAGAGCGCACACTCACCTCTCAGAGCGGCGATCTAGAGCGGAAAGAGACGGGCAGGGGCGGGGCGACGACTTTAATATCGGACACGCATTTCCGCTTCCTGTCTGGGCGGGCGCGACGAGGGTCGTCGATCTCCGCCTCCGAGGCGGCTCCAGGATGTTCGGCTACTTCCGCCGACCAAACACTCAACGCTCGGGAATACTCGGAACTCTGGTTAGAGGACGGACGGCATGTCCGGAAGTTTTCGGAACTCCAAGGCTGCATTTCCGAATGGCTCCAATTCGAGAAGTCTCGGGACCCATTCCTCCCCGTTGTGTCTCCGGTATCGCTCTGCCAGCGCTTGTCATTGTGATTGGCATATGATGGACGCTCAAGAAACTTTTGTTTTATGAATGAACTTGTGAATGCGAGACCTATGTAAGCCTAGCCCCGGCACCTTTGGATATTCCCGGTCTTCGTAAGCCCAAGCGGTGACGGCGATGAAGGCGCCGAGGCCCGCTCGGGTATTTTCGGAACCATCCGGAAACGCTCTTCGGAGAGCGTTCGGAAACACTCCGTCTTCATTCGGAATCCCTTGACTAATCTCGGCAGCCCCCTTGCAGTTCGCCCTCCCCAGGGTTTTCTTTAAATAAACTCTTACACTGTTCGAGCCTGGGGAGAACCTACACGGAAACTTCTCGCAGACTGCCAGCCCAGGGGAGCGCGATGCCCTCTAAAGGGGAGTTATTTGGAGGGAGGGATATTTGCATGTGGCTGCTCTTGGCTCCCTTTAGGGATTCCACAGATTCGCCGGTCCTCTTCCCCGCCCTCCACCTGTGCCTCCAGCCTGCAGTGTGCCTGTCACACCCCATCAGCTCCCTGGGAGGTTATGATCCGCTGTCAGGGCCACCCTAAAGGACAGGAGCCTTGCCTGATATTTCTCTGTGTCCTCGGCCTCACCCACGCGGCATGGCGCTGGGGGGACCTCAGAGACTCCTACTAAACAAAACGAATGAGGGTGCCTGTGTCACCTCCACAGGGCACCTTAACTTGCGGTTCCGCCTGGGAACTCCTTGGGGCAGGTCCCTCGTCTGGTCCATAGGACTATCTATCCATAGACAGTCGGGGTTTGCCCAGCCTCCTCCACGGGTGCGCTCTGGACCTAATGGGTCCTTCTTTGTGCCCTTGGCTTCATTCGCTGGACACACAGGAGACCCCAGAAGACACGCGCGCAGCGAACCCCCACTTCGAGCTTCCCCGCTTAGATCACCCCGACTACTGGTTTTTGCGTCCCAGATATCCTTGAGGTCTAGGGGCCTTGTCTGATCTGCACAGGCTACGGGAGGCGGAAACTGAGCATTAACAACGCCACGCCCGGCTCCGAGTGTCCCACGCTGCCACCACTAAAATGCCCTGATTTTTGGCCATGTGTGACCTCCCTGAGTGGCACGGGCCCTGAGCCACCCGTGGCTGTGCGCCTGGCTACCCCAGCGCAGGCCTCTGAGCAACAGCCCCTGCCCGGAAACCACGACCGGCGCAACCCCGGACGGGTCGGTTTGCGCCCAGCCCAGCTCAGGTGACCAGGCGGGAACTTGGCACACCTGGCGCTGTCCCCTGACCCCGCCCCGGGCCGGGCCGCACCCCAGAACGCTCTCTCCCGGCGCCGGCGGCGGCGGTGCAGGGCCATGGCGGCGGCGCCAGCGGTGTGCGCCTCGCAGGGACTCCCGCCGAGTGCACCGTCCGCGCCAGCAGCCGCGCCCGCACCCGCGACCGGCCTGGGCCGCTGCCGGATGGCGCTGCTGTTGGCCGTGGCGCTGGACGTGGCGGGCATGGCGGCGCTGCTGACCGGCGTGTTCGCGCAGCTGCAGGTGCGCGGCCGCGACTTCGGGGACCTGCTCATCTACTCGGGCGCGCTGCTGGTGTTCCTGAGCCTGCTGGGCTGGATCCTCTGGTACACGGGCAACATCGAGATCTCGCGCCAGGAGCTGGAGCGCGACTACGGCCTGCGGCCCTCTGCGCTCGCCCGCCTGGCGCGCAAGCTCTCCCGCCGCTGGTCGGCGCCCGCCGCCGCCGGCCCGCGCCCCACGCCCGGCTCCCGGAGAGCGCGCCGAGCCACCCGTGCGCCCCCACCGCCCGCCGCCGGCTCCCGCCGCGTGCGCCTGCAGCTAGCCACGCTCGAGGCCGGGCCTGGGGCGGCGGGCGCGGGCAGCGAGTGAGGCCCAGGTGAGGGGCAGGCCGGCGGGGCGGCGGGGGAGACGCAGGGCCCGAGGGAGGGACGTGGGGAACGGAGACAGACGGGAAGCGTTGGACAGATGGAGACGGAGGGCGGCCTTGGGGAGATAGAGTCCCAGGGCCTGGTGGAGACCGGATGGGGAGACTGGCCGAGAACCGCAGACAGCAGGCACAGGTGCAGACAGGGGGGAGGCTGTGAGACCCCGCCCTGGAGGTGAGGTGGGAAGTGTGGCGGCCGAGTCACAGGCCCCCCACGGGGAGATCCACACTCGCTCCAGCCTCCAGGTGCACCAGGCCCCCCCGCTTTTTTTTTTTTTTTTGGTTTCGTTTTGGTTTGGTTTTGTTGTTGTCTGGGGTTGTTTTGAGACAGGGTCTCTCACTGTCACCCAGGCTGGAGAGCAGTGGCGTGATTTTGGCTCACCGCAGCCTCGACCTCCTAGGCTCAAGCAATCCTCCCACCTCACCCTCCCAAGTAGCTGGGACTACAGGCGTGCACCACCTTGCCAGGCTAATTTTTGTATTTTTCGTAGAGACAGGGTTTTCCCATATTGGCCAGGCTAGTCTCAAACTCCTGAGCTCATGGGATCTGCTCTCCTTGGCCTCCCAAAGTGCTGGGATTACAGGTGTGAGCCATCCAGCCTGGCCCAGACCCCGTTTAATCCTCTCCATGTAACTGGGTCTCTGAGGTCAGTACTGTTACCATCTCCGTTCTGCAGTGGAGGAAACCGAAGCACAGAAAGGCGCCACTTTTACCCAAAGCCACACAGCACAGAGGTGGAGGATCTGGGATTCTCCTGACCCGTAGTCCTAGGAGAGGAGGAGTAAGAGAGACCAACCGAGGCAGAAGAAGTGAAGCCACCGCACATTCACCCCCCTTTCCCCTCTACCTTCTAGCTCTTTACTAAACACACCTCTCCAGCTTGCTGCCTCTGCTCAAAGACCTGCTGTGGCTCCCTCTCCACCTTTGGTTAAACTGAAGCACTCACTGGGCTGTGGAGCCCCCACATGTTGTCCCCATTTCTCCTGCCTCTCCGTAGTAATGATGTCTCTCAGTCCACAGATGACCAGTTGGTCCCTGTTCCTGCTCTTCTCTATACCAGGAGTGCCCTTGGCTGTCTCCACTCCACCCAGGAAACTTCTCACGTGTTTAAGATCCAACTCAATTTCTCTGACTTTCTCTAGATCTTCATATTGTCTGAGTGACTCCTCTTGCTGCGTGTATGGCTGTCTGCTGGGTCTGTGTTGGTAGTCTCTCCCACCTGACAGGGAGTACCTTGAGGGTAAGACCTAGATTCCTGGTGCCCTCATTCCTAGCATTGCCCAGCAAAAAGGGTGAAATCGGGAAAGGTTGGTGGTTGGGTAGGAAGGTGGAAAGATGGATGGATGAATGGATGGGTGAATGGGTGGATGGGTGGATGGATGGATGGGTGAATGGGTGAATGGGTGGATGGGTGGATGGATGGATGGATGGGTGGATGGATGGATGGATGGATGGGTGAATGGGTGGATGGATGGATGGATGGATGGGTGGGTGGGTGGATGGGTAGATGGGTGGGTGGGTGGGTGGGTGGATGGATGGATGAATTGTTTGATGGATGGGTGAATGGACAGATGGGTGGGTGGGTGGGTGGATGGGTAGATGGTTGGGTGGATGGGTAGATGGGTGGGTGGGTGGGTGGGTGGATGGATGGATGAATTGTTTGATGGATGGGTGAATGGACAGATGGGTGGGTGGGTGGGTGGATGGGTAGATGGTTGGGTGGATGGATGGGTAGATGGATGGGTAGATGGGTGGGTGAGTGGATGGGTAGATGGATGGGTGGATGGATGGATGGATGAACTGTTTGATGGATGGGTGAATGGATGGATGGGTGGGTGGATGGATGGGTAGATGGATGGGTGCATGGATGGATGAATTGTTTGATGGATGGATGGGTGAATGAACAGATGGATGGGTGGGTGGATGGGTGAATGAATGGGTTGGCTGATGCAGAGATGTGATTGAACTGATGGTTGGATGGGTTGTTTAGTGGGTAGATGTGGTTAGGTGGTGGATTGGTGGATGAACCATGAATGGATATGACTGGGGAGGGAGCCTTGCCTGATATTTCTCTGTGTCCTTGGCTTCACCATGCAGCATGGTGCTGGGGAGGCAGGCCTCAGAGACTCCTCGTGAACAAAAGAAATGAGGGTGCCTGTGTCACCGCCCTGGGGCACCTTACCTTGCGGTTACACCTGGGAACTCCTTGGGGCAAGGGGCCTTGGCTGGTCCATAGGACTATCCATAGACAGTCGGGGTTTGCCCAGCCTCTGTGCATGCTCTGGACAGGTAGATGGGTGAATGGGAGGTTGGATGGATCGTTGGGGCTGATTGATAGGTACACAGATGAGTGGATGAATGCATTTATTGGAATATGGATGGATGGGTGACTGAATCCATCTCTCAAATAGGGGTTTGGTAAAAGGATTAAGCCTTCCTATCCTAGGACTTTCTATGTAAAGAATTAACTTTTCTCCTATGCATCCAGAAGGTTACCAGTTATATATTATTCTTAGTGAGATTTGAGGAAATAGTGGCCCCAATCATATTCTACGTGCCGTGGTTCAGTACAGGGGCTGGGGTACAAGAGCATGAACGACCACTTGCTCGGGTGAAGCCTGAGCTGACATGGAGCTTGGCACGAAACGCAACAGTGAGCACCTGCAAGCAGTCACTCTCACCTCTGAAAATCCTGGCTGGGCACGGTGGCTCTCACCTCTGAAAATCCTGACTGAGCACCTGCAGTCACTCTCACCTCTGAAAATCCTGGCTGGGCACGGTGGCTCTCACCTCTGAAAATCCTGACTGAGCACCTGCAGTCACTCTCACCTCTGAAAATCCTGACTGGGCACGGTGGCTCTCACCTCTGAAAATCCTGGCTGAGCACGGTGGCTCTCACTTTTGAAAATCCTGGCTGAGCACGGTGGCTCTCACCTCTGAAAATCCTGGCTGAGCACGGTGGCTCTCACCTCTGAAAATCCTGACTGAGCACCTGCAGTCACTCTCACCTCTGAAAATCCTGACTGGGCACGGTGGCTCTCACCTCTGAAAATCCTGGCTGAGCACGGTGGCTCTCACTTTTGAAAATCCTGGCTGAGCACGGTGGCTCTCACCTCTGAAAATCCTGACTGAGCACCTGCAGTCACTCTCACCTCTGAAAATCCTGGCTGGGCAGGGTGGCTCTCACCTCTGAAAATCCTGGCTGGGCACGGTGGCTCTCACCTCTGAAAATCCTGGCTGGGCACCTGCAGTCACTCTCACCTCTGAAAATCCTGACTGAGCACCTGCAGTCACTCTCACCTCTGAAAATCCTGACTGAGCACCTGCAGTCACTCTCACCTCTGAAAATCCTGGCTGGGCAGGGTGGCTCTCACCTCTGAAAATCCTGGCTGGGCACGGTGGCTCTCACCTCTGAAAATCCTGGCTGGGCACCTGCAGTCACTCTCCCCTCTGAAAATCCTGACTGAGCACCTGCAGTCACTCTCACCTCTGAAAATCCTGACTGAGCACCTGCAGTCACTCTCACCTCTGAAAATCCTGACTGAGCACCTGCAGTCACTCTCACCTCTGAAAATCCTGGCTGAGCACCTGCAGTCACTCTCACCTCTGAAAATCCTGACTGAGCACCTGCAGTCACTCTCACCTCTGAAAATCCTGGCTGGGCAGGGTGGCTCTCACCTCTGAAAATCCTGACTGAGCACCTGCAGTCACTCTCACCTCTGAAAATCCTGGCTGGGCAGGGTGGCTCTCACCTCTGAAAATCCTGGCTGGGCACGGTGGCTCTCACCTCTGAAAATCCTGGCTGGGCACGGTGGCTCTCACCTCTGAAAATCCTGGCTGGGCAGGGTGGCTCTCACCTCTGAAAATCCTGGCTGGGCAGGGTGGCTCTCACCTCTGAAAATCCTGACTGAGCACGGTGGTTCTCACCTCTGAAAATCCTGACTGAGCACCTGCAGTCACTCTCACCTCTGAAAATCCTGACTGAGCACCTGCAGTCACTCTCACCTCTGAAAATCCTGACTGAGCACCTGCAGTCACTCTCACCTCTGAAAATCCTGGCTGGGCAGGGTGGCTCTCACCTCTGAAAATCCTGGCTGGGCACGGTGGCTCTCACCTCTGAAAATCCTGGCTGGGCACGGTGGCTCTCACCTCTGAAAATCCTGACTGGGCACGGTGGCTCTCACCTCTGAAAATCCTGACTGAGCACCTGCAGTCACTCTCACCTCTGAAAATCCTGACTGAGCACCTGCAGTCACTCTCACCTCTGAAAATCCTGACTGAGCACCTGCAGTCACTCTCACCTCTGAAAATCCTGACTGAGCACCTGCAGTCACTCTCACCTCTGAAAATCCTGGCTGGGCAGGGTGGCTCTCACCTCTGAAAATCCTGGCTGGGCAGGGTGGCTCTCACCTCTGAAAATCCTGGCTGGGCAGGGTGGCTCTCACCTCTGAAAATCCTGGCTGGGCAGGGTGGCTCTCACCTCTGAAAATCCTGGCTGGGCAGGGTGGCTCTCACCTCTGAAAATCCTGGCTGGGCAGGGTGGCTCTCACCTCTGAAAATCCTGGCTGGGCAGGGTGGCTCTCACCTCTGAAAATCCTGGCTGGGCACGGTGGCTCTCACCCGTAATCCCAGCACTTTGGGAGACCGAGGTGGAAGAATATCTTGAACCTGGGAGGCGGAGCCTGCAATGAGCCAAGATCACGCCACTGGGCAATGGAATGAGACCCATCTCAAAAAAAAAAAAAAGAAAAGAAAAGAAAAAGAAAAAAAGAAAATCCTTTATGAGGCCAGGCACGGTCGTAATCCCAGCACTTGGGAGGCTGAGGCAGGTGGATAACCTAAGGTCAGGAATTAGAGACCAATCTGGCAAACATGGCAAATCCCATCTCTACTAAAAATACAAAATTTAACTGGGCATGGTGGCGGCTGACGGACCTGGGAGATGGAAGTTGCAGTGAACCAAGATCACACCACTGCACTCCAGCTTGAGCAACAGAGCAAGACTCCATCTCAAAAAAATAAAAAGAAAATCCTTTCCGTAGCTTAAACGTCTAACACAGCTGCACAGGCCTCACTCTTGGAGGCTCCACCAAAGACGGACCACGCCGACTTGAACATAGGCCCCACTTACAGGGAAAATGAGCCTGTTCAAACCCAGAACTCCCCCTTATTGGGGAGAGCGAGCAGTCTCTGGCACGTGAAGGGCAGAGAACCTGCACTTCAGCAGAGGAACACACGGATTCTAGCTCTGGTAGCCCCCACAACCTCGAGACCACCGTGAGCAGCAGAGCAGAGCCATCCCCATCGCTCTGTCGTCCAATGAGCCAATCATGGCTCACTGCAGCCTCGATCTCCTGGACTGAAGCCATCCTCCCACCTCAGCCTCCCAAGGAGCTGGGGCTACAGGTACCAGACACAGGGTCTCCGCATGTTACCCAGGCTCGTGTCAAACTCCTGGGCTCAAGTGATCCTCCTGCCTGCAGCCGAAGTGCTCAAGCGCGGGTCTGAAATGAGGGCCACTGTGCCCAGCCTACCTCTGTGTTCTCTGCGTCCGCCTGTCGCCGTCTCTCCCTCTTCGTCTCTTCATCTCTGTCTTCCAGGTCTCTCTTTGTCGCTGTGCCTCTCTTTCCCCTTCTGCATCTCTGCGTCTCCTCTTCTTCTGCGTCTCCCCATCTCTTCTGTGTCTCTCCCTCTCTTCTGCCTCTCCCCCTCTCTCCTTCTGCGTCTCCCCATCTCTTCTGTGTCTCTCCCTCTCTTCTGCCTCTCCCCCTCTCTCCTTCTGCGTCTCCCCCCTGCCTGTCCCTGGCTCACATTCCCTGTCTTCTACCCATGGATTCCAGTGGGTAAAAGGCACACACACAGGCACACACTCAGCAAATAAGGGCATGCGGGGATGACGGAGCAAGTGTGTGAGGGGCAAGGGCGGGCGGAAGGGACAGGAGGGGTTCCTGAGCAGTCACTCACTCCACCTTCCCTCCCACAGCAACCCCTTGGCCCCAGCTGTCGGGACCAGAATGAGATGTGCAGCTGCCCCTACATCGGCAGGACGCCCCCTGCCCCCCTCCCTCCTCACCTGGATAAAAAACAGATTCGCTCAGCACTGCCTGTCTGTCTTGGAGAGGGACCTGCTGGGGTGGGAACGGAGACGAGGTGGCCTGCTTCCTTCTAGAGCCCAGGTGGGCCTGGCCACACCCGAGGTGAGGCTGCCCCTGCCCTGGGGAGCCCGAGAGCCCCGGGGATACAGGAGCCCAAGCTTATGCTGCCCCTTCTCAGAGGGAACCGGGGAGGGGGTGGGGGTAAGGCTCTCAGCCCAGAGCCCTCTAATCTACCCAGACCTCCCTGGGTGAGTTTGGATTCTCTGAGAGACAGACACAGAGGCAAATTGGATTTGTGAGATATTTACTGGGGAAACACTATTGAAGGGTAACTTGGTGCAGGGAGACGGAGGGATGGGGAGGGTGAGTCCTGGACCATAGCACCTCCAGGAAAATTGCCCCTGGCCACTCGGAGCTGGGAGCTGGCTTTGTCATCCATGGGGGAGGCCCCTGCCCTTCAAGGAGGCGCCCTGTACCTGGAACCCCCACCCCTTGCCTCACCAAGCTCAGTTACTGATGGAGAGCCGCCCATGGTCATCTAGGTGCATCCAGGGTGGGGGCAAGGGCACTTCATGTGGCAGGAGACTGCGGGGGATGTTTCCCCAGCTGTGCCATGCCCCTCCCCGCCAGTCCAGGCATGCCTTAGCCCCCGCCACCCCCACATGCCCCCAATCACCCCATTTCAGACCCTCCTTCCAGCCCTCACACACCTCTGCCCCGCCAGTCCAGTGCCCCCGTGAGCACAGCCCAGGACACCCCCATGAGCCCAGCTCAGATGCCCCCTACTTACCTCCCAGACCTCTCTCATTCCAGGGTCCCCCCATGGCCACAGCCTGGGCCCCCTGAGCTCCCATCCCCAAGCCCCCTGCAGCCCCCACCTGTACCCCCACCTCGGTGTGCACCATGCCTCTGCTCCCCACGGCTCTCAGAGAAGAGACCACACGTCCACACACCGTATCTGTATTGAGCTCTCCCCTGGGGACACCCCTAATCTTCATCTTCCATGCCCTCCGTCTCCTCGTCCTCTTCTGTCTCTTCCCCCTCGGTGCCCCCCTCCGTGTCCTTGCCCTCTTTGACCATGGAGAACCCGGCAGATCTCTTCTTGCTCCCTCGTTCCTTGGAGAGCAGCGAGACCCTCCGGGACAGGTCACACCTACCCGCCAGGAACCTGGGAGTGTGCAGCAGGTCCCGGCGCCTGGCCCACCTGCAGAGAGCAAACCACTCAGGCCCCCAGCCCCCTCCTGGCTTCCTGGGGATGCAGGCGCCCACCCCAGCCCAGGCCCACTCACCAGAACAAGCAGATGCTGCAGCTCAAGAAGAGGAGGCCGCCGCACGTCCAGCCCAGCACCCACATGTGCTTCCTCCGCATGTTTTCTGGACAAGGGAGGCAGGGTTAAGACCCAGGGCTCCTGCGCCAGACCCACCCTCCAGGGAGTGGGGACCCGGGGCCCTCACCATCTGGACGCTGGTAGTAGCAGACCCCATCGCGATAGCAGCACCGTAGGCGCAAGCAGAGGTTGGGGCTCTCGATGGCCGCCTGGCCCCCACAGCTCTCCCGATCCCACACATCACCCTCACAGCCTGGGGACCAACCACCAGTGCTGGCTTCTTCACAGCGCCCCGCCTCAAAGGCCTCAGACATGGGACGCCAAGGCCACGCTGCCAGGCTGCCTTCCTGGTGCTTACTCTGTGCAGGGCCCAGGGGTCCAGGCCCCAGCCCCTCCTCCCTCAGACCCAGGAGTCCAGGCCCCAGCCCCTCCTCCCTCAGACCCAGGGGTCCAGGCCCCAGCCCCTCCTCCCTCAGACCCAGGGGTCCAGGCCCCAGCCCCTCCTCCCTCAGACCCGGGGGTCCAAGCCCCAGCCCCTCCTCCCTCAGACCCGGGGGTCCAGGTCCCAGCCCCTCCTCCCTCAGACCCTGGGGCCCAGGTCCCAGCCCCTCCTCCCTCAGACCCGGGGGTCCAGGTCCCAGCCCCTCCTCCCTCAGACCCGGGGGTCCAGGTCCCAGCCCCTCCTCCCTCAGACCCGGGGGTCCAGGCCCCAGCCCCTCCTCCCTCAGACCCGGGGGTCCAGGCCCCAGCCCCTCCTCCCTCAGACCCAGGGGTCTGATCTGGGCTTTCCTCCCTGGACGACCCAGGATTTCATTCTCTGCTCACTCCATGGATAGAAGAATCCCTGGATTGCATTCCCGTCTGCGAGAGAAAGGGCAGTGTTGGGCTGTGGGGCCGGGCGCCCTCCTCAGAGCCCTCCTCCGATCCCGCCCTCACCTGCTGAGCCCTGCAGCAGCAGAAGCAGGCCCAGAGCGGGGATCCCAGAGCCCAACATGTTGCCTCCCCAGACCTCTGGGCTGCTGTGGGGAGAGGCCTCACAGGACCACGCCCTAGCAACTGGCCTGACCCCCAGCCCCCCAGCTCCAGGATTCTGAGTTCTGTTGCTAGGGAGTCCAGGAAGCAATGGGGATGGGGGGTGGGGGCTTCACACCAGCCTGACCATGCCTGGTCCAGGTCTCTTTAGGGACTTGGTGGAAGAGTGGGGCGTCTCAGGTTTAGAAGAGCCTCTTGGCAGGTCGGGAGCAGTGGCTCATGCCTGTAATCCCAACACTTTGGGAGGCTGAGGTGAGGCGATCACTTGAGGTCAGGAGTTCAAGACCAGCCTGGCCAACGTGGTGAAACCCTGTCTATTAAAAGTACAAAAATTGGCCGGGCGCGGTGGCTCAAGCCTGTAACCCCAGCACTTTGGGAGGCCGAGGCGGGTGGATCACGAGGTCAACAGATCGAGACCATCCTGGTCAACATGGTGAAACCCCGTCTCTACTAAAAATTACAAAAAATTAGCTGGGCATGGTGGCGCATGCCTGTAATCCCAGCTACTCGGGAGGCTGAGGCAGGAGAATTGCCTGAACCCAGGAGGCGGAGGTTGCGGTGAGCCGAGATCGCGCCATTGCACTCCAGCCTGGGTAACAAGAGTGAAACTCCGTCTCAAAAAAAAAAAAGAAAGAAAGAAAAATAAAAAGTACAAAAGTTAGCTGAGCATGGTGGCTGGCACCTACAGTCCCAGCTACTCAGGAGGCTGAGGCATGATCATCACAGCCGAGATTTTGCCACTGCACTCCAGCCTGGGCGACAGAGCGAGACTCCATCTCAAAAAGAAAAAAAAAAAAAAAAAAAAAAAAGAGCCTCCTTGGCAACTTTTGGCCGGAAAGAGAAGTCTGGAAGTGTGTGGGGGTCTGGGGCCACATCACCCAGGGTGCCCTGAGGGGTGGGAAACTGGGAGAAGTTGCTAGGGATTCCTTTCCTTAGGAAACGAATGCCTGAGAAGGTGGATTCGGGTGGCCCAAAGGCCCAGGAGACTCTGTTGCTAGGGAGTCTCTGGCCTTAGCAACCAGGGGAAGGAGACGCAGACCCATCACTGAGCCCCATTGTTGGGGAGGGTCCCCCCCCCAGTAACAAGGAGACTGGGAGGAGGTGAGACAATGGAGGCTGGAGCCTGAGTCAGGCTCTCCCGGTCCAGGGGTCCTGAGAGAGGCTTTTGATCTCAGGCACACCAGCCCTGCTGTCTAGGGAACGTTTCTCAGGGCCGGGTGCAGTGGCTCACACCTGTAATGACAGCACTTTGGGAGGCTGAGGCAGGCGGATCACCTGAGGTCAGGAGTTCAAGACCATCCTGGCCAACATAGTGAAACCCCCTTCTCTACCAAAACCACAAAATTTAGCCTGGTATGGTGGTTACATGCCTGTAATCCCAGCTACTCGGGAGGCCAAGGCAGGAGAATCACTTGAACGCAGGAGGCGGAGGTTGCAGAGAGCCGAGATCAGGCCACTGCACTCCAGCCTGGGTGAAGGAGACAGACTGTGTCCAAAAAAGAAAAAAAAAAAAGGAAAGGGACAGGCCACATGGGCCCCTGCTGAGATTTGAGGGCCTGGCGGGCTGGAGCTGCTCGGAGGCTGTGACAGTGGCCCCTGGGCAGGGAGCCCCCATTTCCTTCCTGGATCTCAGTTTCTCTCCTATGAACAGAGATTAGAAGGTGGAGGGAGGGAGTCAGGCAAGTGGAGATCCTGAAGCTTCCCCATGATTTCCCCGGAGGTGACTGGGAGGAAACTTGGCTTCCAACAAGAGGAAGCGGGACTGGGGGGCTGGGTTGGGACCGTAATCCCTAGTGCACCCCAACTCATCCACTCAGCTTCACAGCACAGTGACGAGGGAGTCTCCGCTCCCCTGGGACTGTCACTGAGCTAGAACTCCTGGGTCCGAGGGAAAAGGGAGTTGGAAACCCAGACACCTGCACTAGAGGTAGAAGGGGCTGGGACTGGACTCCTGGGTCTGAGGGAGGAGGGGCTGTGGGCACTGGACTGCTGGGTCTGAGGGAGGAGGGGCTGGGGGCCTGGACTCCTGGGTCTGAGGGAGGAGGGGCTGGGGCCTTGACCCCTGGGTCTGAGGGAGGAGGAGCTGGGGGCACTGGACTCCTGGGTCTGAGGGAGGAGGGGCTGGGGGCCTGGACTCCTAGGTCTGAGGGAGGAGAGGCTGGGGTTCTGGACTGCTGGGTCTGAGGAAGGAGGGACTGGGGTTCTGGACTGCTGGGTCTGAGGGAGGAGGAGCTGGGGCCTGGACCCCTGGGTCTGAGGGAGGAGGGGCTGGGGGCCTGGACTCCTGGGTCTGAGGGAGGAGGGGCTGGGGCCTGGACCCCTGGGTCTGAGGGAGGAGGGGCTGGGGGCCTGGACTCCTAGGTCTGAGGGAGGAGAGGCTGGGGTTCTGGACTGCTGGGTCTGAGGAAGGAGGGACTGGGGTTCTGGACTGCTGGGTCTGAGGGAGGAGGGGCTGGGACTGGACCGCTGGGTCTGAGGGAGGAGGAGCTGGGGCCTGGACCCCTGGGTCCGAGGGAGGAGGAGCTGGGGATCTGGACTCCTGGGTCTGAGGGCGGAGGGGCTGGGGATCTGGACTCCTGGGTCTGAGGGAGGAGGAGCTAGGACTGGACTCCTGGGTCTGAGGGTGGAGGGGCTGGGGTGCTGGACTGCTGGGTCTGAGGGAGGAGAGGCTGGGACTGGACTCCTGGGTCTGAGGGAGGAGGGGCTGGGGTTCTGCACTCCTGGGTCTGAGGAAGGAGGGGCTGGGGTTCTGGACTGCTGGGTCTGAGGGAGGAGGGGCTGGGGTTCTGGACTGCTGGGTCTGAGGGAGGAGGGGCTGGGCGTGGACTCCTGGGTCTGAGGGAGGAGGGGCTGGGGGCCTGGACTCCTGGGTCTGAGGGAGGAGGGGCTGGGACTGGACTCCTGGGTCTGAGGGAGGAGGAGCTGGGGTTCTGGACTGCTGGGTCTGAGGGAGGAGGAGCTGGGGGTCTGGACTGCTGGGTCTGAGGGAGGAAGGGCTGAGGCTTGACTCCCAGGTCTGAAGGATGCAGCTGGGAGCCAGAATTGGGTCTGAGGGAGGAGGGCCTGGGGGCCTGGACTCCTGGGTCTGAGGGAGAAGGAGCTGGGGCCTGACTCCTTGGTCTGAGGGAGGAGTGCTATGGGGGATCCCAGACTTCTGGGCCTGGAGGATGAAGGGCTGGGGCTGGATCCTGGGTCTGAGGGAAGAGGGGCTGGGGTCTGGACTCCTGGGTCTGAGGGAAGAGGAGCTGGGGTTCTTGACTCCTGGGTCTGAGGGAAGAGGGGCTGGGGTCTGGACTCCTGGGTCTGAGGGTCTGGACTCCTAGGTCTGAGGGAGGAGGGGCTGGGGGTCTGGACTCCTGGGTCTGAGGGAGGAGGGGCTGGGAGTCTGGACTCCTGGGTCTGAGGGAGGAGGGGCTGGGGGTCTGGACTCCTGGGTCTGAGGGAAGAGGGGCTGGGGGTCTGGACTCCTGGGTCTGAGGGAGGAGGGGCTGGGGGTCTGGACTCCTGGGTCTGAGGGAAGAGGGGCTGGGGGTCTGGACTCCTGTGTCTGAGGGGTGAGGGGCTGGGGGCCTGAATGTGATGGTCCAAGAGCCAGACCCCATTTCTCAGGAAGCCCCATGGGGTGACTCCCTGTCTTACCCATCTCTCCTGTAAACATCCTGGTGGGTGCTGAGTGGGCCCGGGCTGCCTCCGTCAGAGATGACACAGGTTAGAGGGGGCCCTGCAGGGGGCCGGGGGTGGGGGTCAGAGGGGTTGTGGAGCTGAGGTTGGGCAGCTGCTGACCGTTTCCTGTGTCAACATCATCTGGACCCACTTCCCGGGATTCCTCAGGGATCAAAGAGGGGGTGGGGGGGCGGGGCCGCCTGGCCCTGGACCGCGGCTTGGGACTGGGGAGGCCCCCGCCGTCACGGCCCTCACCGCTAATGACAGGTTTGGGCAGCCTCTGTGGCCAGCCTGCCCAGTCACCCCCCAGAGGCCAGACAGGACCCCCCAGGGATTGACAGACGGACACACACACAGCCTGGGACCAGCTGACCTCACACCCTGCCGGCTCCGCTTCCCCCCGGGGCTCTCGCAGGAGCCAGGAATCACTGGCCGTCCCCCACGTCCCCTCGGCTTCTCCACAGTGTCTGTGGTCACCCCGGGGTCTGGGTCCTTCCGCGTCTCTAAGCTGGTCTCTAGCTCGCACGGGCTCCGCTGCCCTGGCTGCCTCCCGGGGCCTTTGCTGTCCCTACCTCTCCCGCTGTTTGTCTCTGTCATCTGTCATTTTATTTTGGGATTCCCCGGTCCTGCCTCTGGGTCCCTTCTGATCTTCATCTCTCGCTCTGTCTCTCTCTCTCTCTCCTTCTCTGGTTTCCACAGAGTAACCCAACGTGTCCCACCCTAGCCTGGGCAGACCCCGGGATTGCCAATAACTCCCAGCCACGCTGCTCTGAACAGGCCCCGTCTACCTCCGATGCCACACTTTGGGGATGCAGTCTGAGCCCGCAACGCCGGGCTGCAGAGCAAGGCGAGACAGGAAACTGGCAGCAGCCGGGACCCCAGACTTGTCCCAGACCCATGACCTTTCCCACACATGCTCCCCAAAGTGTAGAGGGCCACAAGATTCTCTGCTGCCTTTCCTCAACTAGAAATAGGGCCTGGACCCCTGGGTCCGAAGGGGGAGGGGCTGGGGCCTGGACTCCGGGGTCCGAGGGAGGAGGGGCTGGGGGCCTGGACTCTGGGGTCTCAGGTAGGAGGGACTGGGGTATGGGCTCTGGTCCCTGTGGAAACGGGGCTGACATTACCGGAACCCTGCTCTTGCTCCCCAGCTGGCCCCGGGCCAGTCCCCTATCCCCTCGGGCTAGTCCATCCCCCAAACTGGTGGCCTGAGTCACCTTGGCTGGCCCTGCCGGTCTGGGGGGGCTACGTCAGCTCTCCCCTCACTGACGCAGCCTTGGGCCCCCCACACTGACTCAGCCGGAAGCAGGCCCCCTGAGGGGCGGAGACCCAGTGGTCAGAGGCCTGGGTCCCAGCGGGAGCCGGTGCAAGGGAGGGCCCTGGGGGGCCCTGAAAGGGGTGGCTGTGACAGGCCAGAGAGGGAGAGTAAGAGCTCTTACCTGAGCGATGAGGTCATTCCCACCATGGGGGGGCTGTGACCTCACCTCCTTGGGGACCTGAGCAGTTGCCCCTCCAGTGGTGCTGGAGTGGGAGGGGGAGCCCACCAACAGCCGGGCACCGTCTCGGAGGCTGGCATAAGGAGGTCTGCACGGAGCCTCAGAGTCCCCCACCACCTCTGAGCTCTCAGTCCGATCCTGTCCTTCCCTCCCATCTAGGTCTGGGGGCTCTTGAAGACGTGGTTTGGCGTCTCTGCCCCTCACTTGCTCTGCTGTGAATCCCAGGTCTCCTCTGCCCCATACCTGGTGCTAGCCCACTGTGTGCCCCGGTGGGCATGGCTGCCTCCGCCCCGGCCTGTGGGTCCCCTCCCTGTGCACACCTCTGCCACCTCCACCCCTGTGCATCGGCGTCCAGGGCTCTGGGATGTGGTCTCAGTGTCCCCGCCATCCCACCTTGCCCCATCTTGGTCCCGCCTCTCCCTCATCGCCCCGGTCCTCTCAAAGGCAACATCTTTTTCTCTGTGTCCCTGATGTGTTCATAAAATGAACGAGGAGAATAATGACGGTTAGCGCTGACGGAGCGCCGACCTCGTGCCTCACGTGAATGCGCCCACTTTAACCTCATCGGGGCCTTTAGGGGGATGGGGGTGCTCATTTCCCCCCTTCACAGATGAGGAAACTGAGGCACAGACGGGGAGAGTCTCGAATCGAGGTCCCGCCTGTATGGAGTGTCTCAGCGCCTCTTTCTCTAGGTCCCCAGTCTCCCTCTCTCTCCCTTCTTCCTGGCTCCACCTGCCCCTCTGAGAAAGGCTTTTCTGGCAGCTGCGGTGGCTCGCACCTGTAACCCAGCACTTTGGGACGCCAAGACAGGCGGATGACCTGAGCTCAGGAGTTGGAGACCAGCCTGGGCAACATGGCAAAACCCCATCTCTACTAAAAATACAAAATGAGCCGGGTGTGGTGGTGGGCACCTGTAGTCCCAGCTACTCAGGAGGCTGAGGCAGGAGAATCACTTGAACTCAGGACGTGGAGGTTGTAGGGAGCAGAGATCATTCCACTGGACCCCAGCCTGGGCAACAGAGTGAGACTCTGTCTCAAAAAAACCAAAACGAGGAAAGCTTTTACTGTCTGCCCCCACTGCTGAGTCCTGAACGTCTCAGCATCTCTGTCTCTCTAATATCTATCTCTCCATCTCTGTCCCTGGGGCCTCTCTGTCCCATGTCTCTGTTCACCTGGTGCCTTTCTTTGGTGGCTGCGTCCTCTCTCTCAGAGGCTTGGTGTTTGTGTTCCTTTCCCCTCGGCGTCTCCCTGGGTCTCCCCCAAGTCCCTCCGCTGTCTTCATCGCGCTCTGATCTCTGACTCCCAGAACCTCTCCCTATGTCTGCAGGGCGGGCCCTGTGCTCCTGTCTGCTTCTCTGGTGTGTCTCCCTGGCTGCCTCCATCTCTGCGTATTTCCATCTCCCTGACTCTGTCTGTGTCTCCCTCACTCTGTGTGTGTCTCTCCTTTTCCTCCTGCCTCCATCTCTCCAGGCCCCTATCCTCTCTCCGGTACGGCCTCGCTCCGCCTTTCCATTCTCCTGCCTCCCCATCCCTGTCTGCCAGTCCTGGTCCAGCTGGACCCCCACCCACAGTCGGGCCCCAGCGCCTGAGCCTGAGTGTCTGCTCAGGCCCGTGGAGGTGGAGGGAGGGGACGCCAATGACCTCACCAGCCCCTCTCCGACCACCCCCCCCTTTCCCTTTTCAACTTTTCCAACTTTTCCTTCCGTGCCCTCCTCTGAGCGTGGCGGCGTGAGCCCGGCAAGGCAGCCGCTCCGTCTGAATGGAAAAGGCAGGCAGGGAGGGTGAGTCAGGATGTGTCAGGCCGCCCTCCTCTGCCGCCTGCCCCCCGCCCGCCCGCCCCAGCCCCCTATATAACCCCCCAGGCGTCCACACTCCCTCACTGCGGCGGCCCTGCTGCTCTCGGGCACATGCCTCCCCTCCCCAGGCCGAGGCCCAGCTGACCCCTGGGGCTCCCCCGGCAGCGGACAGGGAAGGGTTAAAGGCCCCCGGTTCCCTGGCCCTGACCTGGGGAACCCCTGGCGCTGTGGGGACATGAACTGTAAGTTGGTTCATGGGGTGGGTGGAGGGGACAGGGAGGCAGGGAGAGAGGGACCCACGGCGGAGGTGGGGGCAGACCCGGCCGAGTGGCACGGAGAGGGACCCCGGGAGAGGCAGCGGGGAGTCAGAGAAGGGCAGGAGAGCAGATTGGGAGACAGGAGGCCGAGAGAAGATGGGCACAGAGAGACACAGACAGGCGCGGATGGAGGCAGCCAATCAGACTCGCCGCGGGAGGGAAGGCCACACAGGGCCCCGAGACCGGGCAGGGCCAGGGACGGAGGGACCCGTGCCAGGAGCGGGTGATCCCAACGGCCCAGGCCCCAGGGGACCGGGAGACCCGGCCTCCGCGGGGTCCCGGCAGAGAGGCTACGGGGGGAAACTGAGGCAGGGTTCGCGGAGAACAGAGCAAGCCTGGGAGAGAGACTGCGCGGGGGCGGAAAGCGGGGAGAGCCCGGCAGAGGCGGCCGACCGACGGGCGGACAGACCGACGGCTGGCGGGGCGGGGGGCGGGCTGGGGGGGTGCGCGGCGCGGGCGGCCGGGGGGCGCTGATTGGCTGGCGGGAGGCCGGGTGGGCGGGGCTGCCGGGGTGGGCCGCGTGGAGCGAGCCCCGGACCCCCGCGCCCCCGCGCCCCCCGCGCCGCCAGCCGCCAGGTCTCGCGCTCCCGCGGGTGGCCGGGCCGGGGCCGCGGCGCTGTCCCCTCTCCGCCCAGGTGCGCTGCGGCCTGGCCTTCCGCGGCCCACCCGGAGGGGCTCCCGGGAGCGCGGCCGAGGGTCTCCTGCGGGAGGGCTCCGGGGCTCCGTCGTGGCCTCCGTCTCCTTCCCCTGCTCCCAGCCAGCTCCGGCTCCCGCGGCCCGGGGAGGGGGCAGGTTCTGGCCTGTGCCTCCCCCCCATGCCCCGCCCCAGGGCCCAGATTCCGGCGTCCGGGGGCGGACGGGAGACGCCCGGCCCGTCTACCCGCCCCGGGCCGCGTCTGCTCCGACGGGCGGGGCAGCCAGAGCCAGGCGGGAAGAGGGAAGCCCGCCCGGCCCTGCGACCTGCCCGCGGGCGTTCCACCCTGGGACTTAGGACCTCCACTCCCTCCTCCGTAAGGCCAGGAGTCCAGGCCCCAGTCCACCTCCCTCAGACCCAGAGTCCAGACCCCAGTCCCTCCTCCCTCAGACCCAGAGTCCAGACCCCAGTCCACCTCCCTCAGACCCAGAGTCCAGACCCCAGTCCACCTCCCTCAGACCCAGGAGTCCAGGCCCCAGTCCACCTCCCTCAGACCCAGGAGTCCAGACCCCAGTCCACCTCCCTCAGACCCAGGAGTCCAGACCCCAGTCCACCTCCCTCAGACCCAGGAGTCCAGGCCCCAGTCCACCTCCCTCAGACCCAGGAGTCCAGGCCCCAGTCCACCTCCCTCAGACCCAGGAGTCCAGGCCCCAGTCCACCTCCCTCAGACCCAGGAGTCCAGGCCCCAGTCCACCTCCCTCAGACCCAGGAGTCCAGGCCCCCAGTCCACCTCCCTCAGACCCAGGAGTCCAGGCCCCCGGTCCACCTCCCTCAGACCCAGAGTCCAGACCCCCGGTCCACCTCCCTCAGACCCAGGAGTCCAGACCCCAGTCCACCCCCCTCAGACCCAGAGTCCAGGCCCCAGTCCACCCCCCTCAGACCCAGAAGTCCAGACCCCAGTCCACCTCCCTCAGACCCAGAAGTCCAGACCCCAGTCCACCTCCCTCAGACCCAGAAGTCCAGACCCCAGTCCACCTCCCTCAGACCCAGGAGTCCAGGCCCCAGTCCACCTCCCTCAGACCCAGGAGTCCAGGCCCCAGTCCGCCTCCCTCAGACCCAGGAGTCCAGGCCCCAGTCCGCCTCCCTCAGACCCAGGAGTCCAGGCCCCAGTCCGCCTCCCTCAGACCCAGGAGTCCAGACCCCCGGCCCTCCTCCCTCAGACCCAGGAGTCCAGGACCCCCAGACCCTCCTCCCTCAGACCCAGAGTCCAGATCCCAGTCCACCTCCCTCAGACCCAGAGTCCAGACCCCAGTCCACCTCCCTCAGACCCAGGAGTCCAGACCCCAGTCCACCTCCCTCAGACCCAGGAGTCCAGACCCCCGGCCCTCCTCCCTCTGACCCAGGAGTCCAGACCCACGGCCCTCCTCTCTCAGACCCAGGAGTCCAGACCCCAGTCCACCTCCCTCAGACCCAGGAGTCCAGACCCCAGTCCACCTCCCTCAGACCCCAGGAGTCCAGACCCCCGGCCCTCCTCCCTCAGACCCAGGAGTCCAGGCCCCAGTCCACCTCCCTCAGACCCCAGGAGTCCAGACCCCCGGCCCTCCTCCCTCAGACCCAGGAGTCCAGACCCGTGGCCCTCCTCCCTCAGACCCAGGAGTCCAGACCCGTGGCCCTCCTCCCTCAGACCCAGGAGTCCAGGACCCCCAGACCCTCCTCCCTCAGACCCAGGAGTCCAGACCCCCAGGCCCTCCTCCCTCAGACCCAGGAGTCCAGACCCGTGGCCCTCCTCCCTCAGACCCGGTGTCCAGGCCCAGCCCCTCCTCTCTCAGACCAGGGGTCCGACCTGAGCTCTCTGCCTCATCCTGCCCCCAGGTGTTTGCCACCTGGTCGTGGTTGTGCTCAGCCTGTGGCCAGATACAGCTGTTGCCCCTGGGCCGCCACCTGGCCCCCCTCGAGCTTCCCCAGACCCTCGGGCCGAACTGGACAGCACCGTGCTCCTGACCCGCTCCCTCCTGGCGGACACACGGCAGCTGGCTGCACAGCTGGTAGGAGAGGCTGGGCTGGGGCCAGCACCGGAGTGAGAGGCAGAGAGGAACTGCGAGTGATCTTCGGGCAGGCCACCTGGAGGGGTTCTGGGCTCTCAAGTGGCAGAGTCAGGGAGGGGACGAGTGTGGGACCTGGTGTTGGGGGTGGAGGGAGCCCAGAGGCTGGGCAGGGGCCCCTCACAGCTTTTTTTCCCCGCCAGAGGGACAAATTCCCAGCTGACGGGGACCACAACCTGGATTCCCTGCCCACCCTGGCCATGAGCGCGGGGGCGCTGGGAGCTCTGCAGGTAAGGGCGGGAGTGGGTGGGGCCAAGACGAGGCGAGAGGCAGGCGACAAAGGGGGCAGGAGGATGGGGCCACAGCGGTCACGGCCAATGTTGTGTCCCCAGCTCCCGGGCGTGCTGACACGGCTGCGAGCAGACCTGCTGTCCTACCTGCGGCACGTGCAGTGGCTGCGCCGGGCGGGCGGCTCTTCCCTGAAGACCCTGGAGCCCGAGCTGGGCACCCTGCAGGCTCGGCTGGACCGGCTGCTGCGCCGGCTGCAGCTCCTGGTATGTCCTGGCTCCAAGACCTGACACCCCAGACCCCAGCCCCTGGTGCCAAGAACCTGTGGCCTGAGTCCTTGAAGCCTGAGACCCCATACCTAAATGCAGCACCCCATGCTCTGAGATCCTGACTGTACATCCCCAAGATCCTGAGCCCCTGAGACCTTGAGACCCTAGACCCCCAAATCCTGCCCAGACACTCCAAATCCTCACCCTAATACCCTGAGACTCCATTGTCCATGACCTCAAAGTCCCAAAATCCCAGTCCCTAAGACCCAATACCCCACCCTGAAGCCCAAAGAGTTGAGAATTCAAATTCTCACCTCAAGATTTGGAGACCCTGGTCCCATGACACTGAAAACCGTGGACCTGGCCAGGCGCTGTGTCTGACGCCTGTAATTCCAGCACTTTGGGAGACCGAGGTGGGTGCTTCGCCTGAGGTCAAGAGTTTGAGACCAGCCAGAGCAACATGGCGAAACACCATCTCTACTAAAAATACAAAATTAGCTGGGCGTGGTGGTGGGCACCTGTAATCCCAGCTATTCCGGAGGCTGAGGCAGGAGAATCGCTTGAACCCGGGAGGTGGAAGCTGCAGTGAGCTGAGATCGCGCCATTGCACTTCAGCCTGGGCAACAAGAGTGAAACTCCGTCTCAAAAGAAACCAAAAAACTAACAACAAAGAAGAAAATCATGGGCCTCCAGACCCTGAGACCCAGGCTCCAGCCCTGCGATCCTGACACTTTAAAGACCCTAGATCCAGACCCTGAGACAAAGACCGTGACCCAAAGCCAGCCTTGGGAGCCTGGCTCTACAACCCAAGACCTCAAGGACTTAGACCCCGAGCCCTGAGGCCCCGTGTCTCACTCCCAAGATCCAAAACCCTGAGGCCTCAGATCCTGAGCCTGCGCCTGTACGACCCCAAGACCCTCACTTCCAAAGCCAGGCGCAAGGCCCTGAGACCAGAGGACTTCAAACCCTGGTTCCCAACTCCAAAGACCTTGGATCTCGAATTCCACCTTCTAGCTCTGAGACTCCAGCCCTCACCCATGACTTCCTGAACTTGAACCCAGGGCCCCCCAAACCCCAGACACTGTCTCTAAAACCCCAGTTCTGGCCGGGCGCAGCGGCTCACTCCTTAACCCCAAGGTGTGGGAGGCCAAGGCAGAAGGGGCTCTTGCAGCCATGAGTTTGAGACAGCCAGGGCGACATAGCAAGACCCCATCTCTTAAAATTGTTAAAAAACACCAATGATAAAAACCCAGCTCTAAGATTCCAGCCCTGGCAACGCGAACAGCTCCGGCCCTATCCCTCACCCAGACCAAGACGCCAGCCCTGACTCTACACACCCAGCTCTCAAAGCCCATCTGGACCCCAGCCTCTGAATCGCACACCCTGAAGAGCTCTCAGCCTAACCACTTCAACCCACGCACCACAGGCCCCCTGGGAACGTGCAGCCTGGACGTCCCCCACCCCAGTTCAGTGGCAGTTCCAAATAGCCCCTGCCCTGCACCCCCACTGCACCCTCTCCCTGTCGCTCACCTTCTCTCTTCTCCCCACAGATGTCCCGCCTGGCCCTGCCGCAGCCACCCCCAGACCCGCCGGCCCCCCCACTGGCACCCCCTTCCTCAGCCTGGGGGGGCATCAGGGCCGCCCACGCCATCTTGGGGGGGCTGCACCTGACACTTGACTGGGCTGTTCGGGGGCTGCTGCTGCTGAAGACCCGGCTGTGACTTGGGGCCCAGAGCCACCACCGTCCTTCCAAAGCCAGATCTTATTTATTTATTTATTTCAGTACTGGGGGCCTAACAGCCAGGTCATCCCCCACCATTATCTCCCCCTAGTTAGAGACAGTCCTTCCGTGAGACCTGGGGGGCATCTGTGCCTTATTTATACTTATTTATTTCGGGGGGGATGGGAGGCAGGTGGACTCCTGGGTCCCCAAGGAGGAGGGAACTGGGGTTCCAGATTCTTGGGTCTCCAAGAAGTCTGTCCACAGACTTCTGTCCTGGCTCCTCCCCTTCTAGGCCTGGGCAGGAATATATATTATTTATTTAGACAATTACTTTTCATGTTGTGGGGTGGGGAGGGAAGCCTGGGGTTTTGTACAAAATGTGACAAACCTTTGCGAGACAGAGAACAGGGAATTAAATTTCATACCCACTTGAGGAAGATTTGCGTGGGAGCTGAGGCTGGATGCTGGGGTCCCTGGGGCGGGGCAGGTGGAGGTGAGTGGTCAGGGCAGGGAGGGGAGATGGTCGGTCACCCAGATAGCTCTGTGGAGGCAGGGTCTGAGCCTCACCCAGGCCCCCAAACTGCAGAGGTCTTTTTGTTAGGATTACAGGGGTGAGCCATGCCCGGCCTCTGTTGGCCAGCCTGGGATGCAGTGGGGCAATTTCAGCTCAGTGCAAACTCCTCCTCCCAAGTTCAAGCAATTCCCCCATCTCAGCCTCCCGAGTAGCTGAGATCACAGGCATCCACCACCACACCTGGCTATTTTATTTTATTTTGTATTTTTAGTAGAGACAGGGTTTCACCACGTTGGCCAGGCTGGTTGAACTCCTGACCTCAGGTGATCCTCCTGCCTCGGCCTCCTAAAGTGCTGGGATTACAGGTGTGTGCCACCACGCCCGACCCATAAATATTGAATGGAAGGTTCTAGAAGGTCACCGTGATTAACAGTACCCGTGTTGGACAAAGCGGCAAGCTCCAGATGGTTCGCTGTGACTGTGTTCACCATAGCAAATGAAACAATCTCGACGGCCACCAGTGAGGGCTAAGCCTCTTGGCGCACCTGCAGGGGGACTTCCAGCCAGTCACCCGGAGCACGGGCTGTCGTTCAGGGAAGCTAGGGAGAGAGGCCTGCTTTGGACATAGAAAGATGTCCTGACATTGGCTGGGCACGGTGGCTCACACCTGTAGTCCTAGCACCTTTGGGAGGACAAAGCGGGTGGATCGCGTAAGTCCAGGAGTTCGAGACAAGCCTGGGAGACTTGGCAAAACCTCGTCTCAAAGAAGCAAAAGCAATCTCCTGACATGAAACAGCTACAAAACCACTGCAGGTGCCATCCAATTCTTTCCACACATGGACTTAAAAAAATCCTAACGGGGGCTGGGCACGGCGGCTCATGCCTGTAATTCCGGCACCTTGGGGATCCCAGGCGGATCAGAAGGTCAAGAGTTCAAGACCAGCCCGACTAACATGGTGAAACCCTGTCTCTACTAAAAATAACAAAAAAATTAGATGGGTGTGGTGTTGTGCACCTGTAATCCCAGCTACTCAGGAGACTGAGGCAGGAGAAACACTTGAACCTGGGAGGCAGAGGTTGTGGTGAGCCGAGATCGTACCACTGCACTCAACCTGGGCGACAGAGTGAGACTCCATCTCAAAAAAAAAAAAAAAATCCTAAGGGGAAAAACGCCAAAATGTGTTTTTTTGTTGTTGCTGTTAATCAATGAGAGCTTTTAAGGTTGCTCAGGTTGGCCTTGAACTCATGGCCTCGCCTCCACAAGCGCCACGACATCTGGCCGGAGCCACCGCGGACCCCGATACGCCAAAATGTTGACAATGACTGTCTCTGGGATTGTGGGTGATGTTTAATGTTTATGATTGCCTGTATTTTTCAGAATTTCTGCCATGACTGTGTATTTTGCATGACGCATTTTAAAAATAATAAACACTATTTTTAGAATAACAGAGTATCAGCCTCCTCCCCTCCAAAAATAAGCCCTCAGGAGGGGACAAAGTTGATGATTGAGCCTCCGAGGGCTGGGCACTCAGTGCGGGCTCTTAACTGACACAATTCTCTTGGAGCCTGGACCATGCCGTGTTTCATCGGCGAGGGAAACTGGGGTTCGGGCAAGGGGTGGGGACTCTGCTGCTCAACGTCACACAGCTAGGGAGAGGTGGACCTGGGATTCTGCACCGCGTCCGGCTCATTCCCACAGCTCTCTTCGCCACTCGTTGTTGAGGTCCCCTTACCACAGGCACACACGTGAGATTTGGAAAAACAGGTTCAGTAAGGCTTTGGGTCTTACCCAGGGCCTAGAGGAGGGTCAATGGCACAGTAGGGACTATGATCAAACCCTTTAGGTAACTGTCCCTTTACAGTCAGCAGGCAGACTCCCAGCGACCCTGTCTTGTCACTAGTTTGGGTTTGGGGTGGGGGTGCCCAGCCCTGGACCCCGAGCCCTCAAGACTGAAGGCTGCATCCTTGGAGAAGAGAGCCCAGGGTCCCAGAGAGTTCCGGGAACAGTCCCCTGTGTGTCCATGAGGTCACAAAGCCCTTCCACAGGAGGCTCCTCCCCCAGGCCCCTGCTGTCCACCTGGAGGCCCAAGTCTTCCAGCCCAGGGCGTCTCCTCGCTCTGTAACACTGAGCTCCAGGCACCCATGTAGCCCCAGGGGCCAAGGCTGGTGGGCGGGGCCGGGAGGCCTGCTCGCCTGGAGTACTAAACCAGTAGCTATCCACCACAGCCACCATGATCCGGCTTCGAAACAGGAGGTGCCCTGAGCCTCTCCAGGGCACCCCAAAGTGGGTCCCCATTCTGGGGGAGCTGCAAAAGACCCTCCAGAAGGGCGAGTACCTGCCCCTGCGTCCGATGCCCATGTTCGAGAGTAACTTTGTTCAGGTCCCCAGCTCCCAGTGCCCTGGGGCTGAGAGGGGAAGAGAGGCTGCCTGGGCGGGGGATTTTGCAAGGCAGTGGGATTTGGCAGTCCCTATGTGGGGGGCAGTCAGGAGGGAGGCTCAGGCTGGGGGTGCTGGAGGAAGGAGTGGTCCCAGCCCCTCTCCATGGCTGCCCAGGTAACGAGTCGAGGGAGCCCGGTGTTCGTGAGTCACAGAACCAACCGGCTGACCATGGGCGTGGCCGCCTCCCTCCCAGGCCTGCTGGTGCCTGACATCCTGCTGATCGGCCAGCCTGCTGAGGGCAGGGACTGCTCGGGCCTCGTGCTAACCAGGTGCCGCCTTCCCCAGCCCCTTGGCCACCCTGTCCACCCCTCCTGCTCTAGACACTCCCCTCCTCCTGCTCTCCCAGGATGATCCCCCTGGACCTCACCCACCTCTGCGTCCATGACCTCTCCTCCTGGTGCCTGAAGCTATGCCTGGTCTCAGGCCACCACTACTACCTGGCGCTGGATGCCCCCGACAATGAGGCAGGCTTCCTGTTCAACTGCTGGATCCGCCTCATGAACCTGCTTCCGGAGCCGGCTTTCACCTGGGCCCCCAGGACCGTGCCCTCGGCCTGCCTGGATGTGCCCCTGGCCAAAGCACCCGCCTCCACCTGGCACCTGCAGGTGGGGCCTCAGCTTCACCGACCAGCCATGGCGGCCCAGGAACCCACCGGCCAGATCCAGAGGGGACTAGGAGCTAGACCCCAAAGTCTAGGCTGAGGACCTGGACCCCAGATTTGAGAGAGGATGGCTGGGGGCCTGGACCCCTGATTTGAGGGAGGATGGTTGGGGGCCTGGACCCCTGATTTGAGGGAGGATGAGCTGGGGGCCTGGACTCCTGGGTCTGAGGGAGGAGGGGCCAGGGATATGGACTCCTGGGTCTGAGGGAGGAGGGGCTGGGCCTGGACTCCTGGGTCTGAGGGAGGAGGGGCTGGGCCTGGACTCATGGGTCTGAGGGAGGAGGGGTTGGGGCCTGGACTCCAGGGTCTGAAGGAGGAGGGGCTGGGCCTGGACTCATGGGTCTGAGGGAGGAGGGGCTGGACCTGGACTCCTGGGTCTGAGGGAGGAGGGGTTGGGTCTGGACTCCTGGGTCTGAGGGAGGAGGGGCTGGGTCTGGACTCCTGGGTCTGAGGGAGGCGGGGCTGGGCCTGGACTCATGGGTCTGAGGGAGGAGGGGCTGGGCCTGGACTCCTGGGTCTGAGGGAGGAGGAGCTGGGGCCTGGACTCATGGGTCTGAGGGAGGAGGGGCTGGGCCTGGACTCCTGGGTCTGAGGGAGGAGGGGCTGGGCCTGGACTCATGGGTCTGAGGGAGGAGGGGTTGGGGCCTGGACTCCAGGGTCTGAAGGAGGAGGGGCTGGGCCTGGACTCATGGGTCTGAGGGAGGAGGGGCTGGACCTGGACTCCTGGGTCTGAGGGAGGAGGGGTTGGGTCTGGACTCCTGGGTCTGAGGGAGGAGGGGCTGGGTCTGGACTCCTGGGTTTGAGGGAGGAGGGGCTGGGGCCTGGACTCATGGGTCTGAGGGAGGAGGGGCTGGGGCCTGGACTCATGGGTCTGAGGGAGGAGGGGCTGGGGCCTGGACTCATGGGTCTGAGGGAGGAGGGGCTGGGCCTGGACTCATGGGTCTGAGGGAGGAGGGGCTGGGCCTGGACTCATGGGTCTGAAGGAGGAGGGGCTGGGCCTGGACTCATGGGTTCTGAGGGAGGAGGGGCTGGGCCTGGACTCATGGATCTGAGGGAGGAGGGGCTGGGCCTGGACTCATGGGTCTGAGGGAGTAGGGGCTAGGCCAGGACTCATGGGTCTCAGGGAGGAGGGGCTGGGCCTGGACTCCTGGGTCTGAGGGAGGAGGAGCTGGGGCCTGGACTCATGGGTCTCAGGGAGGAGGGGCTGGGCCTGGACTCCTGGGTCTGAGGGAGGAGGGGCTGGGGCCTGGACTCATGGGTCTGAGGGAGGAGGGGCTGGGCCTGGACTCATGGGTCTGAGGGAGGAGGGGCTGGGCCTGGACTCATGGGTTCTGAGGGAGGAGGAGCTGGGGGCCTGGACTCCTGGGTCTGAGGGAGGAGGGGCTGGGGCCTGGACTCATGGGTCTGAGGGAGGAGGGGCTGGGCCTGGACTCATGGGTCTGAAGGAGGAGGGGCTGGGCCTGGACTCATGGGTCTGAGGGAGGAGGGGCTGGGCCTGGACTCATGGGTTCTGAGGGAGGAGGAGCTGGGGGCCTGAACTCCTGGGTCTGAGGGAGGAGGGGCTGGGGCCTGGACTCATGGGTCTGAGGGAGGAGGGGCTGGGCCTGGACTCATGGGTCTGAGGGAGGAGGGGCTGGGCCTGGACTCATGGGTCTGAGGGAGGAGGGGCTGGGTCTGGACTCATGGGTCTGAGGGAGGAGGGGCTGGGTCTGGACTCATGGGTCTGAGGGAAGAGGGGCTGGGCCTGGACTCCTGGGTCTGAGGGAGGAGGGGCTGGGGCCTGGACTCATGGGTCTCAGGGAGGAGGGGC